CCGCGCCGCCGCCCCCGCCGTCGCCCGCCGCGCCGCCGCGCACGCTCAGCTGCGCAGCCTCGTACGCGGCCTCGTCTGCCTCGAGCAGCGCCGCGGCGCGGGTGGAGAGGTCGGCGAGCTGTGCGGGCGTCGGCACAGGCACGGGCTTGGGCGCGGGCGGCAGTACGGGGAGTGCGGTGTACCAGAGCGGCGTGGGCGGGATGGCGAGCCGGGGGGCCTTGGACTTCCGCTCTGTAGTGTTGTGCGCGTTGGCTGGGCGGGGTGCCTGCGCGGCGGTCGAGGGTGCGGGTGCTGCGCCGGCGGCAGCGTCCGTGTCCCGCTGTAGCTTTGCCTTTCCGTCTGCGCGTCCCTTTTTCTTCTCGCTTTTCTGTTTGGGTTTTGGAGACGCGTCTGCATGAGCAGCAGCTTTGCTCTTTTGCTTGTCCTTCTTCGACGCCGGGGTGTCCTTCTGCACCGGAGGCGGGGCGGGCGCCTTGGTCTTGTGCTTGCCCTTCGCTTTGGGGTCTCCATCGCGCTGGAGGCTGGACAGGAACGCTGAGACGTCCTGAACGAGTGCGGGCTGTATCAAAGCCAGGGCGATATGTCGGAAAGAGGGGTGGAACGAGCAGAACAAACACGCACATCGGTTTCCTGCGTCCCCGTCTCGAGCTCAATCGCGTCCTCGCGCTTACCTGCCTTTGCGCTGTTCTGCGACTTAGGCTTCGCCGCGCCAGGCGCTGCTGATGCCTGCTTCTTTAGTGTGCGCAGACGAGCCATGGTTGTACGAGCGGTGTCAATGAGTGATATCACTGGCGACCGTCTTCGACGAAGACAGGATAAATTTTGTCGCCCGTTGGAGCAGCGCTGACCTTAACCCTACCGTGTGTCTGGTTTGACTTCGGCCGCGTTGGCAGCTACCTACCTCAACACACCCACTCGACACGTTAGGAGCTCAAGCCCCAACTCCACTCAACCGTGTGCAAAGAAACTGGGCGTATGTTGACTCTGTTTTCTCACTCAGACTCCGGCCGAATTCAGGAAGCACAGATGACCTTGGCAACAAAATACACCCGTGAAATGCACGCGTCAAGGGTCGTATACCTGATCAAGTATCGCCCCAGAAACCAGAAGGACTAGAAGCATCCGTGCTGGTAGCCTTCGACCATCTTCTGTATTCATGCCGGCTGCTGCCTTCCATTGGGGGTTGAAACTCTTCGTCGCTACCAGGTGGAGCGAACCGCCGCTGGCGCCCTCTGCTACCACTCGGGAACGATGAACCGCTTGCCAGTACTCTCTGTTAGCAGCAGCGGAGAGATTCCTTCATTGATACCCTGCTTTCCACTTGTTCGAGGAAGAGAACGTCCCTCACGCCCTCCCCGCCGCCTGCTCGGGGGAGTTGACGCCCTTGTTGGCCACCCGCTTCACAAAACGAACGCCCCTTGAGACATCTCCTCTCCTCACCCTATGTCTTCACAATCCGCCGTCTGCTCTCGTTCTGTTCTTCTGCAGTGTCTCGACATTGAATCAAGGGCTGGGCTGATGACCTGTGCGCTGCACTCTTGCTACCCTTCCAGAGCTGGTCGGGTTTGCCCTTCACTGCTGACATCATGACACATTTCTTTGATCACATTCTCACTCCAAGCATCGCCGATACAGTGCATTTCGGCATATGCAACGTTGTTGCCACGCAGACTTACCTGGCGGCGACGTACGGTGCTGACTGCCTCCCCCCAACTTAGCTGTGATCGCCCTTCACGATGGACTGGCTGCCGTGATGACTCTGATCTGCGCGAGCAGCGCACCTCTGGTCTCGCTGGCGTGGCTGAGGATGAAGCCCAAGCGCTTCCTGGATGCACCTTGAACACTGGACGTTCGGCGGGAGGACGGTTCGTAGAATGCCCTTTAGCCGTACAACCAAACGTCATTGTTCGTTTCGGAGGACATACGTAAAGGCTTGTCATGGGCCCTTGACGGTGTCGATGGTGCTATTCCATGTCTGCTTGCAGCTGTCAATATGATGACTAGGACGACCCCGAAGCTGGATAGTCAGCTATAGATCTGCTACCCAGCGGACTAAAAACTGTTACCGGGCTGATTCCGACTGGGTGCCGTGACGGGTGTCAGCTATTATCTCTACCCTGCAAGTACTCTGGTGATCCAAGTGAAATTGCGGTCAGATTCTGGCTTATGATACTGAGTAATGCCAGATATCGTACATATAGGCCGGTGCGCGCTGAATATATATCCTTCTCCGCTTGAACTTGCTATCGAGGTTGACTCATCACTCTCCTTCTCAGCGGATTCCACAGCTATGGCACCTTTGCCAGCTGAAACTCGAGAACGTATTCCATGCATTTCTGTGTACAAGAGTATTTGTGCAATACAACAAATTCCCCTCAACCCGGCTGAGCGACGCTCCTCTGATTCGGACGCGTTCGACTGCACATTCACAATTTCACCTCACACTTCTGTCACTTGCCTCAGCGCTCACAGCTTTGCCTCCGCCTTCTTGATCTGGAATCCGAGGCGCGGAAAATGGCACCGCACGACCCCCACCTCGCCCCTCGTCTCGAGTACGATCTCCTCGCTGCTCAACGCCACTAGCGTCCCCACTGTCGGCACTTTCCCTTCACTCCCCATTAGCACCACGTCTGTCCGCCCACGAAGCAAAAAGGAACGTACCGACGTCGCGTGGGGTGACCGTGACCGCGTCGCCTCGCTCCGTGCCCAGTCGTCGCGCGTCCGTCGCGTTGAATCCGACGGTGTAATCAATATCCTCCGCTTGTGCGGACGTGATCACATGGGCGGCGTCCTCGGGGGAGATCACAGGGGCTGAGACGCGCCGGGCATCGAGGTATGTAGAAGTGCGGTCGAGCCACTAGTGAGGCCAGCACGGCACAATATCGTCAGTGGGGAAAGCTCGTCAACGTCCCAAAGCGCATAGAGAGCTATAATGACACGCACTGCAATTGTTCGCGGGACGACTGTAGGGTCAAACAGGTCCGCAAGTGAGGACAGCGTGCGCGCCCACGCGAAAGGCGTGTGTACGATGATGTCTGCAAGGCCCGGTGCGGTCGTGTCGAGGAGCCACTCGCGTCCATCGGCGAGCTGCGCTTCCAGCAGCGCCTGACCACCAGACTGCGTCAGCGAGTCGTTCGGAGGGAACAGCTGAAAGGAAGACGATCCAGAATCCAACTCACCAAATGTGACGCCACTGTGCTCTTCGAGTCGTCCCTCCTTGCAACAATGGTGGGGATATCGATCGGCGCGCCGCGGTGCTACAATCATCGCCTTCACATAGGCATTACAAGGCATACAAGGTGACCACTCACCCCGCTGCGGTCGTGGATCCACTCTGCGGGAAGGCTCTCGTATGGCATGTGGTCTTGGACAGTTGGGAAGACCTGGCCTTCTGCCCAGAACGCGAGCGCGCGTACCACCGCAGTGTCCGTCTTCACAACTTCCTCCGCAATTGGTGCAGTCTTCCCAACGCCGACACGGAACGGATAGAGCGTGGGCGCGGCGGGGAAGCGACGCTCGAGGGCGCTTGCGATGGCGGCAGAATCACAGTAGATATCGGAGCCGATGGCGAGCACGGGCACACGGCGATAGGTGATGCCCAGGAGTGTGGAGAGCGCGGGGCGCGGGGGGATGTTTAATACCTGCAGTAGATAAGGAATTATGGAAGCGGGGGCGAAGAAGTAAACCTACTAGGACCCTGGTGTACGGCACGCCCTTAAGCGCGAGGAGACTCTGCACTTTTTTTGCGAAGGGGGAGGCTTCGTAGCTGCCGTCGCAGTCGCCGTTATTAAAAATGGACCACTGGGGGCCGGACAGTCGGTAGTACGCACTGGTATAATACGACGGGAGGATTTGTCGACATCGCGTTCGTCTGCGGGGTCTAGGTCGCAACTGGTTCAGAGGGCGGGTGGATTCGAGTCAGCCTTCGTAGTTCAGTGTTCTATATCTCTCTACAGTCGGCGTTGGGTCGGGGTGCATAAGCAAACGAATCACACGAATTTGAATAGACACACTGTCCGACAAGAACATCTATACCCACGATGGTGCTCATGATAGCTCACGCCGTGAGCCCAGTCACTTGAACGACTTGCAGTGGGCGCGTGACACCAAGTACCCGACAAAGTTAGTAGAGACCTAGGAAGAGAATAGGGCCTGGAGAGGGAAACACCCCGTGTTCGATCGCGCGAGCCCTATTGTAGTAGTATATGTACCATGTCCGTCAAAGCGGCCATATAAGCTCGGGCTTGTAATATATGTCGTATGTACGCTACTCATTTGAATTCCACATTTGCTCGATGCAGCGATGTATCATGATCATTCTCCCAAGTTCTCCGTCACGAGTCGTTATACCGGTTCTACTGTCACCATCACGGCGTAGCATGTGTCGTAAACGTACTCGTCTCTGTCCCTACTTGCTTTATAAGTCGCAAGGTTCATAAGACCTCTGGAGCCACCAACAACGCAGGATCTGTCGCTGCGTCGGGCCGTATACGGGCCGCGCAGTCTGCAAGAAATCATTCCATGTCCTCATGGACTACACTTACAACTCCACAATAGATTTAAGCGGCATGTGGAGAAGACACATACTCTGTCATCCAGAAAATGGGGTGAGCAGCGACTAGAGCACTACGCTCTTCGTTCAAGCCAGCCTGGAGGAAGATGGTGCCGCTTTCGAGGGGCACTGTGCGGCCACTGATTAAAGCCCCATGACTTGCAAATGCACCACGAATCCCAGAGGTCGTTATGGTCTTCCCTGATCTCACCAGTCGCCTGAGTGTACGACCTCGGGCCGAGCTCGAATGGTATCAACAACACGATCTAGATAAGCAAATATTTGTCAAGAAAGACTTCTTTCCGCAGAAAGCTCTGAAGGCGACGTTGCGCATTGGTCCACTTGCCATATTCTTTGCATGTAAAGTCTTCCCGAGTGATCGCTCTTCAAACATTGCAGGATAATGCGATCTCTGGCAGCCAGTTTCCGACGCATGAAGTTCGACCGCCGAACTTCGTCACGGTGAGGGCGACATGCGCATGTGCTTGGAATCTGCTTCAACGCTTGACCACCGGATATGGAAACAGATCAGCGTCTAGAGATATTACATAATAGACATAATTCTAACAGAGCGCGCGTGTCTGACCCCAGATGACTCGCAGATGCGCGTTTTGCATCGATTCTTCGCTCGTCCACGTCTCCGTATATCACTGCAATCAAACAAGTCATTAGTGGTACGAGCTATGTCGGAAGGTCCTGTGACATCTGGGGGCCCTACCCCCACTCCTGGAGTGCCTAACCCTAATTCAAAAAGTGCAGGTATAGTGCTTGAAGTGGATTTGACATTGTTCGATCTTGATGAGATATCTATAGCAAAGAAAGAGGCGAAGAGACTCGAGAAAGAGTCTAAACTCGCGGCTAAGGTCACTAAGGTAGCGGCGGCGACGCCTGCGGCTGCGAAGAAGGTCAAGGCGGAGAAAGAGAAACAAGAAGAGGCCCCGTTCGTGAATACCACCCCGAAGGGAGAGAAGAAAGGTTCGTTGCACCATGGAATTATCTGTACTTCATTCCGATCCACCACAGACCTTGCTCAGCCTATGGCTTCCGGATACAATCCGATCGCCGTCGAGTCTGCGTGGTACGATTGGTGGGAAGCCCAAGGGCTCTTCGTTCCTCAGTTGACACCAGAAGGTGGTGTTAAGCCAGAGGGTCAATTTGTCATTTCTTTCCCTCCTCCCAATGTCACTGGCAGCCTACACATCGGACATGCTCTCACAGTCGCAATCCAAGACTCGCTCATTCGGTGGTAAGTACCAGCGCTGTGGATGCTTCTATACACCAACGTGACAAAGTCCAGGAATCGCATGATGGGTAAGACAACATTATGGGTCCCTGGGTTTGATCATGCCGGTATATCTACGCAATCTGTGCTCGAAAGGCGACTATACAAATCCACCGGACAGACACGACATGATATTGGACGAGAGAAGTTCCTTGAGAGTGCGCAGGAGTGGAAGGACGAGTGAGCAGAATGAGGATGTCATGGAATTTACCACTGACAGAGTCATAGCTATCAAAAGCGCATCACTCAGCAGCTACGCCGACTAGGGGCCAGTTTTGACTGGAGTCGTGTAGCGTATACGATGAATGAGGTAAGGCATTTTTTGAGATTGCATGATGCGGTAATAGATGTCTGGGTTAGAATCTATCCAAAGCTGTCGTCGAGACATTCTGCCGTCTACATGAGGACGGAGTGATGTATCGAGCCAATCGACTCGTCAACTGGTGTGTGCGTCTGAATACCACCCTGTCTAATCTTGAGGTTTGTTGTGTTATTCTTCAGGGTGGTTGAACGCAATGTAATGACGAAGATTGTTTTAGGTCGACCAAAAGCAACTGACTGGACGGACATTGCTCAATGTCCCGGGCTACGACGAAAAAGAAAAGTTCGAATTTGGAGTTATCACTTCATTTGCATACGCTATTGAGGGTTCAGGTGCGTTGTAATTGCTTACGGCCTCATACGATGGCTTTCAATAATTATCACATCTAACAGACGAGAAGATAATCGTTGCCACGACTCGTCCGGAGACAATGCTGGGAGATACCGCCATCGCTGTCCACCCTGACGATCCGCGTTATAAGGTACACAGATTCCGTTCGTCTTTCCTACATTCTCACCCAATCTTTGTCAGCATCTTCATGGCAAATTCGCTGTGCATCCGTTCTTGGAGCGCCGTATTCCCATCATCACGGATGCGATCATCGTCGACATGGACTTCGGTACTGGTGCGGTGAAAATCACTCCGGCACACGATCCAAATGACTACGAAGTCGGTATCCGCCACAACTTGCCATTCATCAATCTGTTGAATGACGATGGTACGTTTAATTCCAACGCGGGTGAAAAATTCAAGGTGGGTTTTGCAGCGAGATTGTTGCATTTGCCGGCTAACCCCTTGATCAGGGCATGAAACGGTTCCATGCTCGTGTTGCTGTCGTCAAGGCTCTGAAAGATGCGGGCTTGTATGTGGAGGCGAAGGACAACCCGATGCAAATCCCCATTTGCAAGTAAGTCATGATTGGAGACTATGGGAGGAGAGGGACTCTGACCAGATGACAGTAAATCTGGCGACGTCATCGAGCAGATCCTTAAGCCACAATGGTGGGTGAATTGTAAACCACTCGCCGAGGAAGTTATCAAGGTATTCTATGAATGAGCTCCACCAGCGTGGGCGGTTGCTTACATGTTTATAGCGCACAAAAGCTGGGGAACTCGATATCTCTCCGAAGCAATCGGAGAACGAGTGGTACCGATGGCTGGAAGGCCTTCAGGACTGGTGTGTCTCTCGGCAGCTCTGGTGGGGTCATCGGTGTCCTGCGTACTTTGTGCGGATCGAAGGGCAAGAGCAGGACGTGAGTCGATCTGCTACTCCCGAATCGAATTCTTCCGTCTCTGATGCGAGCTCCAGACGACAGATGGAAAATGGTGGGTTGTAGGAAGAAATCAAGAAGAAGCTGCATCGCGTGCAAAGAAGCTTGCGGGCGGGGCCAAATTCACGCTTGAGCAGGATGAAGATGTACTTGATACGTGGTTTTCGTCCGGCCTGTGGCCGTTCTCGATCATGGGCTGGCCCCAAGAGGTAGTTCCCGTGCAACTCGACACACGTTATCACTCACATCGGCGTCACAGACGTTTGACTTGAAGACGTTTTACCCCACATCTCTGCTTGAGACTGGCTGGGATATCCTGTTCTTCTGGGTAGCCAGGATGGCATTGCTCGGTGTGCATCTTACGGGGAAAATGCCGTTCAAGGAAGTGCTTTGCCACGCGATGATTCGAGATGCGCATGGTCGCAAAATGAGCAAGTCGCTTGGGAATGTTGTGGATCCAATCGATGTCATTCAGGGACTATCGCTCGAGGATCTCCACCAGAAGCTGTACGAAGGCAATTTAGACGAGCGTGAGATTAATAAGGCCAAGGCGGGTCAGAAGAAGGATTTCCCTAAGGGCATTCCTCAGTGTGGAACTGATGCGCTAAGGTTTGCTTTATGCGCCTACTCTGGAGGAGGTATGATAAATTTTCGTGCTGTTGTACGCATGGTAGCCTAACGTGATATTGTCAAGGACGTGATATCAACTTGGAGATTCTTCGGGTGGAGGGCTATCGGAAATTCTGCAACAAGATATTCAATGCAACGAAGTTTGCCATGCTGAAGTTGGATGCAGATTTCGTGCCACAATCGTCTGCCAGACCAACGGGCAATGAAGGCCTTGTGGAGCGCTGGATTTTGCACAAGCTGAACATCGCTACCCATGAAATCAATCGCCAATTCGAAGAGCGAAATTTCATGGCGCTCACGACGGCCGCTTATAATTTTTGGCTATACGAGCTATGTGACGTTTACATCGTACATATCATACTCATAGTGGAGCGATTGCCGTTCTGACCGAAATTGTCTTAGGAAGCGATGAAACCCATGACGGACGCATCCGCGTCGCCCGCTATGCGGAGATCGGCGCAAGAGACATTATACACATGTCTTGACCACGGTCTACGCCTGTTGCATCCAATCATGCCATTCGTCACGGAAGAATTGTGGCAGCGGTTGCCTCGCCGGCAAGGCGACTCCACGCCTTCGATCATGGTGTCATCATACCCAATGTTTGTAAGTCAATGACGCCCTTGGTGTTTTTCACTTATACATTAATATCGCTGGTCGTAGGATAAGGCATTCGTGTCTGAGGACGCGGAGCGCGACTTTGACCTCGTGTTCTCCGTGATCAAGACGGGGCGCTCGCTAGCGGCGTCATATAACCTGCAGAGTGACATCCAATGTACGTGTTTTCCCATGAGCGACCACTGCACCACACAAGCTGATGGACAATTGTGATAGTATTCATCCGGGTTCAATCCGATAATGAGGCTACACTGTTTGAGAGCCAGATCCCAACGATTGTGACATTGACGAAAAATTGCAAAACCGCGAAGGTTGTGCGCACACTAGATGATGTGCCTGCGGGATGCGGTTCTGCCGTTATCTCACCCACGGTGGTGGTGGATCTCCTTGTGAGAGTGAGTCCTCAACCCCCTTATGTGATATAGCTTCCATGTAACGACACCACAGGGCTTGGTGGACCTTGATGTGGAGATTATGAAATGCCAGAAGAAACTCGATCTCGCTCGCCTGAGTCTAGACAAGATCCGGAAACTAGAAGCACAGCCAAATTATGAAGAGACGATCCCACCCAACGTGCGCATGGCAAACGAAGAAAAGGTGCGCTGTTCTCTGATATACGCTTTACCCCCGTCTTCAATCTATCTCTGCAGCGAATGACCCTTGAAACGGATGTCACAACTTTAGAAACGTCTATACAGATGTTTGAGAAATTGAAATAATGAGGCTGCTTGGATGGGGGTTAGACGTCTGGAGGTAGCATGAATGTAGCGCAGTGGTGTAGCGCCGCAATTGAGTTCATATATTTCAAGTTACCTTCAATCTATCCATCACTTTGTTTGATTACTCGCTACAACCATCGATGGTATACATACAATGATACATGATACGGGCAGATACCGATGCTCAACGGAAATGAAATGTCTACCTCCACCGTAGTATCACCCATACCACTTCTGACCAATACGCGTTTCCGATTTTGGCCGCTGTGGGATGACAGCGTCTCTGATGTCGAAGACCTCGATAGCCCGCTACGTGAGCACCCAGTATATTTCAGATCGCGAGTACACCAGACTGAAAGAGCACTCACACGCCATGTTGCCATGTCAAATTCCATAACCATTTGTCTTTTCTTTAGGCCATCCGCATAGTCGTCTTCTGACGGCTGGGCACAGATATCTGAATACATGCAAAATGAAATAGGTCCAATTTACCATAAGGACATGTAAACACTGCAGGAAGACATGACGTACAGATAACTGGTTCCCCTTTCTCATCTGTCTCCAAAGCGCATTTGCCATCGCGGATCAGGAATGACAGGTAAAAGAGGTTCTCAACAGACTGTCCAAAGTCGTTCGGATTGACAATAAACCTGAACAAATTTATTGCGCCGTCTTGTTGCAAAAGAATGTTCTCTAGCTGCGATCGACGACTTGGCGACATTCAGGACTCAAGTCATGCATCACAACTCACAGTGGCAACATTCTTGGTCGTTTCATTCTCAGAGCGCGTAATGTCATCTTCTGTGATCTGTTGTGGCTTCTTCTCGTCGCGCTTGTCTTTTTCTAATTTAGCCCGCTTTGCGATAGTCCGCTTCTTTTGCTCTATTGATAATGGACCAAGCCTGAATAGGGGCTCAGATAACTTCAACACTCATCGTGAGTTGCCGCAGCAATACGTACATAAAATCAATCGCAGGGGCCCTGTGACTGTATACAAGTGCGCGCCGTCCTACGCGCGCCCAGTCGAGCGGTCCATCAGCGTAGTCCTCGCCAGCGTCTGAGTCATAGTCATCAGGAAGGTGGTTCTTACGACCGCCCATGAAGGTGATAAGGCGTGTAATGAAATCATCTACATCGAACGCGCCAGAACCGGATTTCATGGCGCGCGCCTTTGCGGTCGTAGCCTGGGTAAGTTGAACAAGAATATCAGAGTCTAGTGTTGCCTCCGATGGACCCTTGACTGTAGCATATTGTCATTCTTGGAAACAGATACAGTGGAGAATCAAATGAATGTGCGTACCCATCTCAAAGAGTTTATCTGCATTGTGAACTCTCTCGACGAGCTGATCAGTTGAGAGTTCATTCACGTTTCCTTTGGAATCTGTTTTTCGGCGGCTCGAATTACATGCACAAAATAATGAGGATTCAGACGCACTTTCTGTTTCCTTTCGAAGTGCGCGGTAACCTCGTCGCACATTGCGCTTCTCCTCTGGATCCTGGTCAGGATCATACGCGTAGTTCGGAGCCCTTCTCGAGGTCGCCCGCTGCATGTTGTGAGTACGAGACGAACGATCGCGAAACTGAATGTGAGGAGGCTCGGTGAGGGTCGCGTCGCGGTGGTGGCGCACACTTTCGAAGTCACAGTCGCGACACGGGTCACGCGACTACTCGCACCCTTCTGTCACAGTGTCAGTGGCACTGTCAGATTGGGCGCCTCGAGGCTCTCATCTATCGCATCAAGACATAAACTCGACGCCCATGTATGTACTTAAAGCTACAACCACTACCTATGTATGTAATGCAACAAGAAGAATCTCGTAAGTGTGGATTCAGCTCCGCTTATCATAACAACATGCCCTCAAGTAGTGTAACGTGCCGAATCTTTCCCTTCCTCCCATGTCTTGTATCACTTGCATTTCCACAGCATCACGGATCTCATCTCGCCACCGCCATACAGTAAACGACTTCCATGCACAGCGACTATCTTGACCGGCGCTCCGATCAGGAGGGTGGCCGTCCGAATGGGTTTGGTGGGTGTTAGGGTGACGGTCTGCTTGGCTGACGCGCCCGTCAGTGTTTAGTATGCCATTCTCAAGTACGCAAGGATCTGCGATATCTTCCATTAGCTGTACTTGGTCCCCTGGTTCAGGACCCTGCTGTCCATACACGAGAAGGTATGGACGGAGACTGCGTGTGGTACCCGGTGGAATAAATATGTTGGCTGTTCGACTGCGGGTGTTCACGGAGTCAATCTGCATCACAATTGAGGAAAGTCAAGTCCTAACAGGGAGGAGAAAAGGAGCATCATGTAATACGCACTAACACATCTTTCTCAACCACTAATTGGAGATGAGGGAATATGCGCCGGTACGACAATATATCGCCCACTTTCAGGAAACCGCATTTTACTAGCGAAGTTAGATCCGGTGTTGGCATGCTGCAATGAGAATGGGAGTGGTCAATCTGGGTTATTCCTCGGAGATCTTTCATCTGAGAAATTTCTGAGTCGTAGCTGTAGGAGATATCGCACGCACCATCCGTCTGCTACAGGATGCTCGCGTTCCCAGACCTCGTCCTTCCATTCCGCATGCATGTTGCCCTCATCGACCCCCATTTCATAACGTCTTATATCGTCACGGGCTTTCTTCCCGAGCCACCCAGAGTACAGATGGTCCTGAAATGTGTGTGCGGCAGAAAGGAAGAAGGGTGAGGTGAATGTGGTTGGATCCAGAGCTGCGGACCTCAGTCGTTGGTGCTGGGTTGATGTACTTGGCAGACAAGAGAGCTCAGCTACCGATTGGATATCAGTGGTTGTACTGGTGTCTGAGAGGTGGTGTAAGCTGCGGTCATCGTGTATCGCATGATAATCTACGTGCGACGGGGAAATCGAGGGTCGGAATGTAGAGAATGCTGTACTGGGAAGAAGGGAGACGAGCATTTCCTGTGATTCAGATGATAGGTTGAGAAAATTCTCGTAATTCAATACTTTCTACGTTGGAGGGTGTTGGTCAGCGTAGAAAAGTTGACTAGTGAAGGCGAATAGCATACTGATATATCTAGCTTCGTGAGTTTGCTCCTGCTGCTTGTCAGGAGGTCAAGCTTGTGCCCGAGCATTTCTTCTGCATCCTGGGGTGTCTTCCTTTTTGCATTGGAACGCGCAGGTGTGCCTGTCACCGATACCGCCACCGTCCTTGGAGCTTGAGCAGGAGTGCGTGTCGAGCGGCGTGGACGGCCGTCCTGTGTATCGGCCATAGGTATATACAGTTAGGGTAAGAATAGAATACGAATGCGCGAAGTGTGATTTCCGCCTCAAAATGGGTATTCTCCGAGTCACTTGTGATGTAAAGAGTTGTATTTAAAAATCTAGCAGAAGCTGGGCTATAGCTTATAGAGATCCATAAAATCGGTATAAAGAACTACCACCCTTCATATGCTTCATGAGCTTCAATACCCTCGACACTATGCTCCTGTACAACTTCAACTCCCCAACAGTTGACATCCTACTCTTGCTGAACCCTGAGCGACCTCCCAAAATTCGCCGAGCCCATAAACATGCCAGGAGCTCCTGTTCCTGAGTTTCTATCTTCGCTTCAGATAAGCCCGTACAAGATGAGGCGATTTATTAAAATGTAATTCTCGTGCAGCTCCCATGATTGCTAGACACGGTCAGCACTTCAGGTCGGAACTACTTGGAGTCTTGAACTTCAGCGTCGAACGTTTGTTCAAGTCACGCTGTTTCTCAAGCAAGTCGAACACATAAGGAACGCAACAGAGAACTTCGTTAGAAGACGTACTGGACAGGACATTAGCCAAACTACCGATACATATCCGATCGCCTACAGGCGTTGTCAATCCTGTGAAAGAGAGGACGACCGCACGTCATCAGGACCTTTTTGCACACCACGATGCCTCTAACTGCTGCTCGTTTCATGCTGCCTTCACACTGATCCTCCATCCAATATGTAATATAGCATTACGGGACTATTACTTCAAAGTTGGTAGCATATAACCTGACTTGGGATCATTCCACTGCGAACATTTTAAAAGGGAAATACTCACAACCCGTGCGCCTGTTACACGATGTATACGCCGAAAAAATCGCACTACCCAAGCCTCAAAGCTTCGTATCTCCCTGTGCGAGCTTGACGGAATAGTTAAGCCGCGGAAAGTGGCAGTGCACGATTGCGTGCGAGCCCTGCGTCTCGATGACGACCTCCTCACGGCTGAGCGCGACAAGCGTGCCTGTCGTGGGGACCTTGCCTGTGCGAGGAGAGATGAGTGGAAATCGCATCGCGAAGGGAGAAGTCTCGATACACAACTGCAATCAGGCAGCAGGCGAGAATGAGGACACACGAGTCGCGAGCACTCACCAGTGTCAGTTGGAGCGACAGCAACGTTGTCTCCGAGCTTCACGCCGAGCCGCATCGCCTCGACGGCATCGAAGCCTACTGCGCTCAGGTCTTCAGGGTGAAAAGAGGCGATGAGCTTCGCCGCTTCCTCTGGGGGCACGCGTGTGAACGGCGCAGCCTTCGCTTTTTGCAAATCGTCAAGCGCGGCGGACATGCGGGCAAACCACTAAGAAGAAAGAGAGGGGGTAAACATACGGTGAAAAAGGAAGACGGAATCCAGGAAAGGGGGGAGCGCAAGGCGCAAGGCGAGAGCGTCGGGGAAACGAGGAGGGTGCGCACCAGCATCGTACGTGGGAAGACGGCTGCGTCTAGTATGTCGCCGAGGGTCTGCATGCCGCGGACCCATACGAAGACGAAGTGGGCAGCGATATCCGCAAGGCTTGGACCGACTGTGTCCATGAGCCAGTCTCGACCATCTGCGAGCTGGTTTTCAAGGTTGCTCTGGAACATGTCAGAAGTATGATTTCGGGAGCGACGGCGATGGGGCTTACGAGGTGCGAGGAAAGTGCGCTCTTGCTCTCCTCCCGGCGCGAGAGGATAGTGGGCACATCTAATATGCTACCCACAAGCTGAGCATCGATCCTGTGTTATGAGTTACTAGTGTATTGGAGAGCATAAGGTAGCTCACAGCACTACGATCGCGGATGAGCTCTGGGGGAAGACGCTCCCAAGGGAGGTGATCCGCAGCAGCGGAGAAGACAGCACGCTCGATGTAGTGTGCAGTGAAGATCTTGATGGCAGTAGCATCTGTCCGTTTGGAGGCACTACGGTGAGGAAAGAGAGTTCCGTATCCTGCAGAGGGCGGGAAGCGTCGCTCAAGGACAGCAGCAATGAGGTTCGTGTCGCAGTAGATATCATTGCCGATGGCAAGGACAGGGATGCGACGGTAAGTGACGCCGAGATACTGCGAGAGTTCAGGGCGAGGTGAGACAAAGGAGACCTGCAGAGAGTAGTCAGGGACGGTCGGGAAACCAGGAGGACAGAGCGAACCCACATCTACCCTGCTGTGAGGGACTTTCTTGAGGGTAAGCATATTTTTGACTTTGTTGCTGAAGGGAGATGCATTGTATCTGGCGCAAAATACCTGTGAGTGAGGATCACTAAGACGCAATGCAAGATGGGAGGGAGCACCCACTGGTAAAGAATAATGGGCACAGTCGACATATTTTGGAATTTGCGAATGACTCCGCACTTGAATACGCGACGAGACGAGCAAATCGTGATTATTCGTAAGTAGCAATGTGGAAGTGAAGGAGAAGATTGGTAGCTAGTAAGTGGCTTGTCGGTGTGTAAGTCAAGTCGCCCGCGTGCCAGTGCCAGCAGGCTCGGCGGCGATCAGTGACGATCAGAGATTTGACTTTTCGTTCTGGGGATTCCGAAAGCAGTACTCTTTTCCGCTAGAGTATCAGCATAACTACTCCCACTACATCATGGTCTACTCACGACATGGAGGCACTAAGCCAAACGTATACCAGATCAGCTCCCCCCTACGTCACGCGCTAGTACTTACATTACACAGGTCATTCCATCGACCTCAAGCATTAGGTCAAGCATACTAATACTCGTAATTTCCCCTCTCGACTTTACGCCGGTGTAGCCTATATGTAGTATATGCACAGCAAGCAGTATACGCCCGATGATACCCTCGGATATCCCCCGCTCGAGAGCAAAATGATGCCTGGTCTCAATATGAGAGGCACTGTGCCAATCTTCTGCAAGTACCCAGTCACCGCCGCGCTAGTGGAGCTCATTCAGTTGGGACAGTATCCGGCGACGGAGACTGTCGTGTATGCCCATCTTCCTGTCTTTCCTCGGCCAGCTCGCCGCTACATTGAGAATATGAAGCCGTTGGACAATAGATGTCTCATACTTTCCTGCTACGAGGCAATCAAGAAGTTTATCTGATACGGACTTCGTCAGCCTTCTGATATCACAAGAACGAGGCCATCTCTGAAGACTGTCGAACACCGGTCTACCAAAACCACTTCACATGCATAGCGTGCTGGCTCACATATTTCCCCATTCGTTTTCAAGGCGCCACACTGTACCGCTATGTCTCACCGAGTACCGTGCCCCGCGGGACAAATACGACAACGACCCCCTCCATTTCAGGCACCCCCTACTCAATGCTGAAAACCCACCCAGTCTTCTACTGCAGTCTTTGTACTACATCACGAAACTTAATCAGCACACTTACGGGAATGTAATAGGTGGACTGCACTCACTAGAACACGTTGTGTGCACACAGCAGCGGGAACCGCGGAAGGAGCCTCGCTCGCCATTCCTCTGCGTCTGGCGCCGCCAGCCCAGGGGCCGCACTCACCCACAGCGCGAACTGGATACCTATGAGCTGCTCAAACTTGAATTTCGGTCGCCGCTGTTGCTGTTCAGATGGTGGAGCACGCAGATCTGAGCCCGTGCCCGCTACAGATTGGGGAGCATCTAGGTCAGGCGGCTCTGCAATGGCGCAGATCGCTTCCTCGATGGCGGCGCATACAGCAGGCGTGAACGCAGCGCAGATCCTGTCAAGCGGCGCGGCGTCCACCTGATGTCGGATGTCGAGCACGAGCATCACCTGCCGCAGCGCAGGTGCAGCGCTGGCCAGGAGGTGAGGCAGCCACTCTAGAGCTGTCGTTGTGTCCGAGGCAAGGGAGAGGGGATACCGCAGGAAGAGCACTGCAAGGTTCGTGTTTGAACTTAGGTTCAAAGCAGTGCGGTAGACTGGAACAGCTGAATCGTTCAGCAACTTCGGCTCTGCCTGTCTTTCAGGCACCAGTGTGACGTCCAATGTTGCCAACGTTCTCCCCGCTCCTTCTAAAAGTGGTTGGATGTCCTGCTCCGGCACGGGCGCATAGTACCCGATGGTCATATAGGTCAACCGCGTCGCGAGTCCTGCGCGCACGAGCACAGAGACGACCGTGCGCGCATTGTGCACGCCGTTCAACGTCAGATCAGCCAACTGCAGACCTGGAGCCTTGCGCGCGAACCAGCCCGGATGGAAGTGCTTCTCCCAGTACGCGTCCACAGCGTCTGAGCCTGTGTCCTTGCCATCATTGGAAGGAGTAACGTTGGTGGGAATGGCGAACATTGGACGGGCAGCCCAGCAGCCGAGCCGGCGCACGCCAGGGAATGCGCAGACGAGACGCGCAAAGTCTGCGGGGGACGCGAATGCGACGTTATGCAGGTCAAGCCAGGTGATGGACACGAATGCGGAGAGATGGAGATGTACGTCCGGGTGAAGCGAGCTGCGCGTAAAGGTTGCGGATGTAATCCCGAGATACGTGAGTCGCGGCAGCTTGCGTGCAAGCATCACTGCAAACGTGCTGAGGTGCGCGATTGACGGTGCGCGATTGGGTGGAGATGCGCGTGCGGTAGTGGGGGGGATGTCGAGGGTGCTGTCGTCTCCGCGGAGGACGACCTCAGAGACCATGTTGCTGACGTTGGTGATAGCGAGGGAATCAGGGCCAACGTGCAAACTACGCTGCATGACATGGGCAAAATGTTTGACTTGAGTGCGGGAGAAGAGAACGATGCGCCGGAGGAGATGTAGGCGGCTTCGCGGATACCAGGACTTGCATACGAGCGCACAGGCTTTGAGGGTATAAAAGGAGAAAGAGAGATGGTCAATGATACTCTCGACGACCTCGATGGGAAGCGGTAGCATTGTTGCTTGTAGGGTACGAAGCGATATGGACGGCGAGAGGATGGCTGGCAGTTGAGTGCAGGGGGTGGGATGAGCCTGGTGCAAACATGAGGCCTTATGAAGAGCTAAGATAGGATAAATGCGTCCCCGACAAGCTCGTCGAGCGACATTTGACTTCACGCTTGTCACAGATCGCGCTGATTGTGAGCTCCTCAGGATTCACATGTTGAGTATATAGACAAGCGTGGAACTGATTGATCAGTAAGAATGTCTAGGCAGGCACGATGATCACGCCGGGTTCGCTGATTTATGGCATATGTAATGGTCCAATAATGACAGATTCAATATGTCTCTTGCATGCGGTACTTTTCAATATTTCTCCCTAAGTATTCGACACAATGCATGCTCTTCTATGCAGACCGAAGAATACTCACGAGAAACACGCAGACGACGCCTTACTTTGAAAGTCATGATCGCAGTGCTATATGTGTCTTGTTGAACTGAAGGAGCATTAGCTGTAGAGCGTGCTCAAGTTCGGGAAACCAAGGACTGGGGGCTGTCGCCGCCGAGCTGAACGTTGTGGCGTCAAGACGGCCGCCGGCGGGTCGGTGGATTCCGCATCAAGGCGCATGTCTCGAAAAGGAAAGACGAACGAAGTCGAGAACTTCTAGCTCAAATCAACGTCTGCCCTCAGGCGAACGCGTCGGCAATTGCGCGGTGACAACTCGAACGGAATATCGTACAACGCACTCTCAATAAGTGAATGCTGCCATGATTCTGAGGACTTGTCAACGTTCAACGTTGAGGCTGAGCCCTACTTTTTCGACGGTGGCAGACTCAAAGCTCTCGGTGATATATTCTGTGTCAATCCCCCCGTCTAGCACGTCTGCCGCCTTCTCCACTAGACCTGTCGTACATTCTGATCAGTTTTTGCCTCATGGATATCTTCAGAGTCCAACGCAATTGATATCTATGTTTTTAAAGTTTGCCGTCGTTGCGATTCTGACCAGCCATTACCGTATTAGCCAACAGAACTTGACATGTGGTTGACACTGTCAGCCTCTCCCAATGTTGATAAATTCCCCCGTCCTAGATCCTGCTCCTTTTCTCCACCTACTACTTCCATTAGCACCGTCCAGATTTTTCAGCCGCGCTGAAGTCGCTGCGATTGTGCTCTTACACTATGTGCATACTTAGCTTCTCTATCGTCTCGAAGGACTATGTCTCCACATCGTCCTCCCTCCATTATCGCTCCCCACCGTCCTCCCTTCATTATCGCTCCCCATCCCCCCCACCTGTTGACACTCCGCGCACGGACAAGTCCCATAGGGGCAAGGCTTTGTTCAAGAGGGTTGCCACCGTCTTTCAGAGCAAGAAGGGGCGCGAGGTGCAGAAGAAGGGAAAGCCCCAGGACGCCGATGTATACGTGTTTGTCGGCGACGAGAGAGACGACGACGTCCTCGTCAACTCGCCCCCGGTCCCCGCCCCGGCTTGCGTCCCCTCCCGTCCTACGATGGCACCCTCGGTGAATGTGTTCGTTGAGAAGTCTGTCAATTTCAAGGTCGACGTGGACCCCACTTGTCTCAGTTCCAACACCGATGAAAACGCGAACAACATGCAAGAAGCCCTCCTGACCAGAGGCACTCTCCGCGCGCCATCCGACCAGGTTCTCTCCGAAGTCTTCATCTCGTTTCCTGCCGCCGCAGAGGTTATTTACCAGGAGTCTCTCGCCTCTCCGAGATATGTCCCCGGGCAACGCGTGACCGAAACCGTCGTCATGGGTGCCCGGCACATATTTGACAAGGACGGCATCCTTATCGACAGTATCCCGCTCTTGATGGAGCCTGCGAGCGACGAGTCAGATTGCGAGGAGGACGAGCTGGAGGATGAGTCCCCCATTGGCCGCGTCGCGTCTGCTGCGCTCGTTGCGGACTCCTACACCCCTGTTTTCAACCGCCGCCGTGCGACGCGAGTATCCAGAAGCTTCATTGACCCTGGAAATGCATCGCTGCCGCCTTCTTCCCCTGGACTTTCTACTAAGAGGCCCGCAGAAAGCGAAGAGTCCGATGCCGATGTTTCCGAGAGTCAAACTGGAATGGCAGTACCCTCAACCGACTGCGTCTTTGCAGCGGACATTACTGAACCATGCGCCATCAATAGCACAGTAAGCGATGCAATCATGCATTTTCGATCAGCGTAACTAATCACGAGTCCCAGGAGGTAGGAATCTCCTCAGCCAAGGGTGTCCCTGCAGTTACCACGGATGGGCCACATATTTTCAATTGTACAGTGAGTGGCCCGAATTGTAAACCATCCATCACCGTACCTAAACCGCGATCCAGGAGATAGCAACTTTCCCACCAGATGGTGCCCCCGCAGTCTCTGGCCGTGAGCCCCTCGCGCGTAGCAGTAAGGTAAACAATACCTGTACTGGGCTCTCCGTCCCTTTGTCTCACTGAGGAATATAGGAGACTGCGTTCTCTGAGCATGATACCGCGGAGAAGCGCGAAGAAGATATTCTCGCTGCCGCGTTTGGCTCCAAACTAGATACTACCGGTGAAATTATCATGCAAGAGTCGTGGGCGAAAGACTTAGTTTCCGCCATCCCGTCCAACAGGGCTTTCAACCACGCCGTCTCACTTGCAGTCAAAGGGAGTGCGGACGCGAAGGCTGGTCCCGAAATTTCGCGCTCCACGGCAACTTACGAGATGGGTATCACTGTGGTTGAACCAGCTGCTAGTGTCGCGGCGCTGACAAGATTTGAAGCCGAAATGAAGCATCTGTCTACTCCATTTGTAGAGCGCGAACAAACGGTTCTCGAGACGTATGTGTTCCTGCCGTTCAATATTGACTATCGTGTCATGCTTACGGACAAGCCGTTATCTTTAGCGTCGTGTTAAGAAAGAACGAAGAGTGCCTGAAAGACCTCGACACCGATTTGGAAGACTTGCCATCTCCCATAATTAAATGCGAGGTCGCAGTCGATGCCACAGAATGCTCCATGACAAAACATGAAGAAATTGCCGTACAGACTACTGACGATGTCGTGCAAAGCGGTGAGTCGAGAAATCAATATGCTCGGTAAAGAAACATCTTACAGGACCGACCTTCAGATATTTCCGCAAAAATATCAGTCTCGTCTGCTCAGCAGACAGACAGCCCTCCAGAAATCCCCTCTCCAGATGCATCCAAATCCCTCCACAAGATTGTCGGAATAATTTTATCCTTTGTTGCCGAACAACAATTGGAACCCGCTTCTATTCGCGCCACTGCGTACGATGCCATGTTAGCCCCTGAATTCCCACACGACAAACACAATGCACCCATGTTTACGGATTCCATCTTCCTCGACCTCTTTGAGCTGGTGAAGGCAGAGTCGGAGGCCCTGGCTCGCCGACACTCTGTCGTAGAACAGCTTTTGGCGCTGCTTAATCTGCATGCCCCTCTTCCCCGGATTCAAGAGCAGTCTGGTGTCCATGATACTCTGACGTGTCGCGCCAATTTCTTGCAATTTACGTCACGAACACTAGTTGAAGAACAGGCCTGGCACAAGTATATGGGGACTGTGCTCACCACAGTGGCCCATATTGCGCTCGATGCCCCCTCGTCTGTAAAATATCCTACCCTAGCAGCCTCCCCCGATATCAGTCCTTCCCCTCCTCCTGAACCAGCATCCGAAATCCGTCTCACGCTGCCAAAGGAATCAGTCTCACCGGATGATACGAATAATGCAGAAGACGAGAGAGATATCCATATACAAGTTCTGAGCCAGGAAGCGCAGAGAAAGTCGACGGAATTGCAGAGGAAACTCCGAACAATGGGGGAGGAGCGCGTACGCCACTCGCTGGATGGTGCGGCGGCATTTGATCAGGAGACTCGAGAGGTTCTCCGGAACCTCGACCAGGACACGAAGAATAATGATTCTAGTACAAATTCTGAAGTTACGAAACGCCGATACCATTCTCGTTGTTCCTCTACCACTTCTATCTCCCTGCCTCAAGAATCAAACAAGGCTGGTGCCCGCAGATTTTCAACCGGAGATAGGATCCGTCTTGGGCGATATAGCCCTACAGTTTCTTCCAAGAGCGAGTCGCCGAATCATACTTGTGCCGCCGCTGAGAAGCGACGTACTGCTTTCGACAGCTGGCTGTCGAAGCGTGCATATGACAAGCTTGTAGTGGACAACAAACCATCTGCAAGTTTCTCCCCCACCAATACGAGGTCCTCGGCGCCGCCCGTGTCTTGGAGAAACATTTCCGTAAATCGGACCGCCTCAACCTCGGCGCTCCCAATGCGACCCCCATCTACGCCCCCTACTATCTCTGTCGCTCGCTCCGCGACGGTGGAGACAATGTTCAACGACAAAGTTGCTACTCCAAGGAGGTCTACCTTCTCGGCCCGCTCTAAGCAAATGCCCCCGAGTTCGCCCAGTGCGAACTTCAGACCATCCCCGACGTCCACTGTCAGAACTGCTGCATCTACCCCTTCGAAGGGGTCTTTGACCCAGCCCGTAGTGCGCTCGCCGTCAAAAGCATCCGTTATTTTCACTAGAGGCAGGGAGAACGCTCTACCCGCGTTTCCGCGTCCCACAGGACGGGCACCCGTCTTCGGCTCTGCGCTGCAACCGAAACCCATAAACCTAAATCAGACGAGAGGAACAGTCCCGATTGGCACTTCGCCAGCCAAATACCGCCCTCGGTCGTCACCCCCGAACACTATCAATATCGATTCCCCCATCGCGGTGGCGAAGCCCATACGCAATAGCAGCTCACGGCCGGTCTTGAGCCCCATTACGAACGCATGAAATCACGAACACGAACATGAACATGAACACGTTGACGAGCAGAGTCGCGGCAGGCTCGGAAAAACCTCGTGAAACTACTCTACTGCCGGTAGCCTTTACGCCCAAATTTCAGTTCAACAATCCAGTGTCGTAATCGACGCAATGTTATTATGTCTACGCGCAGAGAAATTCGGGAGGGCGATTGAAGCGGACTTCGTCCAACTGAATGACTCGGACATCCGCTCGTATCTTGTATCGGTGGCACGCATAATAGTGCAGATAGTGAGTAGTATGAGCAAGTTACACAAGTTACGACAATCATGACCTTCTAGTATTCCGTAGAGTCCTCCAGCACGTTACAAAATCTGTCTACTGCTGCAATCTGCATATGTATTATCTAAACAAGCCGTGTTTGCAAGAGGTTGCAACGGTATTATATCACATGTCTGCCTTCTCAGTCTGTGCTCCCCATTACCAAATAGAAGATCTGTCGAGGGCTTTGTCTTGGTGACATTCACATAAGGATCTACTTTTACAATATTGCATACACCATTATTCAAATACCTACACACAGACTTCCTTCTAGTGGCAATGCCTACAGAAGAGGGAGAATTTTGTCTGCCGCTGTGATAGTAAGCTCGGAAGTGACCGGCTCTATGGCAACATGGGTAATGTTTTCACCCTCGGTGATGAGAACGAAGCGCTAATTAACGGAGGAGGAAAAGGTGAAAACCGTAGAGGAAATTTAAGCAGACTACTGCATACCTTGGCTCTTGGCGCCCCGAGCACTTCGGAAGCATCGAACAGTAACCCCATAGCGCCAACGAATGCACCCTTGTCGTCGGCGATGAAATGGATGGCTATGAAGCGCATGAGTACGAATCGAGATTGTTGAGTGAGCGATATGGCGACATACGAGTGCCGTCGCTCGCAAGCTGCTCCTTCCATGCTCTGGAGTCGCAGCAGCATTAGGCTTACGTTCGTAGTACGGCATTGAGACTCGCTCACTTCAAGGTAAATACATCGTTGACGGCGACGACGTAGATGTTATTCACGCCTCTTCTCTTGAACTGTTCATATGCCTTGATGTACCCGGGTATCTGGGCACTACAGGTGCCTGTGAACGCACCCGGAACGCCGACCTACCAAATCGCCGTTTATCAACACACGGCACCGCTGCAAACGCAGCTCTGCTCACAAAGACATTCTTGCCGGTGATACCGGCAAACGTGAAAGTGCTTCGCGCCTCGTCTTCCTTAATGGGTACAGCGGTCGGTATGGTCGAGCCCGGTTTTACCTCGGCCGCACTCATGAGAGAAACTGCGGCAGTGTGTGCTGCCTGGGTCGCACTAGAAAGGATGGAGGCCATGCTGGTCGTACTGGAGGGCAGAAGGAAAGAGGAGAGATGGCGACCTCTGCCCCTCCCATGCTTTATATACCCACAGCTCGACGTCCGTCGCGTGACGTCATGGCAGTTGGAGGTGCAATCTACTCACGGTCCACCCATGCTTCGCCGCTGTCCAATACATCGACTGCTCAGCGGTATACAGATATTCATGATCGAGAGACGTTCTGGTACGCTAAGCTCGCAGACTCATATTCCCGCACGAATATTCGATGCTGCTCCCTCGCCATGAACCTGCATCGATATTAATGATGAATAATCAGCGTGGAAGATTAGACTTACACCATCAATTCGTTCGCATATTCCTTTACGAGCCCAACCGATTCGGAATCCATGTTCGAGCTCGCTACCATCTGTGGAAGACTCACTGTGAGAAGCGTCAGTTCCAGGTCCTACATTGAAGGCGAGATTATATCGACTTACCCAACATACGGAGAAGGTGTTCAGCCCCGTAGATTTCGCTCATTTCTTTCTCTTGACCTACAACAACTGTAGGTCCAGTTACATACTTCTTACGGATTTCTGCATACTGTGGCCGCTCAAAGCGATACAGAAGGTTCGCCCCCAGCGCACGATCAAAGTAAGTCTGTAACCCCGCTACAATTGTGGGAAGCAATGTCGGTGGGTCTTTGAGACTGGAAGTACAATTAGCATGAGGCCGAAAATCGTCGGCTTGAATGGAACTTACTGTGCTGCTTTCTCTGCAATAACATATGTCTTGAAATCTTGCAGTAAATCTAGTACATTGGGCTTGCGAGGAAGGCCAACAAGCTGAGCATATCATAATGAGATCTAGATATCATGCGAGAGTGTGCGCCGTGCCAACCTGATTGTTCTTTGTAACTGCCTCCCAATCGTCTACTAGTAGTACTTTGAGCGATTCCGGCACAGTGAGCTTCATTTCAGGCCTCTTGCTGTGCTCATCCTGTGCGGAGTTGTTATGAGAATAGGGAGGAGAAAATGTATGGCAACCTGCCTCCTCTCGCCCGCGCTTTGTTCCCCTGGTCCCACCGTCCTTCCGCCCCGTCCGAGAAGAGCTTCCTGCGGCAGCCAGTTTACTGGCACCCTTGGATGCGGATGCCGACGCTGAACCCTGTGCGGCATTTGCTTGGGCCTGCAACGCCTTCTGTAGCTGAATGTTGGACTCATTGTACTTCATGAGCCGGGCAGGTTGCACCCATTCATCCCATCTATGTACCACGCCTATAATTATTAGGAAGAAGGAGATGGAGGCAGCGTACGTACGTTTGCTTCCATCCTTTGTAGTGGACAAAATAGTGTGGACCAACTGTGCCCATTTTCGTGGTCGTCTCGTCCCAATGTTCGATTTTGATGATTTTCGCCTCATATACCAGGGGTCCGTGATAGCACAGAATTCTTTCACCTTGTGAATAAATACCCATAGGTGTAGTCATCTCGCCTGCATATAATGGCGACAAGTGCGTAGGAGAGCGTTGAAGATACGGCGTGTGATCACACGAAAGGAAGCTGAGGTAGAGGCAGCCGCATCAATCACCCAGACAAAAGCAATGAACATCAATAAACCCTTGTACAATATATACACAATATTGACACAATAAAGTACACTTGCTACCTCATAGTGAGACGAGAATATGTATGAAGTCGAACACGCTAGTGCGACATGGCGTACAATGCATAACGTACAATTGCATTCTACCATCATAGCACAACATGACAAAATAACATAACACATAACATAAAAATGGACCATCCATCTGAACCAGATTGAAGGCAGGGAGCGCATAACTTGAGTTAATCGTCCTCAAGATAACGATGTGGCAAATAGCCACAATGATGGACAACCAGCAAGCCTTCCAACCTTGGCGGCTTCACTCTCCTCCATGACTACCAGGGCGACATGCTGTAAAAGAAATGAAAAGGCTGCACAGTATTAAGGGATACAAACTTTACGTACCTCATAGAAATACATTTTTACAAGAAGCGCAATGTCGGAGTTGCCAGGGTAAACACTCGAGCACCAGCCCCACGCCAATCCAAAGATTCTGAGGTATGCGGCCGAGGGGAAATAGTGGGGGTGCTAGAGGTATAAGAAAAGTCTGATATCGCGTAAAAGTGGGCGTCGAGCCATCAGTTATGCATCGTACCCAGGGCCTGGGGTCAAAATTATGTATGCCTGCTGAAGAATGACGTCAAAAATGTTAGGAGGCAGGAAGAGATTGCGCGCACCCAAACCATAGAGCATACCCCCACCCCCACCACCCAACTATGACCGCTGCGATATCGCCGCTTCCGCCGCAGCGGCACAAGCATGGCACGATCGGCATGCTCGCCTGCGTATCTTCTCCTTGGGTTTGGGGACTGACCAATCAAATACACCGTCATATGCAATTCTGTGTCGCTCCGCTAGCCCGCGGAATAGAGCACGAATGCCGTCATAATCGGGAAGGTCTTCAAAGGATAAACTTCGCGTGTACTTGTAGAAAATGTCGAACTCTGCTGGGAGGCCAACAGTAAGCAGATCTTGCATTTCTACTTTCCTATCACGAATGAGGTCCCATGTTTCATCAGTGGTGGGTGCCTTGATCTTTCGCCACGGAAGAGAGCCACGAAGAAAATAAATGAGCATGTAGGCGAGCGACTCGAGGTCATCACGACGAGAAGCCTCTGTCACACGAGTGAGCTTAGGAGCTCAACTGGAAAGAACTGACGCCACACCTATGCCAAGATGGGTATTAATGGCTGCAAAGAGACATGTACCAACACCATGATAGCCATCCTGCTTGTAAGCAATATGTTCACTTGTTCGAGGATCCCTAAACTTCTTTGCGAGACCGAAATCAATGATGTTGACAAGGTCGTCCCCGTCTTGGTCAGATTTGGGTATGACGAAGTTGGCTGGCTTAATGTCACGATGGACGAGGTCTCGGGAGTGAATGTATTCAATCCGAGATATCTGAAACATGTATCGCATCATCAACAATTATTCCTGAGATTGTATGCATATAGGATAGAATGAAACATGGTTGTTGCGGAAACGCCAGAGGCACGTCACACTGCGAGGCGCCGGCAGCGCGCGGCGCATAAGACCAGTATCTGTAGTCGAATTTACTCACCAATTGGTCAGTAAGAAGTAGTATTGTCTTGAGCGAGAAGTAGTTGTTGCACATATCAAAGAGCTGTTCAAGCGAGGGGCCAAGAAGATCAATGACCATGACGTTATAATCGCCCTGCTTTCCAGACCACATTATCCAAGGGACACCAGGTCCACCGGACAGTGTTTTGTAGATCTTCGATTCTTGCTTGAGAGGGCTAGATTTTGCTATTGCTGGTTCGAGCTTGATGGCCACCTCCTTGCCCGCAATTGTGTGAACACCTTGGAATACTTCGCCTAAAGACATGATATCAGAATGATGAGAATCAACACGAGACCGAATTATACAAACCACAGCCGCCCTTTGCAATGACCTCCTCCACCTTGTATTTGCCCCCAAAAGTGAAATCCATTTCTTTTCGCGTAATTCGGGATCCAATGATTCGGAGTCCGGGAATGAGCAGAAACGCGCGTAGAACGAACGTTTACGTCGTCGATACTGAGACAGACTGGTTGACGCTTGATGGAACGCGGAATGGTCGTGGCAGACGTGAGGCCTGTCAATAGAGGGGGTGGAGTTGAATCTAGAGGGAAGTGGCTGGGACTCAGAGGACGAGGGGCTCGTGTTCGCGTTCATTATGTAATCCATCCGATCTCAACCTTCTGCCACAAGCTACAACCAGTGGGCGACTGGCACTCTGAGCTTCAACTTGATCTCTTCTGCCCGTCTGGAGAGAGAATTAGTAGTATGCTTCGATACTAAATCGTGCGATTCACTTCCACTTGTTGTACATTTTCTCTGGTCATGGGATTGCAGTACATTCATGATCAATGGCACCGAAGACTAGTGCGAAACTCCCAAGGTCGGGTGCCCACCCTGAGACCAAGCATGATAGACGAGTCTGGGGAGAAGAAAAGCATGTCTCAGCTATGTCTCTACAATTGAATGCAGCTTCTACTGCGGCTGAATGCTAATTCATTATGATCGAGTTTGAGCTGGGTACATGAGCAGAATCAAACTGGTGACTTGAGTCTTGAGTGACTCACATGTTCAAAGTTCATGCACGAATAGGAGGCATGTGCTGAAATTGAGATTGTGTCTCTTTTCAAGTGTTATACTGCCGTGTTTTACAGGATTATCGGAGCGCGATTTTCCACCATGGTCGGTAATTTTTTTGAAACGCTCAGTGATTAGGCTGAATAGCCCAACAGAGAGCCGGCGTATATGAGGATGCCGACATTGTTGCTCTGAAGCGGGTCTTGCTTAAGGCTTTTTTTTTTTTGCTGATTCCTCATCCAGCAGCTAGTCCACATACTGAGTTTCGTAGCAATTCTTTATATTTCACTCCAAGTGCATCGTGTTGCGTATGCTGGCTGTGTTTCGAAGATGCTGTGCGAGTTCGGTCTCGAAGATCGGTGCCCGTTGTCCCGAAAAAGAGCATGTCAGTGCGCTGAGGTTCTTCTGGTACATTTGTTTATGACAATGGCAGGATTAGTTCATGCCGTCAAGAGCTAGAGGTATGTAAATACACACCTCCTCCCACAGGTGTCACTCATTTCGCCGAGTTGTCAACACTGCCATTTGATCCCTTTATCCAGAAGATCCGTCCTCACCGTGCCTATCACTCTGGGCAGCGATGGTCTGTCATTAGGTACGATTCGTTCTTGTCTTTGAGTCAGCTCATTGATTCCCTACTGCTTCCTGCTAGTGATGCACTTCACGGTATTTCCTGCCAGGTCTCCACTACCACTCCTCTGATCGCCTTCTACTAGCGTAACGCCACTAATCCCAATCGACCCCCAATAGCAGGATCCACGTCCAAATTCATATGGCAGCACGAACGCTTGACGGTGATAATACACAGTATACCTGGTCTCTGGAATGGGCTGGAGCGGAGTAGCTTGTGCATCTATCAAGTAACGCCGAGAAAGTACTGCGCTGCCTTGATGAGGATATACTTGCCAAGGCATTATTCCCTTGTACGTTTATGTATGACCTTGTGATGCGGGCATCCACACGAACCTGGATCATGTATCGAAGGATGCACATATCTAGTCTACTTGTGAGTATACAAGGGCTAGTTAGGACCATAAACAGTGCGTAATGCATCTGTTTGGAATGTGGTGGCGGATCAAGCTCCCTACTGAGAGCGGACCTTCCATTGCATAGGTCCGTTCGAGCCTCTGCGGATTCTCTTCGGGACATTCTGATCGTCTATCACATGCCAGCCGCTCAACGAAAGGGTCTATTGCGTCCTTGTTTTATGCTAACGTGCGTCAATTCGTACGGTGAATTATTGATTATGGGCTTGGTTGATGTTCCTGTACAATATTTCCGCCATCGGAAGGTCCGGAACACTCATGCCGATAGTCGGATAGTCGGCGTCTTTCAGGGGTGACAGACATTATCTCATACGTTCCTGCCAATTTGGAGATTTCATCCATAACGTGATGGATGAATCTTGATGTGGGCCGGCGGTTCACTATGGGCAGCAATATCGACCTGCGCGGCTTGTCCTCCAGCCATTAATAGCATGTTGGTACCTATGTTTTTGTTTATTCCTACTGACATGGATGTAGATTACCCTAACAGTTATACGTGTTACCCTGGGTGCAGAGTGCTTCCGTCAACATGGTCTAGTTCTGTGTTTCCTTTAGGTTCCAATCACCCCAAAGCTGTCGACAGCGCATAATTACATACGCTCGAGGTCTAGGTAAGCGCATTGTTCATCGAGTTGACGGTGCCTGAGCTAACTTTGAGTGCGAAGGGGGGAAGACCGGGCAGGCACTGATCCATGTCTAGCATCTGCATTGTCCATAGCAAGTCGAAAATTGCTTCCATACTACGCAGGCTTTGGTCAGATGTGCCAACGAAAAGACAGCGGAGACAGATTCCTATTGATTTTATGCGCGGACCAGTCATCCTTGTACTTGCCGTGGCAGTTTTATCTCTGGGCAGTTGTCCACGAGTTCAGAGGAGCATCTAGGCTGCATAGGTCGGCGCCAGTTCAGGAGATATCAAGTCCACTCTCGGTCTATGAATCGCTATTAAACAGTGAACTCGAATCAATCCTTCCACTGAATCTCTGAATTTCAGCTATCATGAAGTTATCTCCGTCTCTCCTCTCACTCACCACCCTTGCGGTTGGTGGATATGTCCTTGCTGCTCCCAGTGTTGACCTGCAGAGTAATCTCGTACCACTCTTCGTTCGTCCTCCAGGACTCACTGCTGGTTTCCACAGAGCGTACCGCATGCGAAAATAGGGCTATTATCTCGACCTCCAATATCAATGTCGACGACAAGGTCGTGACGTGGGAGACCTTCGGATGTGGTAGCTCGATATCCGCCAGAAGTGAATTCAAAAGACAGGCCAACGCAACGAACGTGTGCGATGGACTTTGTGAGCGCGACTTTTTAGTAGAATGGGCGCAGTCTCATCAACTACAACAATCACTAGGCACTGATACATGCAACAATTTGTCTGGCGATTTACCACCCGCAGCGGATGATTGTGCTACAATTGTGGATGCTATCACTATCTTGAACGGCTCCATTGGTAAGACACCCCTTTCAATTCACTTGCAGTGGAAACTGATGTGTCGCACGATGTTCCACAGCGCCTACGTTTGTTGTGGATTCCCAATCTATACAACAACTCAGCTACGGTACTTGCCGCTATTTCTTTGAGAATTTGAGCGACGGTCCCTTAGAGTATTGCTGGCTCGCCCTGGTTCGTTGTCTTGCATCACGTTTTAAGTCGATCGCACCATTCATTTTGACATTTATGGTAGGGCGATATGGCGTCTGCCGCTGGGAGCGCATGTTTCCCCCCTACTCAGCCGGTTTACTCGGAAGGAATTTGCGAAACAAGCACTGGCACTTGGTTGGTGGGGTAAGTTAAGACGATCCAGCAGTCATTAGGATATACGCTGATAATATTTCGGCGGACTTAGGGCTGCTCATTCCTGAAGTGTTACAAACAGTGCCCTTCAGAGATTACGAGGCGGTTACGTGGCAGAGCATCTCATTTGTATTTGAGTGGTTTCATCATCAGGGCGTTCTGGCGTACTATGGATGTCATAAGTTTGTCGTACTGGATTCTCGGGAGAATGTAACGCGAGTCATAATATTGATGTCATTTTGTCACAAAGTGGACAGACCAAATGGCCAGCATTCCGCAAATGGCATTTTAACATTACACATACAGCACATCAGAGAAAAAACATCTAGACAGCAAAGGCCTTTATATAGGCTTTATTTTGAAGTGCAGGGAGATGAGAGAAAATATGAGACTCTGATCCGGCGAAACATGAATTGTCTGAGCATTGCAGAAGGAAGACAGACAGACCTTCAAATCCTGTACTAGGAAATAAAATACACGTAGGCCCTCTGGATCTTCACTGTCCTGTATATCGACCAGTGATCCTATTTTCGCTGTCTGATTCTGAAGTGAGGGACAGCTCATCGGTCAAAAAAGATGAAACGATACCTCAAAGGCAATATGGTCGTTGCCTACACGAATCTCGAGTTCCTGCTTGCCGACAATGTTCTTCTTGGGCCAATTGGTATCATCTTCCCTAAATAAAAGTCGCATGAACGAATGCTGAACCACCAGCAACTGTGACCTACTTTGTGATCTCACTTGACTCCACAATACGTTTTAACTCTTTCACAACCAGCGGCCCAACCCACACTGACTCAAACTTCACCATCCGCAGGTCATCATGGTTGACAAGGTCACTTACTCTCTTTGCGAATCAGACTGTCATTGCGATAGTTCGAGTTGTTTGCATATCGGAGACGACCGTGCGAGTACTCAAATTCCAGGAATTCATGGCCGTGCTTGCCTGAATGACCAGTGCTACGACAATGTTAGTATGCGTAAGCAGCAAAACAGCAAATACATACTAGTATCTGAAAATTCGGGGCGTGAGCAACTTGCGCGCACGCCCTAGCACTTTTCTTCATTCGTACCTCAAGTAAAATGGGTCATTGTCGTGGGAGGCCATACTTGAGTCAACTTCCTTGAGGTAGAAGGAAAGGACGCGGTTCGTTCAACTGAGGTCAACTGCTTAGTAAGCAAATTGAGCCGGTAATAGGTCTACTAGTAGCAGAGTAAGACCAATTTATAATGTAAATGTCAAGCACAAGCCTAAACTGTAACCAAACTGAGAATTATGTGTATTGTAGCGTCTCGGGATGTGAAAGGTTCAACTAAACTACCAGAATCTACGCCGACCCTACATTTGGTGTAGGAACTTTGGAAGCAACAGCCAGCTCCTGCTGAACAATCTGCTCTCCCAAGGCTTTCACCTGAGCGGACCTAGTAGCTGCACCTAGACGCATCTGGTTCATCACACTCTCAAGTGTCTTCTGGCCAACGCCAACCGGTGCCCGATGCCATCGCACAACCCGAATGCCAACCCCAGCCATGGCATGCTCCTCCAGATACTTGATCCACCGATCTACTACCTCTTGATCTGCATCCCAAGCCTTGATGGCACGCTTGTGCACTTTGCGCTCGAAATTTTCTTGAGACTTCTTATGTGCGAAAGGTCCGCGTGGCACGGTCCAAAGTGACCGCTGTGTGGGAAGGTGCACAGACCGCGAGATGGGGATTGCCAACGATGACGCGGCATGCGAAGTGAAGTGAACGAACTGGTCCAAGAGACTCGGAAAATATGAGCGAAAATGGATGAGAGCAACTGGAATGCCATGCGTCTTAGGGTGATAGTATGGATCTGATACACCACGGCCGTGTATGACAGTAGCAGCCCACCGCTTTTCTGCGGTCTCCGGAGCAGTTGGCTTCGACAGTGAACCACTGAAAAAATATGAGCTGTCGTACGACGCCGAGCCCAATTCACTTACGACGCGATTGTGCTGCTTAACCGAGCCCACCTCTGCGCTGAAGCTAGCGCATTCTTGCCATAATGTGCTACCAGCATGACGGGAACGTGAAAGTCGAACGGGACTTGCACGCGCCGCCATCGGGCATGGAGACGCCTGCCGCTTACGGCAATTCACGGCGCCCAGTCATTTCAAGCTCTACTCACACTGGTACTTGCAGCACTGTTCAGATACTATATACATAGAGCTGATCTGCTTGGACTGGGACTCATACGGTGTAGGCCTCATTCCCTAACATGGTCATACCGTCAGACTTTATCCTTCTACTTGCTTTTCCAGGAATTGGCGTATTAAATGCAACATCTCTTGCTTCACCTTCGGTGAAACGCTAGCTGTGATGAAGGTCGTCACGTAGCCTCTACAATAGCCTGCATTTTATGCTTACCTTCTGCGCGAGGACGCAGCCCATCTAGTATGGTATCCACGGACGTTGCTCGAGCTTTTTCTGTGGATTTGCCCGTCACTAACATTGACCCCGCTCCGAGTTCGTCAGGGGAATCAATGTTATACCTTGACTCTCATGTCGCCATACATCTAGCCACCCGCTCTCACTGAGTTTCTCTATAAGTACTGCAGAAAGTCTAAGGAAACATAGATACATGAATCAAAAACATATTTGAATCACATGCATATATATATATATATACGCACCTGTCCCATTCACCATGTTCTATCATGCGGCGCTGAAGTTGGGCGTACAAGGCGTCGTTCTGCGCGGCATCATTTCGAGGCATGAATTGGGTAATCCAGGATTCAGACGCGCTGAAGGTGTAGAGTCACAGTGAGCTGGGAGCATGAAGCAGCACCTCAGTACTCGTGTGGCTTAAGACTAAGGAGTAGTCTCGGTGTGGCGCAGCGCCTCCGAGTTGGATCCGGGTGGTGAATGGCATTTCACTATGATCGAGTGGTACCTTCACACTGAGTGCGCCATCAATTGAGGAAACAGACATCACAAGTGTTTCGCTACAAGAGTGTATATCTCGAAGTACAGCCGAGCGGAGCTTCATAAAATTGAATGGGTGCATATATAAGAATGAATCGGACGAGCGTCGCAAGATAAAGCTAACTCTCAAATAGTTGCTATGCTACCCCTAAACAGTCCGTCTCGCGAAGTGCATCGTAGAAGTCGTCCTCTAGGTAGATGTCGCATTCGCCCTCAATGATAGAGCCCTGATGGCATGTCGCAGCATGCTTCCACCTAAAATGAATCAGTAATTTTGACGCATGATATGCCATAAATTTGCTTACCAGTAAATCTCCTTGACCTAGTGTTTGTCAGCTGCGAATAAAATTATAAAGAGATAAGGGAAAGACAGACTTTTGTGGGAACATCCTTGATACCCTCAACGGCAATCCATTTTAAACACTTATGACACTTTCCTTGTATAATCTCGGTCTTCTCTTGTTTTCCTGTACTGGCGCGAGATACAGTACGAAAGGTGAGGGGTGGTGAGAATGGGCGCCCTGTCATTGCGGAAATGCCTAGGAAGCGTCAGCTGAACATCAAACCGAGAGGAAATAGCTGCAGTACCGTGTGCATATTGCATATGATAGCTTCGAAGAAAGTGAGTGAATGTAAACGCAGACAGACGAAGAACTCTGTGGTCAGCATTAGAAACAAATAATATTCAGCATTAGTCATCAACCACTCACCACTTAAATGCAGAGAACTTCATGGAAAGCCATAATTTCTTGCCCTCCCCACCTCGTAAGGCGCTCTCGCAACAGCAGGGACAAAGACCAACCTGAAAAAATGTATATTCAAGTATCACGCCAACATGGTAGATAAGAACGGCTCACCTTGGTGGTACCCTTTCCTTTCACAAATCGTGGGGTATATAGATCCAGCTCATGGCGGGGCGAATTATAGGTAGCATCCGAGAGCCATTTACACGTCAGATGTCTGGTCAAAGAAAGCGACCACTCAGTTTTTTATATGTGAACAATAACAAAAACTCACCGATCAGCCCCTTCTTCTCTGAATGAACTAACGGGGAACCTTCTATAGAAAAGCAAAAACTCTGGATGAATTTGCACAGAAAGGGGGAAGGTACGATGAGGATAGGATGGTGGTTCTGACGTGATCGGTGACTCAGACTCGGAATCCGAAGATGGCTCAGGGCCTCGGTATATGCGTCGTTTCTTTATCGTAGGTACGAATTGAGTCTGACCACGCTTGCGTTTTGTAGACGTAACCTCCCGACTTGCATTGTGTTCGCAGGACTGACGGGAGATCTCAGCGTGTCTCCGTGGTCTAGTGTAACGGGACTCGTTCTGACGAGTCGGCAGCGACGTCTCTCCGGCTTTGACACTTGAAATACGACTGGGAGACGGACGACGATGTGACTCCAGAGGGATTGGTGATGCTTGGCTGCATTCAGAAGGTTCATACGTGGAGGAGGTTGCAGACAGCGACGACAGGCTAGATGAGAAAGGTGACACCTGAGAAGCCACAGGTACCCCGTCGTTGGTTACACGCTGATTGTGCGACATTTGATAGTCAGCCAGCGATTGCAATCGTTTTGCAGAAGAAATCTCCCCTCCATGTTGAGAATACTCATGCACAGAGTGGGAGCTGGGCGACATGTGGCGAAAAACGGGAGATATAGAAGAGCATCCCACAGCCCAGAAGCAACTTGGCGACGAGCTGAAAAGTTTCTCAAACGGAGTTCTGGGAGAGGGATTCAAGATTGGCATAAGCTTGAGATCCTTAATACTTTGCTGATTACTTGTAAAAGATGGGGACTCATTGGCACAGAGGCGGTCGTTTTCAGCAGCAGGAAGAGGTGAGATTAAAGCAGCGTCGGAGGGGTCACAAAGATAGACGTCAGCATCGGGTGAAGAGCAATCATGCGTTTGGCGGAGGGCAGACTCGCGATAGACACGGGGTGACTGGGTATATGCGGTCAGAGTGATGCTTGAGTATGGGCCGACAAATCCGCTGTAGCTCTTGTTGTTGGCCAGCGACAACATTTTGGGTTGAATTTTACTGCAGCAGGCGCATTAACAACCATAAGCATATATATGCAAGACTACTCACGGTGTACGACACCAGCACGGTGGCAGTTTCGGTGTAGGTCGTGTAGTCATCGACGCGTCGTGTGCGCGTTGTTTGCACACACGGCCGATGATAACGTAATGCAAACAGAAGCGCGCTACGTTGCAAGTGCGATCGGAATGGCGTCGCTGCCAGTGCGAACTCATTCAACCTGCCATGGCCATCTATCTCTTACCTTTCTTCTCTTTAATTTTATTCCTGCAGCTCTCCATCCATGTTCGTGCGTCAGCACTGACGACGGCCATTGGTGCCAACGAAAGACTTTGCTTCTACGCCGATGTGGACAAGGCAGGAGAGAAGATTGGTGTGAGTATGCTGTATTACTCGTTCAACTGGGCCAGCTAATCTACTGCAGTTCTACTTTGCGGTAGGAAATGGCCAGCTCATGTCGTGTAATCCCGTCATGGAGTTATGATTCATTTAGGTCCAAGCGGGAGGTTCATTCGACATTGACTTTGATGTGAAAGATCCAGCTGAGAAGGTGCTCCTCGACGGTGTTCGAGAGCGACAGGGTGATTATGTTCTCACGGCAAATACCGTCGGAGAATACGCCTTTTGCTTCGAGAACGATATGTCCACGCTTACGGAGAAACTCATTGATTTCGACATCATGGTCGAGAGTGAACCGCGAAGAGAGCCACCGGCGAAGCCAGGCCAGATTTCCGAGCACACTAGTGCATTAGAGGAGAGTATATTCAGGCTAAATGGTATGCTGCAGAACATCAAAAGAACGCAGAAATAGTATGATTCTACCCTTTGTCTAACTGCGATGTACTCACAGTACACCCAGCTTCCATACCAGAGAGAACAGAGGTTTTGACACTGTCAGGTCTACACAAAAGTAGGGCTCCTTTCTCTTTCATGGAGCGTGGCCATGACCTCTTGAACTAGCCGACTATTTTGGTATGCCGTCTTCGAATGCGCGAGTATTGTTGGGATGGCATTGTAAGAGTTGCTGTTCGCTCTCATCACATTCATTTCCTGACAGATGATGTAGTCTACAGGTGTATGTCCTGCAGACATTCTTCACGAAGACAGGCCGCCGCTACAAGGTCTAGACTTAGCTGTTTGATTGTAACTTATGGCTTTTCGAATCGGAGAATCTTCCTAGTCGATCGTGGATGTTTGCTGCTACGGAGGATATCCATTTACAATGTTTCACACATTGTACTGATAATCGCGAGATGGCACGACTCATCTGCATTGACACCAACGTCAGACTTTCATGAAAAGAATCACTTGAAGTTTCTCAATCATGCGCAATACAGTGCGTTCTACACTTATCGACATAATCAAAGCTATAAGGTTCTACCTTTCCCTCTAGATTTGAATCTTCATATGCACAGACTTCGCTCTTGTTAATTGGTCATAGCCTGAAGTGTAATTAGCGTGTGAGGACACCACATTGTTGTCCAGAACGTACCAAATTTGCTAAGACTGACACCTCTTCCGCTGTCCTTTACTCCCGTCCATGCAAGGGCAGGATCCAAATAGTCACACCTAGATGAATGAGAATCATGACAATATACGACCATTTTTGCGAGCAAACACTACCTATTCAAGAAGACTGTTCCGGCGTGAAGCTGGTCAACAATATTCAAGAAAGATGCTTCCGAGTCTGGGTTATGTTGGGCGTCGGTCCATACGGATGCAGTAAGCCCGTATGGGGAATCATTCATGAGGCGAATGGCCTCCTCATCGGAAGAAACCTAGTACGCAGTGACATCCATGTTCCTGCTTAAATGAGGTTGATACTAACCTTCATAATCCCAATCACGGGTCCGAAGGTCTCTTCCTGCACAGCTCGTTAGCCTGCAAGTATTGCTCCAGGAGATGTTGCAGATATTACCATCATGATACTCATAGCTAATAAAATGCGGATCAGTTGACAGCAGCTGCTCGGGGACATGATCATAACCCACAATGATCGACATCGACCAATACTTGGGGTGCAACATATGCGGTACCTCTGAATTCATCTGAGTTGTGTTCCACTATGCAGTCGAGCGCACATACAGTAGAGCTACAGGAAATGAGCCTTCCGGGATAAGTGCTTTAGCCCCGGCTTCAACTTGAGAAATCCAGAGGGTCAGCACTACTTTCACGGGGAGACAGTACACTCACTAGCATCAGCGACCTGCTTGCGAATCCTCTCAGCGCTCACGACGCTCACAACCGGACCAAGGTTGATGTCTGGTTGAGTAGGATCACCCAGTTTGTAGTTCTAAATGACGGACAACAGAACATAAAAACAGAGACATGACTCCAGGCGATTCATGCCTACCTTCACCAGATCCACATACTTCGATACGAATGTATCGAATAGAGCTTCATGGACGTAGATGCGCTATATTATAATTTACAATGTTCAATTTGGGACATTTCACATGCATTCCAGTGGCATAACAAACCTCGATAGCGCAACAGCTCTGCCCGGAGTTGAACATGGCGCCTGGAACAACATCAAAAGAAGCCCAATAGCCTGCTACCGAAACGTACCATCAACCAGTTCCGACACAGTATAGTCTAGGTTGGCATCAGCCCGAACGTAGGCAGGATCTTTTCCTCCAAGCTGTAGCATGATCTCACATTGATAACTCAGTGAGACATTGAGTACGGGTACTCGCCTCCAGCGCGACGCCCTTGAAGTCTTTAGCCGCTGCAGCGGCCTGGTCTACCGATCGTCCTCCAACCACGCTGCCAGTGAAAGAGATGAAATTAACAGCGGAGTGCTGCACAACGAATGTCGTCAAGTCAGGTGACAGATGAACAACCTGCAGTAAATCTGTTGGGAGACCCGCACGAGCCCAAGCCAGAGCAAACCGCTCCGCCGCCAAGGGGGTTTGTGGTGATGGTTTCAGTAGCACCGAATTTCCAGCAACTAGGGCGGGAAGGACGGAGTTGATAGATGTCAGGTATGGATAGCTTTGGGCATTTTTATCAGCATGAAGGCATGATCTGCAAAACCGAGTGGACATACTTCCACGGAGCGATGACTAGGATCACCCCAAGAGGTGCACGCTTAATAAATCTCCGGAATCCCGGCTTATCAGTATCTGTGAGGGCGACATCCGCCAAAGCCGACTCCGCGATGGAGAGCATGTACTCAGCACGCTCGAGAAGGCCCCGCACCTCACCGACTCCTTGCGAAATAGGGCTATGCGGGTATTAGAGAGCTGAGGGCGGACGACGTACAAATGCTCACCGTCCCATTTGCAAGGTGAGCTCCAAGGGAATCTCGTTTGTCATATTGCGGAATTCATCCTACTCACGTCAGGAATGGTCTCCGCGAGATTTGAAAATTGACAACCACTGACCATAAACTTCCTGGCAATGGCAATTCGGTCCCGTAGGGGAACGGAACTCCATCGTACCTGTGCAGAGGCAGACCGTTTGATGACGGCCTGCAACTCATGCTCGGACGGATAAGTGCGAGTGATCAGAGGCTGCTGGTTATGCGGGCTAATGGTCGTCTGGCTTGTGGGCGAAGACATGACTGTCTGAGATCAAAGTGATCGATAGACTATCTTTGTTACATAAACTACACCACAGTGACGTAGTAACACATCCACCACAGGCAGGATACTGGTACAGTAATTATCGCCCGCGAAATGGCTAAGATCAGTGAGGCGGCATAAATGAATCAGTCCGAATACGTCAAAGCTGAATCTCAATGGTCTCGTGACTTCCTGTGTCGAACACCCGTTAATTACACTGTGTTTTCAAATTAAACAGGAGGGTGTTACCTGTACTCGCCTTCCGCGGCGACACTTAGCTCCTCAATTTCTCCTTGAACGGTCGACAATGCCTCTGCTGCAGTAGCATAATAAATTAACTGGTAGGTACTAAAATCAGCAGCCAGTATGTCGGAATTATGCCAATTTTACCTGTGCCTTGGCAAGTTCGTTTAAGTTTTTAAGAGGCTCAGGCTATATGGAGTTCTCATCAAGTGCGCAAGTAGTTATACCAAGTGCACGTACGTTGTCTAAAACTGCTTTCATAAGTGTGATCGCAACCTCTGTCTTCTGTACAAGGTCGTCCTCCGCGTTCTCTACTTCGAGCCTTGCAGTCTCCTGCTTCGAAGGACCCGTGGTCTTGAGACTGCCAGACTCATTGGTCAACTGCAACTGGATAGCTCCTACCACACTTACACTTGCTTTGCCGAGTCCAGCTCAAGGCGGCTCACCCGCACGGCTTGGCGAGCCTTCATCGCGACAGCTATCGATGTAGACAAAGTTGTCTGCCAAGGTTGCAAGAATTGGGTCTTGATCGCAGCGTCCTGCTCGATGCGAGCATCCGCAATCTTCTCCCAAGCACTAGAGTACGTGTCGAGCGCCTTGCCTAATTTCTCATCGCCGCCACCTGTCGCGGCCTGAAGGGTCGCAGCAGCGGTGGTAGATGCTCGGCCAAGCGCGTGGGGAAGGGTTTTGTGTTGTGCAATAGGGGGTGTGGCGGGTGGAGGGACGGGAAGGTTGGTGCCCCTCAGATTAGTCGCAGCAAAGTTGGAGATGCCCTGACCAATTGTGGTACCGAGCTCCGAAATAGACTCCTGGATTTGAGTAGGATAATCGTATGTCTCCGTCTCGTAGACCTTGGTAATTCTGAATGTGCTGTCATGAGCTTTGGCCAGCCTTAAGAGGTAGAAGCTACCTAAGCAATGTAAGGTGAACCTGCCGCAAGTTGTCAACCCGAGCCTCCAAGTCCTTATATTCTGAGAGGGATATTAACAGGGATACCGATCAACAAAACAGGGGAAACGCTGGCCATACCTTGAGGAAGCTCAGTTATCTCGTCCACAGCGACTTGACCAAGACGTTCCTTTGTCGCTTGGACACTGGTATTGAACCCTTTGGCCAGCTTGTTCGCCGACTGGCCAAGATTGAGTCCAGCAAGGCTGGATTGAAATTTGTTCCATCCATCCATTCAGAACTATATGACAGAAAGAAAGAGGAGGTGAACGGTAAGCGAGCAGCGAAACTGAAGAATCTCAAAGGAACTAGCGGCACTGCGGTGTAGCCTATCTGTCTGGGGTCCTGGCGCATGCCACCAAGGTCCTGGGGTCTTACCAGTACGCGTTGCGCGCGTGGACGAGACGCGTCAGTGGCCTTAGCTTGCATTCGGCTTGCACTCTAGTTCACCTCTTCTCGCCGACGCCGCCACAGAGTCACCTCAGTTCTGAATCATACATTGACAATGGCGATGGCGTCTGTCTACTCTCCTCCTGGGTTTGATTTTTCTAATCAAGTTCGGTACGTTTGCCCGTGATCGAGCTGCTTTTGTGCTAAATGCCGCCTTCAGCAATAATTTCCTTGTAGACAGAGGCATCCCCTTACCCAAAGCAACCAGCACCGGGACTACAATTGTAGGGTGTTTGTTCAAGGATGGAATTGTGCTTGGTGCGGATACTCGGGCGACTGAAGGTCCGATCGTAGCGGACAAGAACTGTGAGAAGGTAAGTCAGCTTGCTTGCAGTGCAGTCCTGACATGTTGCTGAATACTCGGGCAGATTCACTTCATTACCGACTCCATTCGTTGCTGTGGCGCCGGGACAGCAGCAGACACAGAATTTACTACCGCTCTCATTTCTTCCCAGATGGAATTGCATGCCTTGACGACTGGCCGGAAGCCACGAGTGGTCACGGCCATGACAATGTTGAAACAGATGCTCTTCAGGTATGCTTTTGATCCTGCATCTCGTGTTTTGTCTCAGGGTTCGCCCTATATCGTTAGATATCAAGGGAATATTGGTGCTGCTCTCGTCCTTGGTGGGGTTGATGCAACTGGCCCTCATCTTTTCACCATTCATCCGCATGGTTCAACGGACAAGCTACCATACGTGACTATGGGCTCGGGTAGTCTTGCCGCAATGGCTGTTTTCGAAAGTGGTTGGCGGCCAAACATGGACGTATGTCTGACCTTGCAGCATCTTCAGTGTACAATAAGCTGAACTCCACACAGCGTGAAGCAGCTCTTGATTTAGTCACCAAGGCCATCTCGGCGGGTATTTTCAATGATTTAGGTTCTGGGTCGAACGTCGATGCGTGCGTGATTACTGCATCGCATACCGAGATGCTCCGCAACTATGTCAAACCAAATGAGCGCGTACAGAAGGAGCGAAGCTATGGTTTCCGAAGGGGCACCACCGCATGGAAATCGGAGGAGATTCGCACTCTTGTCATAAACGAAGAAATAACCCAGACTGGCGAAGCAATGGACACGAGCTAGATTGCAATCTGTATGGTGTACAAGACATGGTTTCAAATACATTGTGGTGTAACTGCAATAATGATACGGGTGAATGCAAGTAAGGCGTATATGCAAAGTAGATCCTATCCGACGTGCGAGATGATTAATTACGAGAATAAGGAATGTATGATCAACGGTATTTGAAGCGGCCTACGCCGCCCCTTCAGAAATGACAGCGACAAGTACAGAAATATCTGCTCGCTATACGTTCAGTATATGTCCCAGTCGATAATGATGTTACTCACCGTCTGGCTTGCCTCCATGGAAAGCTTTGCCTTGTTCTCGAGCTCGTCGTGCAAAGGGCACTTCGCAGCTGGTATTGAGAGAACATTTGTCGTCATTGGTTCGCTTTTCCGCGGCAAGGCGAGCTCGAGAGCAAAGTGCCTCACTGAGCATGGCAGCCATTGCATTACGAGCGAATCCCGTTTGTCCGGATTTATTCAGCGAAGATGGTCCGAACCACGAACCGTCCTTCCAAAACATATGACGGAAGCGAACTACCTCGTCTAGAACATCCTCGTCCCACAAGTTGTCGCTGAGGCCATCGCTGGCGAGAATGAGTATGTCGTCTACCTGAACAGGGACTGTGAATAGCTGTGCTTCCCGGGGCTTAGTAGGGGACGACGGTCCGAGTTGTACAGGCGTGTTGAACTGCAAGCGCATGCTATCATAAAATGCCTCACACATGAAGGATTGTTGGACTCACGTTCCACCACATCTCCTCTGTCCGCCAAACAATCTCATCCCCTCGAACAAGCATGCCCACGCAGTCACCCAAGTGCGCTACCTTAATTACAGCGCCTCGACCGGCTACCGACGGAGGTCCCTCAGCTTTGGATGCCTTGGGGCTGAATAGAAGCGACGGGTTCTCTTGTTTCAAGGGTCCAACAGACGGATGTTCCAGCACAGCGAGTAGTACAGTCGCCGAACCTTGCATTGAGGTTTCTGAGGGGCCAGGTTTTGCAGAAGGAGATAGAACAGACGACCATGAAGAGGAACCATGAGTTTCAGGGCAGAGAGCAAATTCAGATTTATTGTCTCTCGCACCCGCAGCGTGAGCGGCTCCGTAGGATTGTGTCGGCAAGTTGGTAACATCTACTGGTACCGGCGGTTCAGGTGATCCGGTCACGTTGATCGAGGACGCTGTATGACTTTGTGTGTGTGCTTGGATGGTTCTTTCGTATGCTTTTTCCAGAATCATGAGTACGTCTAATCCATCTGCCAGTTCCTCCAACGAGTCCTCGAGGTCTGTATACAGATCATCGGCGGTGGGAGGTGAAGCATCAGGAAGTCTAATCAAATTATGAACTTTCAAGCATTTCGTGATGATGTGAGTCACAGTACCTGGAAGGTAAAGGAGGTGTAATTAGGGCCGCCCTCGCTGCCTCAACCTCTTCGCAGCAATGGTGCATCAATCGACGAGCAAATAGCGCACTGGGGGAGAGATTTGCATCCTCACGTCTGGCTGAGAAATTGAGAGCCAAAGGTCAAAGAGGGGAACTCGTGCGAAAAACAAAGTCTTGTCCTCACCTGTTCGGCGCAATCTCGACCAGCCACCTACTCCGTCTGCAACACCCATGGCGGACTGGTGGATGAAGTACGCATCTTCTCCGACTTGCACAGCATGTGACAATAAGTTGAAATCATCACGGTGTGAGAAGGGGGAGCTTTCATAAGCCCGTCTCGAGTACGCGCCATGATCGGCAGCATAGGTTGCCCTGGAACGCTTTGGGATGCCATATGCTCCAGCGTCAAGATGAAAATGTGTTTGCGGACGGCCGGCAACCGGAATCGAACTAACGTCATTTACAGGACTGGAGGTGAAGGCGGGGGTTAGGGAAGCATAGGGAAAGAAAGGTGTGAGGAGAGGAGGGGCGAGCTCTGTAACCAGCTCTGACTGGCAGGAAGAAGCAGCAAGAGAATAGTGGGAGTAATTGCCGGAATGCGAGTGAGCCTGAGCAGCGTTGTAGCTGGAGTGGTTGGAAGGTGTATCCGTTTGTGTTTCCAGTTCAGATTTACCCTCGGCGGCAAGGCGCGTAAAAGCTAGGTTCCCGGCCGTCCCAGGACGCGATCCAGGAGTTGGTGGAGGCGGTGAATCGAAGAACGAGAGAGGTGAGACCTGACTCATGGTATGCAAAGAACGAACCGCAGATGAAGACATCGAGTTGGACCGGGCACGAGTAATTGTAGAGGCTGCCGGCGGGGATGTGGAGGAGGCGACTGGTCGGGGTAAAATGGTATAGATCCGTTTGCGAATGGTCTTCATTGCTGCAAACTGTACTTTGAATGCCTGTACACCGCAAGGGAATGTAGTATGTCTGCGACAGGCCTGCAGCTGGTAGGGGATGTCGATGGGTGGGGTGTTCGTAACTTTCATGCTGTTCGCACCCGGGGTAGGTCGTCAAATTCAAATCGGTACAGTCCGGCCCCCTCAAACTCCGATTTCGGCCGACAGCTTGCAGCAACCTCGCGACTCCGCGAGGTGACCGTCATTATTGTCAATCTAGCGCAAGAAACAGTAAAGTTATCGGAAGAAATTCGCGCGAAATCTGGTGCAACGCGTCCTTACTTGCTCACTGGCTTGTCTTTCCGCTGCGTCCGCCCGGACACTCACCGGCTCGCACTCTGCGCCTACACCGTGCCTGACTGTATGTCGGTTGGTGCCCCCGTCCATCTTTTAAGAGTGTGGGCTGCTCAAGCTCTCTCGGACCCACTCGCCCGCTCGCACTGAGCCCTTAACAACATTGGGCAGCCCGCCGAGGGAGTAGCAGCAGCAGCAGACATAGAAGTGGAACTTGTGAGTCCTCCCTTGCTCTCGCCACGCGCACAGCTAAGCATGCGCAATGTGCGGATTCTCTTGCCACTTGCCCGTTCACCCGCTCATTCACCCCTCTCTCTTGCCTGCTCACACACTCACTTGCTCGCCCACCCACTTCGCTCATCCGCGTGCTCACTCATTTATTCGCTCGTTCGAAGCACAATACGCGTCCGTCCTCACCCCATTCACCTCCTTTAGCATCTGCAACGAGTCAAGACGTCTCGCCTTCCCGGGTGCCCATCTGCTCGCGCTCTATACTCGGTGCAGAGTGCAGACCGCTAGTAGCCATTCGACACGCACGGTTTGTCTGCCCTGCGCAGAATTCAAAAAAAAACCCTGGCAGTGTCTCAGAGCAGGCTAGTCCTTGTTTCCATGGGCGCTAACTTTGATAAATTCTTCGCAGACACTACGATTCATTGTCGACTGCCTCGTTTGCACCGTTCGGCACCTTTGAATGCGACTTTGCGCACACGCTCGCTGTGTTTATGAAGGGGGTAGTGGCCATGTATGTCCGTATATTGACCCATAACTAAGGTCTATAATCTGCTTGGACATGTCTATACAGTAATTCATCATTCACGTTTTAATCAATTCAAAGATGTGAGTGACGACAAGATATCCCGGTGTCAGCGCTCAGAGTACGAACATCAACAGGAATTCCATTCAAAGACGCTGCGTGCCTTTCCGCGTTGCATACATCATTCTAGCCAGTGTTACGAGCCCTGCACCGGCTAAGATTGTTACCTAGGGAAAATGACAGCATGAGCAACAGTATTATGCGAAGAGACCAACGGTTTGTGCGGCCTTACCGCACTGAAAATGATAGCTTTATACCAATCCAGCACTGGTCCGGTCCCCATCAGTGCACCATCAATGGGCATACCCGTCAAAGATGCAAAGGATCCGACGAAGTAACATAGTCCAATAGTTAGACTATTAGAGAACGATCAGATACTACTGAGATTCCAGCTGATGAACAATGCATACCCTACTTCAGCTGGACTCTTTGCCAGAGATGCAAGTGTTGCTCCCCCCAATGCCACAACTTCATAAATCGTTGACAAAATTAGCACGGACACTGCTACGTCGAATTGGAAACTTACAGGATCCGCTAAACCAGCCATATAAAATTGAGAATATGATCACGGCCGCTGTGTTCGTTACGCCAAACATGGAAAACACGAGCACGCCAATTATTACAATGACAGAACAAAGAACATTGAATAAGCCAAGCTGGTCCGCGAGTAAACTGAGAGTAAGCCGTCCAGGAATCGAGGCAGCGTTGAGGATCGCGATCTGAGATATCTTGTTGGTAAAGCACTTTACTCGAGAGCGACAATTAAACGTACTGTGTAGAAAGCGAGTGTACCGGAGAGGCCATGCAAATTAACCCACAGCTGCAAGTAAAAGTCTGGTACTCAGATAGTTGGTGTGCTCGTACTGCGGACGGTATATAGAGGAGGGGCTTACAAGGGAAATATAAACCCCACATGATAAAGAAGAATCTGCACGAAATAAGCACAGGATTAATACGGATTTCGACAGATGGCCGGATTGAGTTTAACTGACCCAAGAGCAACCAAAATAAACGGAGGATCAGTTATGATAGCTCTAAGACTGACCGAACCTTCCGTAGCCGGCTTTGGAACATTACTGGGACGCGCGGTCATAATGCAGTTGGCAACAATAAGCACTCCTAGAGTGAGGAATGCAGATGCGCGAACACTCCATGCAAAACCAACACCGCGACTGAAGAGCTGGTTGAGCATGATCGGGTAAACCAGTCCTCCAACAGCAGATCCTACGAGAAATAATATGTCATTACATCAGATCGTGTGCAACAGCTCATACCGGACATGACAATGCTTATGGCCAAAGAACGACGTTTGCTCCAGTGATGTGCCTGGACTGATTGTGCAGGAACAAGAAGAAGGCCAGTTCCGATCCCAAACCCGACACCTTGCGACAGTATAAGTTGATAATAGTTATGTGGATCGGCAAGGGACAACATGAACAGTCTTATTGTGAGATTTTTTTGAAAATGATTATCAGCAAGTAATGGATAAACGAGATCTATGACTAACGAGAATACAAGAAGAGTCGATCCGAAGAGGATTGTCTTATGGAAATGACCCGCTGCAAGCAATCGACCTGCAGGCAATCCCATGAGAAGCATGAGACATAGCTATCGCGACAATAAGAAATAGTCTTCACTTGAAATTACAGGAAACCAACCTGCACAGATCCAATCCAGCTTATGTTCGAGGGTGTTGACGTCCCAAGGAGGTCATAGTAGTCGACGTAGACTCCGAACGAGTTGGAGTATCCCACAGTGCAGAATGAGATAAGGAATCTATAATTCAATGGAACCCAGGACAGTGTCCGATTAAAAAGAAATTATAGTGTATTGATATTGAGACAAGCAACCTTACCCTCCGATAACTGAGAGCCATGCCTGAGTACCACCATCTGGAATTGCAGAAGGCTGTGGTGCTGTTTCTGAGTCGGACAAGTCAGCCATATCTTGCATTAGAATAGGCCCATCTGTATCCTGACTGGCAACGGATTTGACACCAGCATCGTTGTACATGGGCCAGGGCAGGTCTTCACTGAATCCTGTGGAGCGGACACTGATGAGACAGAGGCGACCAAGGAGAGCAGACGGAAGCAAGCAAAACGTCTTCGATCTGAAACGTACCTGAGGAACCTGACAGTCCTGGAATCTGCCTGAAATTGACCTGATCGTCTGCCGCGAGGTGGTCAGGATGTTCAGGTAACTGTGAAACACCTCGAATTTGAAACATTCATCGGGAAAAATCTCTATCCATATTGCGGCCAGTCGCTGATCGCTAATATATACTCACGTCTCATATGCTCTGTGAGTTCTGAGTCTCGTCTTTCTTGTGCTCACTGCGCGCCTTGTTCGCACGCGTCGCGAAGGCGTCTCTCTCGCGCTCACTGCGCCTCGTCCGTGCCCTCGCTACGTGTGCGAGCCCTTACTCCACCCACTGTGTCTACCGTGTGGCGCGACTGGGGATTGGACTGGGGCGGACATGCGGCAGATCTAAGACTGGCTGCTGCTTGTCTTTTGTGCCGCATCTGTGCAATGTGTGCGCTACGACGCGTCCGAGGTCTGCTTAACACTTGTACATGCTTGTGGACATTGAAGGTGTCCCTCCCTATCTCTTGTGCATGCTTTCGTGTGTGTGCGTTGAGTACCTGTGAGGCTAGGCTCATGCAGAGTTGTCAAGATACGCACAGAACATGAATGCAGGTTTTGTAGCTGCTGTTGCGTATGAGCACGACGAACTCTTCTGCTTCCCGTCCGAGTACTGTGGCACATCAAGCCCCGCCATCAACGTAGCATGGGAGGAAATTTCCATGAAATGTGCGTACCTTTACGTGACTCTCCTTCTGCTGCTCATAAATGCATCCCTGTAGCGGCGGTGCTGCGCATCGCCCCAAATGAGCTAGACAAGATCAGAAGGCCCACGAGGCTCACAAACTTATCCCTCATCCGCTTCCGGGATGACAACGGCAGCGGCTATATAGGCTTGCTTCAGTTCGCCCACCAGCTTCACCGCCCTGGTCGATTGTATCTCCCTGCTAATACCCCTCACGCACAGATTGCGTTACGCAAATCAGGTTTTTGGAGAGGGAGAAAGTGGTGCCGGAGAGGGTGCGGTAGTTGCATATGATTGCTGTGCCTGTACAGAGTGTGTTTGAAGGTGGAATTGTGGGGGCAGTCAGGCTTTACTAGTATATCTATAGTAAGTATATTGAAATATATTTGTTTCTAATGAGAAAACACCTGATGCACCTGAAAATTGGTAAACCTGATCACACCTGAATTCAACCTGGGTGCCACCTGGAGAGGAAAAGAACCTGCTGATCAATCTGACATCCTGATGTACCTGAAAATACCTGATTTCAGGTAATTTCAGGTAGTGTCAGGTCAAAGACGTTTTGCTGATGCACGACGGGCCAATATCGTTGCCTAACGGTGTCGCTGTCCGAGCGCGGCGGACGGGTGTCGCTACTCGAACGCGGCGAGTTGGTAAGCCGCGCGAGATTGGCCCTGGCGCCCAAGTCAGTACTGCAAAGGCATGACACTCATTTTTCAGATTCAAGCACCTCCTTATTTGGGAAATGGTACGTTCAATTTCTCGAAGGAAGAGTGCATGCTCAAACCTATTACTCAAAGCTCCCGCCCCTGCTGATGAGCACGACCGCTCCGCCCTTCTCTCGCCGCTCATAGTCGCCATAGAGCGCCCCTCTTGGGCGCAAGCTCGCTCCAACGAAAGCTGACTGCTAGCGCTTTGTGGCTCTGGATATGATTTTATGTGTGTTTGTTATTCACGCATGGGACGACGACAATCTCTTTTGAAGAAATGGGCTCGCGAGGACGGAAAGCCAACACAGCGTGCAAGAGGCGTTAGCGTCATCTCGTATATAGGCCTAGTATCTCACAGTAAGTTTCCCATATGCATATGCACGCAGGCCATACTACCTAACAACTACCTGATTCGCTGCACTCATCATGATAGACGTCAACCAGCGGGGTGGGATAGGATGTTTCAGAAACCTATCGATAGACGAGCAGGAAAAAACGAAGCCGATTCCTCTCGTTCATCTACCCATCGAACTCTGGGAAAAAGTGTTTGATCTTCTGGCAGAGGATGGTCGACTCCATGCCCTAACGCATTGCGCGCTCACCTGCAAGGCATGGACTGCTAGGTGCCGGTGGCATCTGTCTCGACATATTATTCTCCGAGATAAGAAGCAAGCCCATCGAGTCGTGAAAGCAATACAGAGTCGTCATTCGAGGGTGAATGCAAGCGAAGCTGTAACACTAACACAGCCGTTCGCATTCAGCACTGGAAGGAAGCTGCCGCAGGTAGACTCCCTCACCATTGGCGATAATGCAATTGATCTTGGTTCGGTTTGGCATGCGAACTCGATGCATGTGGACGCCTTCACTCACTTTAGAGTGACATTTGAGTCCCTCACCCGCCTGACACTGGTCAAGGTCGAGTTTCCATCTGCAATTGTTTTCGGACGGTTAATTTGTTCCTTTCCCCATCTCACCAGCCTTACGTGCCATTCGCTGAAGCTCAAAACCACAGCTTTCGTTCAAGGTCGTGTCCTTCCACCCAACGGCTTCGCGCTCACCCGTGTTGACCTCCACAATGCCGACGACGTCGTCGAATTTCTGGTTGTCTCTTTGATCAGCGCTGCTTTCCAGCACGTCAGATGGGTTGACCCCCGATGTCTCGTCGTTGATCCAACTCGGAACGTGTCAACCAATGGTCTACAGCGGCTTCTGCGCTCCGCAGGGACATCCCTCCGCGCGGTCGATCTCACATACGGACTTCTATCCGACGGAGACGCAAAAGGGCAATTACAGCTTGCGGAACTGGATCTTAAGACTAACGTCGGACTCGAAGCGATCTCCCTCGCCATATATCAACCACGCGCTGACGTAGATGTGTGGACCGAATCGTGGAGTCAGCTATATATAGTCATGTCTACCGGTGTCTCAGCGCTGAAGCTGCGCCAAGTAACAATCAGCTTTGTGTCAGGCATGGTATATGCGAGACCCGACAATCTATGGCAACACCGATTGCAGGAGTTGCAGGCAATGCCTGACCTTGTTTATGCGAAATTCGATCAACTGTTCTCTAAATCCGACTTTCCTCGTCTGAAAATGGTCTTATTCAGAGTACACGAACATGATGGCTACCGTCTGCGTCTGCGACGGTCGGCCATGGAGGATGTGCCACACGAAGATCAATGGCGACACGCTCTTGCATGTCGGTTTCCGACGCTTGTCCGACGTGACTTGCTTCGGTGAGCAGCCACCTAGTTCATCGACACGTAGTACCCTTCCTGATGAATACTTTAGCACCTCTGTCACAATGGGCGACAGCTACATGGAGAGAAAGCTTGGTAATTTTTCGACTCACAAACCTTGAATCGGCAACGTGTCTCCAGCTCAATGCTACTTCAGCTCACCGACGGAATGCTCATGGCAATGCGGAGGATGACAGATAGTTATTAATTTAACGGAGCGAAGACCTTGGACCTGACACGCTCCTTGGTGGCATCCTTTCAAACACCCTATGACCTACTGGTTCGTATCCGGGCTGCGGATGTTAACCCAAGCAGCTTTGAGGACATGTATACGTCCACTCGAGCCCCTGTACGAAGCCGGCCAAGCCGTACCATCCGGACATCATTTAGCGTAGGTTCCCATTTGGTAGATCAGTTGCGTCCCAGTGGGACATAACTGCGTGGCACCGTCTAAATCCCTCTTCCAATCAACATGCTCATATATTCATTTTACACTGCAATCCCAGCTAGCTCCGGCGTGTCGAGAAATAGGTTCGATTGCCATCGATTTTGGATGCAATTATGATCCTTGCACCTCACTACATAAGTGACACTCTGCTCCCTACATCACTTCCTTCCGGGGGGACAGGAAGTTCTCCGCTCCTATCTGATACGAAAGCTCGGTATCTGGACGTGAGATAGTCAGTGGTGTCTTCTGAGAGCGAAAGACAGCGACACACATATGTCTAAGTCGCAGTCGTTCCTCTTGTGGAACAGATGGCCGTGTAGTACCCAGCACTCGATGAAGATGCTCTTGACTAACCTCGTGTTTCTATATCATAAAATATTTATTTAGTTCGCATACCGAAATGGCAATCGGCATAGTCACGTACAGGCGGAGGGTCGACTCCCTGATTGCGTCCAGATCCCGATTTAGAGGCCGTTGGTTTGGATAGTATTCTTTGCAACTGTGTAAAATATTAAAATCGGTGCATTATTACGATACAATTCGCAAGTGTCTTACCCTCCGCTGGAGGGCCGCCTCGTCGGCTCTTGATAGCACTTTTCTGGTTGTATTATCCCCACCGAGGACTGTGTACCTCAAGTCCTCTGGTTCACGGTCGACGGGTGACTCGTTTGTACCATTCAGATGAGGCTGCCCTTTTTTTGTCGCATGCGACGAGATAGTGTCGTGGATGACTTCTAGATGTGCATTATACACAAGGGCTTGTAAATCTGCCCCCGAGAAGCCTTCAGTGTCCTGAGCTATCTGGTCGAGATCGACCGACGACGCGAAGGTAATTTTACGACTCAAAGCCGCTAAAATCTTGTTGCCATGCAATGCAAATAAGCGACATAGTCATACGTGAGGCCAAATAACGCAAACCTCCTTGCGATCCTGCTCGTCAGGCATGTCGCAGAGCAGCGATTTGTCTAAACGACCCGGTCGAAGAAGAGCAGAGTCTATCAAGTCTGGACGGCTTGGAAAGAGATATCAGATTTCGTAGTGAATCAAAGCGAATGAATGAGTGACAAATACCTAGTTGCGGCAAGTACATATACACCATCCAGACCTTCTGCTCCGTCCATCTGAGTTAGCATCTGGTTCACAACGCGATCAGTGACGCCGGTACTATCGTGGCCTCTGCGATTGATATACTGATAAGCGCTGCAATCGCGAAACATAATGGAGTTTCTAACCTCTTGGGCGCTATGGAGTCGAATTCATCAAAGAAGAGCACGCAAGGCTTCGCAGCGCTGGCCCGCTCGAACAGATCACGGACCTATGAAAGGTGACATCGAATAGGCAGAGCAGTATTCGATTATTGGACCGAACGCACCGATTTCTCACTCGCGCCAATGTACTTATTCAAGAGCTCCGGACCTTTGATGCTGATAAAGTTCAACCCGCATTCCTTCGCAACGGCAGACGCGAGCAATGTCTTCCCACACCCAGGATAGCCGTATAAGAGCAGCCTAAAAGAAGGGCATCAGGAAATTCATGCTCACGCGAGCCGTGCCCGATACTCACCCAGATCGCAAACGTAAAGGAGACTGGACGAAGATGGGCCCATACTTCGTTGGCCACTCCAGCGTCTCTCGCAGGACGCGTTTTGTTTCACGCAAACCTACAATGCCACTGTTGTAGATAGAAAGAATAAAGACCAGTCCTCATGACGCACCTCCAATATCAGCCCATTCTACATCAGACTTTTGCAGTTTCACATCGCGCAGGGAAAGGGGAACAAAATCAACCTGTGCAGATCTGAAGTCTTCCGTAGTCAAAATTGCCTATTGTGGTCTCGCTCAACGTCAAACGCCAATGAAACTAGGAGAAAGCGGTACCGAATTATCGTCCTCATTGCTATCTTCCGCTGTAGCTCTGATGGCTGCACGGTGGATGGCCCGCGACACCAGATCCTTCAAGTCTGTCACTGAATATCCTTCGGTCTGAGTAGCTAGCGCCGTGTAGTTCAACGACGACGAAGGATCTTCTGTCAGATTTGAAGAGTTCATTCGGTCAATGACCAGTTCTTTAAGGATCTAGATTTATACTATCAGCAGTCATATGTCTTCTGTGTCGTACCGACATACGTCTCTCCTCGCATCCTTTCCTGGTGGCTTGAGAGTAACGATTTCGCGGAATATGTGCGATGAATTAAGCAGGGGATGTAGGGAGGCCTGCGACTCGGCAGCAGAAAGCAGCACGACTCCGTTAGCATTGGGGGCAGCAGATCGCGCAGATGGTCCGTAGATGGCGAGAAATAGCTCCGTGATGTGTCGACTTCGGAACGAATCTGCATGCTGCAAGTGATCCTCAGGATCAATGGAAATACGATTGTTGGCAAAAAGCGCACCTCTAACTCCGCACCCATTAGCTTATCGATGTTGTCGAAAACAAGGACGGATGGTCGATGCCATGTCGCCTTGACCATCCAAAAGTTTAGAAGCGAGCGAACTTTCGCCACAGGCGTTTCAGTATACTTCGCAGCGTCCACGTAAATAATGTCTGAGGGCTTTGAGAATTTTCATGATGAAATCGTCGAATAAGAACGCACATGCATACGTCCGGGAATCTCCTTGCATTGACTTCGCGATGACGTTGAGAAAGGATGTCTTCCCTGCTCCAGATCTGCCTGTCACTAGTAGACCGGGAGCTAGTATCGCACGTTAGTCCAGGTACGAATACAATACCCCAAACAACCGCAGGCGTACCTCCTCGGACTCTTCTGCTGAACGCATGCAACGCAAAGTTCGTCAGGCAGAACTGGGTACACTTTCTGAGAAGATCATCTATGCCCGCTAAGTGGTTTTTCGACTGTGCGTTTGATCTAATAAATGTTAGCACGGTGAATTAAGGTAAGTTCTCAGCAGCATAACGTACCGGGGCTCGAGAATTTCTGAACTGCCATTGTCTTTTGAACTTGGCAGAACTTCATGTTCCTTCGTGCAAAGAACGCTGAAGCCCAGGCAACGTGAGTGAATAACCTGTACACAGATTCTTGATAGTTTGGGACTCACCGAACGAGATTCCAATCCTGCACGCTATCTACTGGGGTACTAAAAACGATATGGCCTCCAGGAACAGGAACGTCAGCAGACCAAACCAGGATCACTTCGTCGTCCAGCGACTTGTGTGTGAGCGGAACCATGGTCTTGGATGTTTCGCCACTAGGCACCAAGACCCGAGGTACCGGTACAGAGTCTGGACCATCAGATGTGTGTACTTCTGTGGGGTCCACAGGTGGCTTGATCCTTCGCACAGATGCATGCCAGCTACTTAGCGCGCTCGGGCATGTATCGTACAGTGACGCTAACGTTGCGTGAGAGACATAAGCTATGGCGAGTTCAGACTCGGAATCAGACAGATATGCCGAGCTGGTGGGTAAGGTAAAGAACTGTGTTGGAAGAACGCGGAGAGGCAATGTCGGCTTCTTCAGAGCGTCGGTCTTCGCTGCAGATTCTGCCTTCTCTGAGTGTCCGGTGCGAATACTATCCGTGCGATCATTGGTTTTAGTCGCTTTTTCGCGGTTATGATTGCTATTGGGTTTCGAACGGGCGTTTCGGGATGCAGAAGTACGCTCCTTAGCATGCAGCTTTGGGGCAATACTTACTTCGGTGCTGTTATTAAGGAGCAACGCTCTCCCGCTCGTCGAAGGATCGAGAGAATCTGATGCATGTTCATCTATCGATAACGCTCTAAAAGTGTACAACGACTTACTGACCCTGAGGCGGACTCTCGTGCGCCCCATGACCCATACGTCTATCTCTTGTCCAATGACTGCTACCCGCACCTGAGACAGGAGGGTAGACTCTACATGAGACGCATGTATTTCCTATAGGTCGGAGCATTGTGGTTCATCAAGTCAGGGACAGTATGGACGCACTTACGATGATTTCCCAGTCGTCAGACGTTAAAGGTTCCGTGGCGACAGATTGCGCAAAGCCCAGATCATGAAGTAACCCAATCTCCACCTTTAATGCCCTGGAGTTCAGAAGAGCGCAAGGAGAAGGACGGCGAAGAGACACACAATGTCTCCCAGGGAAAACCCGAGTCCCTCCGCAAACTGGGGATCAATTTCGATGGTCTCTAACCCCTTGTCACCCGCGTCTCCCGAGCTGAAGCGTGCGAGGGAGGACGCAGAGGCCATTCCAGTCCAGCCAACATACGCTTCAACTCTCTTGGTACCATTTCCCGAAGCAGCCTGCTTTGTGGCTGTAGTGTGCGTCAAGTGGACGGCGAGGCTTTGAGGTCGCTGATGACAAACTACGTATCGGAATGAGACAATACCAGGAAGAAAATGCGAAGACATACTATTCCACGTTCCAGTAGCGGACCGTACAGAGAGATGGGCAAGTTGACCAGAGACGAATGGAGAGACACGAAGTGGATGCGCGCTTGCCGAGGCATTGTGTGCAGAAATCGTACCGCTTATCCCAACTTCAACCTGTTATGTTACGATACACATGAGCAACAAAGCAAGACTGCGAGAGCGAAGATCTTGGCACCGTCAAGTAGCAGTCGCAAGCATTGTTGTAAGCGTAACAAATTAAAGTGAGCCAGACTGGCAAATACATGAAATCACGCGCGACGGCGTTAGCGCGGACTTGTCATACACGCTCACTGAGTCGCGATTGGGGCAGTCGGTGAGTCTGCACGCGCGACGATGCCAGATGCGTGCCAATCAACAAAGGCTCTGACAACACACTATTCCAATACTAAGCCGCAGTGTACACTGTAGTCACCAGGACGAGGCTTACCACCCCCAATAATCACAGTCGACAAATTCCCGGTGTCCTATAATACATAATAATCGACATCATACACGCGTACGGAAGCGTCCATCTTCCAGCTGCAAGTCAAGCCTCGAGAGCCGGACCGCGATTAGAGAAATGTCGATGAAGCGTATCTTCCACAGACCCAGTGCCCCTCCGCACGCCTTCCGACACGCCTAGCCCGACCTCTGTCAAACGCCGCAACACATTCTCATACACCGCCTTATCCGTCGGTCCGTGCACGCCACGGAGCTGCACGCTGCCTTCGAGTACCTGAAGTGCCGCGAACGCCACAGGCAGCCCCACGCACCGCGACATGGCGGACGCCTGCGGTGTCCCATACGATATCAGGGAGGATGTGTGTGTCTCTGTGCTCGGCACCGAGCGCGCGTCCGACCTGCCTTGCGGCCGCGCCACAATTTCGTGGTGCAGAACGACAAGATCGCGTTCTGCGGGCTGATAGCGGAGCTTGTGCGCGAGTAACGTTGCGAACAAGTCGATGGGCAACATGGGCTGGCTTGGCAGCGGCGGCAACGACGCGGTCTGGTTGCCGACAACAGACTCGAGAGCGCTGTGCGGCATGCACGACAGCCAGCACAGGGAATCGACCAGCTCCCCCATCTCGTCTAGGCTCACCGATTCAACGGCATCGCGAATGGCGGAGCGGATCGATAAGTCGTCGTCCATGACCAGCGTTCCGAGCCGCTCCTCCAGCGACTTGCGCGCGAGCGACGTCCAGCTGTCGAGACGGATCGGCGCCGAGCTATCCAGCAGACCTATTCGGCTGAAGCCGTTCATAAGCCGCGAAAAACCTGGATATCTGGATGAGAGGTGAGCCAACAGCGCTATGCAAGTATGATCTCAGATTGGTGGCCACGCACCGCAAAGTGCCGCGGAATATTGTCCGCATTTCGTCAGCTGGTCCTAATCCATAGAACTTCGCGTACGGCAGACTATCACGGTTGGCTAGACCTTCGAATTTGATCACTTTAGACACGGGTATGTCGGGTATATGCGCAGGCAGGAGATTGCTACCGTCAATGTGATAGTTCTATCATCGCACCAGGGCAATCAGCATACATCCGTGGGGAGGGGACATTGGACTGGACCTTTCCTCTAACTCTGAACGTGGCTGCGTTCAAGGTAGCCGTCAAGACACCTTTGGGACTCCAGCTGAATTTGTAGCCCAGTGGTACGTCTTCTGCGCACTCGGGAGCTGGCAATCCGCCACAGAAGGACGTGAAAGATACAATTTCTTTCCCTTGGGCGCGAATCGAGTCGAGGAGCGATATCGCGGAGCAATGGTCGATTCCAGGATCAAGCCCAATCTCATTCAGGAGGAGGACATCTGCTGCAACTGCTCTAAGAGATAAACATATCTCAGTCGCCGATCTAAATCGTATATAGACCTCTTACTCGTCATGGAGAGCCCTCATGGTCGGCGAGATGTACGATGCTGTCACTAAGTGTTTCCGGTGCAGAATACACAATTTAGCCACTGCTGGATGGAATGGAACCGGAAGGAGGCTGGGACATTGTGCGTCAACTACAGCAGACTTGAACACGTCTCGACACTGAAGCGTACCTTATCACCAAATCCGACTCCTGAATTAATTGACCAACCTGCTCCGCGTCACTCATATCAACCAAGCGAGCCGTCGCATTCGCGAACGAGCCTGTCTGCCGCTCAGCATCAGCTAAAGAGTTACTGGCTGCAATCCGTTAACACAGTCCATTGCCGACTGCGAATGAGACGCACCAACGAGAAGCTGCACGTCGGGACGTTTGCAAATTTCTTCAATCGCAGGGCCCGCAACCATTCCACTCCCCAGCATCAGCACTTTCTTCTTTAAATTCAAGGTTGTGTCACGCTTCGCTGTATCAGATGATATCTGTGACAAATATGCCCTAGCAGCAGCAGCAGATGCAGCAGTAGACCGACTCCAAATACCCAATGGTTTTTGTAACCATGCGTGTTTCTCGGTGAGCTTACCGTTCCAAGCAACCGTCGCTTTGTCCAACGCCTCATGCTCCTTGCCCTGTCTCGTGTTCGTCCCACGGTAGCCTGCGATAAGCGAACGCAGATACGGCATGAGAACTCTACAAAAATGCTGGGACGCCTCCAGCGGAAGTGCCGTCGGTAAGATGTCGACTGCCATCATCGTGACAGACGGGAGGTGAGCGGGAAGCGTATTTGGGCGCGTGGAAAAGAACGGTGCGGAGAGCGTCGATGTGTTGGGGAGGAACTCGAGACCGCCCTGCGCTCCTGTCAGTGGTGTCGTGTGTGATCGGATCGAGAGGAGCCACTGACCTCGATGTCGCAGCTGATATCGCCTACGCAGGCAAAACGGCCTCTTCCGACTTGTTGCGCCTTCTCGAGTGCGAGAGTTAGTTGTTCGTTGGTCATGAGCCGTGGATAGGACGGGGACCACCCTGCTCCATGCAGAAGCAGGGACAAGTATGGGGCAATCTAGTGGTAATTAAAACTCATTGGACTTCTTTGAGTTGTTGAACCTACCTTGGAATGGAATTCGGATTGGTAGTCTTGGGGGTTTGCATAGTAATCTGAACGCGAGTATCTCATGCCATCATTCCGCACAAAATAGTCCTCCGGAAGTGCGTGCACTACATATATCTAGAAACCAAAATCAGGAATAGCCTTGAATCACCTAGCATGCAGGCTCCACCTTGTGAAGGTCAGTATCTAAATGTGTGAATAAGTGTGAAGTTCGCTAAAAGTAGGCAACTTCATCGGATACTCACCGGGATTTCCCACCAATGCCGGCAAATCCCTGACTTTAACTTTCTCAATAGGCAGATCTTCTAGAAGATCAAGAACGCCCTGAGCTACTTTCCCCATCCTATCAACGTGTCAGAACTGCAATTCAGACAGCCGCCTGACCTACCCTGTTACCCCAAACACGAGTGGCCCCAGGCTCTTAGGTGTGCCTTCCAGCGCAATACGCGCGCCTACAACGTCTTTGAGCAGAGCGCGGATGGAGGCAAGCGTAGGATACGAGTGCGGCCGGGGAGTGTACTGTTCGGCAATGTGAATGGGAGTACGAGATCATTCCGCAACTGCAACATACTAGAAAAGGACTCGCCACACCAAGTTCAAGCTGTGCATGAGCGAGGGCACTCAAAGATTCAAGGGCACCTGCGACTGAGATCCGAAACCATTATCCCGGAATGCTCGAGAGAAGACTTGCGACATACCCCCGGCAAACCAGCCAAACCCAACTGTCCGTTTTCCGTCCTCTCCAGTAAGCAATTCGTAGTCAATGAGACGTGGAAGCAGGGCGGGGTCCTGTGTCTGCGTTCCTCCCGGTATATCTGAAGAGACAAACTTTGAGAGTAGTTCCATGTTATACATCTGGCCTTTGATGGTATGGGAGAACATGAGGTGAGTACGGGGAAGGAGTGGATGGTCCACCGAACCCGAGAGCGCGGGGATGGGGTCGTTGAAGACTTCCTGCAATGGCGTCTCCTTGATACCCAGGATGATGTGTGCCGGGTAGAGTGTAGGATGGACTCGAGCTCCAGCCTATGACAACATCACTTCGCACAGGACACGAGCAGGGTTGAAGACGACACGGACCTTGACGAATTCGTCCGTAGACCATACTCTTCTTTCACATTCCTGAATTAATACGTCGACACCTTCCTTCTCTGTGAGCTCGTTCACGACATCCGGAGTGAGTGGACACCTTCGCTCCCATATCCGGAGCGGGTCCTCCCTGCGAATGCCAATGGTGAGTTTACTCGCATTGCTAGAAGTCGCGTAAGGACGCGCTGGAGAAATGCGAGCAAGTGCATATGAAGAACGACGTAAGACGGCCATATTGAGGGTCGCTGCTACATCCACGACGATGTTGGAGTTGTGGACAGAATCGCGTCGGTGCAACCGAGTTGGCAAACCGGAGTCGTCTCATGACAAGATATGATCCGAGCCGACTGGCGGACTGGGGTCCACCGAGGGCGCGTAAGTTCAAGTAATGCTTAAATGTTTCAGTGCATCCCATCCGTCGGTGGCGTTGAAATCGGACTAACACTACATTGCACTCATCGGAAAAAAATGTTTGACTTGACTGTTGATCAGTGGATTATTATACACATCAAGTTATCCTGGCGGTCGAGCAGACGATCACACGGGAAACGCGGGTAGTGGAAACTGGAAAGGTGGTTCGAGGTTCGCGTGATTTGGCGCCGAAGGCGCGTCGGGTGGTCCACCCACGTGATGGGATAGTGCATTCTTAAGCGCCCACCAATTAGAATGGACCAGGACGATGCCACCGATGGCAGAGTGCCCACGCAATTGCCCGCAATGCGAATACGTCAAACCCTGTTTTGTCTTCTGCAGGCGTGGCTTACTCTCGCAGAATCACAGCAGCTTTCCTTGAATCAGTTGTACAACTTTTCGACGACCCCGACATCTACAACATATTCTCTGCCCGTATCCTCATCTCCGCTTTCCGTCTCCGTCGCGCTGTGCTCCTCTACGACCTCCAATCCGCCAAGATTCTTTGTGTCGAATGAATCAGGGATTACACCCGGGCCGAATAATCTCGGCCAGGCGAACATATATGAGATTGTCCTTGATGCAGATTCTCTTGGTAGTTGGACGGGGAGCATGTCGGTTTCGGGCATGCTTGCTGTCTATAGCTCCAATCAGTTCCCTTTCGAAGTAGGCGTATCAAATAATGGTAAGCATCTTTATGTACAGACTACCTAGGCTGCGCATCGGAGCCCTTTCATTCCGTGATAAACAACTCGCTCAGATTGACCTCATTCGAGTTCTTTTTCACAGGCCCCATTCATAAAGTGTTAGACACCCTGCCTCTGCTTGGCGACTCCACCGCAAACCAGGTCCTGCTTTTCTCTCCGCCTTTCTCGCCGCCCACATTCTCGGTCTCAACATATCCAAACTATACCTTTCCGCCTGCTAACCTCACTTTCCCTACCGAGCCGTCATCTCCTCCCCAGTTCTCCATATTCATTGCACCTACTTCGCAAGCACTAACATCTCTACCTCGCACAGGATGTGCTATGCGGGCATCGGGAGGGAACATTGGCCTATATGAACCGTCGTCATCCAGTGAAGGCTTATGGTTACGCGATTCGGATGGCTGGCGCTGGCAGTGGTTCGTGAACGGACTCACACCACAGACTAACTACACAGTATACGCGGTCGACAACGGTACACAAGTCGCAGGTCCTATTTATTTCACTACCAAGTCAGGTATGTGCGTCCTCTCAGGTTCATTCATTCGCGTTGACTACGTCGTAAAGCTGCATTTGCATGCCCAATCTTGTACTCGCTTCCTTTCTGCCCCTCCGTTTCATATGCTGTCCCAATAAACTCCTCGAATACTGCAGCCGGGATTACCGCAGGTGAACTTCCTGAAGCTGTCACCGAGAACTTCCTCAGCGGCCTCACCAACTTTACTGTCATGTTATCTACATGGGCATGCGGGCGGGATCTCTACAGCCCCATCATGACCTGCACAGACTGCCAAGCAGCCTACCGCACATGGCTCTGCCTCGTCTCCTTCCCGCGCTGTGCTGAGCCCCCCAGTTCCACTACATCCTTTGTGTCGTCCAAGCCAACGGCGCAGCAGGTTTTTCCCGCGCTGCAACTGCAGAACGCATCGAACCCGCGAAACCCGAACCTCCCGTCGTTCACGCAGGACTACAACGCAGTGTTGCCGTGTTTGGAGATGTGCGGTGCGGCGGACCGCGCATGCCCGTACTTCCTCGGTATCAAGTGTCCACTTGCGAAATACACGGCCTCGTGGAGCTACGGTGTGGGGTACATCGACAGCGGCGAAGAGGGCGTCATGGGCGGGGGCTCGACCGGGATGGCCGCAGATCGCTATGGGAATGTGTGGTGTAACGCTGCGGGTGTCCTTTGAATGGTAATCTCCACACGATTCCGGTGCGATCATGTTCTATATACTGGAGCCTTGGTATTGGCCCAAGTGCTAGTGAATGAGACATTTAGCATCTGCCAGATCCTGAATGCCTCGTTCGACATGAGTGATTCTCTTGTATCTCTGCCATATCTAGTGGCTCTTACATGCCTTGTAGGGTCACCGCTGTAGTATGCGTGTCGCTTTTGTGACAATACTCGGCGATGAATAAACAGTCAGCAGCCCGCGATGAGCTAGTTGTAGATCATTTGAGGGATGTGAGCGCGTCTGGCGTGGGATCCCTCATTCAATCGTGTCTGGCAGCGATAAGTCATTGAAATGGTAACGTGGATAGCTGTGCATCTGCTTGGATGAGTTTCGAGGCCTACTAACTGCTTTCCGCACAAATATGTCCACACATTTTCGCAATCTCAGCAGCTGCGTGTGGTGTCGTCAACGTGAGCGCATGTCGAATGCACCTCATTGCTGTATTCATGCAGGCGGCTTTTGTTCGCTATATCAGATACTCACCTTTCACAAGAATGCCCCTTAAAGATGAAAGCGCAGGCCTCCCTTAAATGCGAAACATGCGGATGGGAGGATCATGATGCTGCAAGGCCTGTGAAGGTAGGTATATGAGGCTTCATTACAACCATTTGCTACTAGGAGCTTATTTGTTTTTAGGCTCACCCGATGATGTGTCCATTTTGCGACGCTCGTAATCATGATACTTTTCCCTTCCCAAGTGTAATGCATGCAATTGAATGTGCACTTCCTGGCCCAATTACTTACTGTATCGATTTAGCGGGGGCTGATGATGAATCATGCCGTTGTCTCTACGCAATGGCATAAGCATGACGAGGATCACGATGTGCGAGGCCGGAAGACGGCGCCTTGGACGCGAGTCTGTCGTAAATGCAACAGGACGGGACATGTAGAATTCCAGTGCTACGGGCAAAAGTGCTCAGTGAGCCGCAATGCCCCGATACATCCGTGACATGATGATGACACTCTCAAAGACCTGTGGTGATACAAAGCATCAATCCGACACCTGTCCTCGAGCAGCGCGACACCGTCGTACGCCCTGATATGCTGATAAGGCATCGTGTAGCCGCTAAACCCCACCCCTGATAGGTCTCTGCTACCGGTGTGGAAACTCGCAACATAACAGCTGGTATAACTCATTTCTGTTGCTGTTGGTTTTACTTCTAATCACACCGTTGCCGTAGGCCTTGTTTTCCAAGGGAGAACATGTACACTGATCAACCGTCTACAAGCGGAACAAGCAATCATCCTAATATCAACGACGAAGGCAACGTATGCGATTCCAAGCCTAGCGATGTTCATGTGAGTTCCGAAGTCGAAGATGATCGTAACTATGATCAAAATCAGAGTGAAAGTGAAGATGTCAGAGTCGATCCTCTTATACCTCACGCACGGTGCGTCCTTCTCTCCTGCACTTCTGCCTCGTAGACATCCGATGTTTTTGACTGAGTAGATCAACGTCGGAGCAACGGCAAGATCAAGATGATCAACAAGCGCCAAATATAAGTGCAGTGGGCCTTCAGTACCGAGCTCAGCTCCTCATGAAGTCGGGCAAATACGATCGGGCAGCTGTTCTGTTGACAAATGCGATCTGTGAGCCCACTGCTAGCGACATGGCACCATTATCGTACTCATCGAAGAGATTTGAAGCCATAGATTCTTCCACATTGGCGTTGTTCACCTCTCGTGGGGTCGCTTTGGCCCAGTCCCACGATTTCAACGCTGCTATAGCAGACTTCAACACCGCTATATCGAAGGGCCTCTCGCTGACGTCTGAAGAGATCTTATGGATGGCTCGCTCTCATCTCTATCTTGGCTCGACTGCATCTGCCCTTTTTATCATTGAGGACGTACTGAGGCTGGATCCCCAAAACGAGGACGCGCGGGCTCTGAGGAAACGTCTCATGGCTCTGGAAGTCCACATTCAGAGCTACCAAAAGGCACAGTCTTGTGCAAACTGGAGAGCCGCCAGGACTGCATATCAATCCTGCCTCACCATATTTGCCGAGGAGAATGGTCCTCTGCCCGTCCAATTCCGCTGCTGGGGAATCGAGCTGCAGCTAGCGGAATGCGACTGGGAGAAAGCTGTAAGCGGCACGGAGTACGTTGGCATGACTTCAGTGTATTTGACGCACTGATTCATGTAAATCAGGTACCTTCTGAGTAAAGAGCCGGAAGCAGTTCAAGTCATAACTTTGCGCGCCGTAGTCCTTCTGCTAGTTGGAAACTGTTCTGAAGCACTTCTCCATCTGGCAGTTGTACTCAGACTGGACCCGGACAATAAGAATCTTCTAGCGCTGAGGACTCGATGTAAAGATATTAAACAGCTGCAAGAAGAAGGAGAAACACTAGGACTGGGTGGTAAATGGTCTGAGGCAATTAGGAAATGGAACGAGGCACTTACGGTGCGTTCAGCTCGGACTGAAGTAATGATAGCAACGTTTTGAACACAGCATACAGCTCGTCGGCGAGAAGGGGACGGAAGGTGGGGGCGGCCCGCTCAGGGCCAAGCTGCTTCATCGAATAGCCAATGGGCAATTGAAGGTACGGAGAATCATCTACGTTCGTCCATGATGAATAGCATCGATCAATCACAATATTCAGCTCGGCCAGTTGTCGGATGGGCTCAGAACCATTGATAGCGCTTTGAAGTTGGACCAAGTGTCTCCCCGTGCCCACATAGTACGCGGCCGATTACACCTTGCTCTTCGGCTTTATGATCTTGCCGTCGACGACCTCAAGGCTGCCGTTCAATATGGGATATCCAAACTGAATCAGGACGAGCTTGCTGAGCTGCAGGCCGAACTCGCAAGTGCCACAAGAAAAGCAGCGGCCGAACGCGGAAGGCCACCAAACTACTACAGTGTTCTAGGTTGGATTCTACGACTCGCCTTACTGCGTGTCTTATTGAAGCATCATTAGGTCTCCCAAGAAGGTGTACAGCCAGTGATATCCGCAAAGCGTACACGACGCAAGCACTCAAGCACCATCCGGATAAGGTTGGCTCACTTAATCACATTGATATGGTGCTTGCTCATTTGGATATCAATTTGTAGGGTGGTATGGAAGAAATGTTCAAGCGAGTGTTTGAGGCCTACTCTGTCCTGAAAGACCCAAAGGCTCGACGCTCGTATGATGCAACGCTGTCAGCATCGCATGGCTAGGATCTGTAGTTCAACATTCGGTAATAAACACAGTACCCCGTCTCATCTTGCTGTGTATGATGTTGTTTCAAGGCCTTTATTTGCTCATCTTCTCTCCTAGCTGCGATCTATTGCGACGTATGCTGACTTCGCTAATATGCAAGAGTGAAGACTGTATTATATATAGCCTATCTGTCGAAGCAACCACGTTATACCGGACCTGTAATGTATATACGCTATTGCATCACGCACTACCCGATATTAGCAATGTTTCTCCTATTTCTCGTAAGTTCTTTGAAATCGTTATACTGGTTCTATTGCCACCTTGACTGCGTAGCATGTGTCGTAAATGTACTCGTCACTATCCTCACTTGCTTCGTACACAAGGGTTACTTGACTTCCAGAGATCCATGTTGTAGTAGCGGTGCACAACGAAAAACTGTTCGTGTCACCATTGACGGCCAACAACACAGAATTTGTCGCTACTTCGGGCTACACAGAATCTGTAAGAAGTCGTTCCATGTCTTCGTGGACGGCACTTACAACTGCACAATAAATTTGAGCGGCGTCGGGAGAGGACTCGTACTCGGTCACCACAAAAACGAGTTCGTCCCCAGCAGCGACTGGAGCACTGAACGCTCCAAGACCTTCTTCGTCCGAGCCAGCCTGGGGAAAGACGGCGCCACTTTGGAGGGTATTGTACGGCCACTGATTAGAACCCCATGACTCGTACGTCTGAATTGTGACCATTCATCAAGTATGCTCTGCAAATACATTATGGACTTACGGAGAACACCCATTCACTCGCAGCCGGACTGTCTCCGGGAGGGCCCCAAGCGAGGACAAGAGGTGTGGTTACGCCACCCGAATTCGTGGTATTGTATGCTGCTAGCGTGAAGTTGTACGACGTCGTATCGGTCGCATCTGAACCTAGCCCCGCACAGGATGCCCCTGTCTGACGAACATTCATTGAGGGCATAGAAACTGCTACATCCGCGAGAAGTATCGAAAGAAATGTAGCAGTGATCATGAGGAAAGCTGATGACGATACCCAATGAGACGTAGAACCAATGTTGGTAGTTTGAGGACTCTGACGAACATACTTTTATAGCGTCAGGAGGGCGCTGGTAGTGAAGTCCGATAGTCGATCGCACTGCCCAGCAGATCTAGAAATCCAGGACGACCGGTGCGACCGCGATGGAGAACTGTGGCCGACGCGGAACTCATAAAGTCATGATTTGCCATCTTCACCATCGACATCACCTCGGTGCCGTCAGGGTGCCTTGACTGCATCTTGGCGTGGCGGCTGGGATACAAGTGGGAAGCGGTGTTGACGACGATCAAGCACTAAAACTTACTGCTCATGGTCAGTCTGGTAGCATGACGGCATTCTGTCGCCGTGAAGGCTATACGGTTAGCGTCAAGCAAGGTCATCCCAGAGATTTGCTGTCATTCTGAAACGAGCGATTGACAGACGTGGATCGGAGACTTGGTGCTGCGAATACTTGACGGGCGCGGGCATGTCGTGAATTCGTCTCCACCGACAAAATGTTCATATTGTGAGATGGGCGCGTCTAGAAACAAAATTGCCGATCCAAATGAAATTATGAAGCATCAATCTACTGCCGAAGTGACCAATATATTGAGCCATATTATGCAGAGTACCCTCGCCTTGTAAGTAAACCAATGGATAACGCTTTCCTGAGCGAAAATAGAAGTTGTCGAGTGGTTTTCATACCGTATAAAGCATCTGCGGATCGTCGGAATATATGTAATTGATATCAGATACTGCATAGTCCAATAATCAATACATTGAATAGTACAGCGCACCAGTGCGGCCAGCAACCGATTATTTCGATAACTGCAGCACCTCCTCTAACCGCTTGATGCCCTTGTCGAGATCGTCCATGACGCTGGTAGTTTTGACCCACGTGAAGGCGTCTTCGATAGAATCACCGAGCTCCTCTAGTTGAGCAGGCGTGAGTGGCGACGTGACACTTTTCTCTTCTGTCATCCATTCTAAGCCTGGGCTTCTCAAGTCATATTTTAGGCCATTCCCTCTTGATTTTTCAACAATCTCCTGCGAGAATGGGCGTCGAATCTCGTCATAAACCTTGAGCACTTGATCCACATTCTCGAGCGTCGTCCCCGGATGACCGAGCAGAGCAGCCAAAATGAATCCGTCCTGTCAATTGATGAGTGCATGTAACCGCCATGTCTATGAATACCCCACCTCGAATGCTTGTCCAGCGCCAGACCCTTGATAAGGCATCATAGCATGAGCCTGTCAAGTATGCGAAGACGAGGCTTAGCAAAGCTACACGTTCGTACAACACAGTTACTGACAGCATCGCCAATCAACGCGACCCGATCGTCAACAAATGTAGACAATGTGGGTAATGAGTGCACAGCCCATAGTGAAACATCGCCAAGGCACTGGAAGTCATCAGAAACTACCGAAAGGCGAAAAATGGATTAGACGCACGCTTAGGAGGGCTTGGATCATAGGTTCAAAGTTGCGGTATTCCGCCACAACCTCCTCCTTGGACGAGTCATGAACCCACTGAGCACCATATACGGTACCCTCCAAGTCCGGCTTAGAAACATAGCCGCCGAAATTGATCTTCTGTCCTGATGAAATGCCATATGCAACAATATGCTAACTCCACGTTCAACTGAATGAGCAAAGAGCCACTCTAATTCGACATACCTTGTCTCGACCAAAACACTACGTCCGAAATAAGCATACCGACAAGCATCGTGATGGAGAATGGTACAGACCATCATAGTCTGAGAAAGCGCTGGATGGCCAGGAAATAGCCTCTCTAGCTCATCTCGATACACCAGCGAGCGATATATTACCGTTCCACTCCACCGTGGCTCTGACTGTCGGGCAAGGTCGGCGGCCTTCGTATCATTTCCAGCTGACTTTTCGCGTTCTGCCAACAAGCGATACATAGTTGTGCGAACAGCGGACTTTATTCCATCGCAGCCGACAAGGACATCACATTGAGCTTCGGAGCCGTCTGCAAATTGTAGTGTGATTTTTCCAGATGGTAGCTTGCTGTATGTGGCAAGCCTCTTGGAAAAATGGAACTTGTGCCCTTGTGGCAGGTTCCGACTGAGAACATCAAGAAAATCTGCTCTGTGTAACGATCTGAATGCGACTGAAAATTCGTTGCGGGCCCCATCAGTAAGGTATTTCAGCCCGATAGCCCTAGTTCATACCTCGAGGAGCGTTCGAAGGGAAAGGCATGCCTTCGGGCTGGTCGCTCTTGCGAAAAGTGAAACCAGTAGCTTGAGACAATTCATCTGTTACCAGAACATAGCAGAAGTCGGAATCTATACCTACCACGGTCCTTGCCATTAGTGTTCGAAACGGCCAAAATGTCGGAGTCGAGCTCAAGCTTCTGTAGTAGTTCCCATGTTCGGGGCCAAACGGCAATGCCAGCACCGACTTCCCCAAAACGCGTTGCTGCCTCGTATATATTGACTTCAATATTAGGGCAGAATTTCTGGAGCGACAGTGCAAAGACAAGGCCGCCTATGCCTGCGCCACTGTGCAATGGGTGAATCACGACCACGCGCAATTTACGACGATGATGGGCTTACGCGATAGCAAGACTGAACTTGTTGTCAGACATAGTGAGACGGACAATCTCAGTGTGCAATGATAAGAAGCCCACCTTTATAGTAGCTCCGCTGCGGGATGAGGTACTGTGCCATTTGTCGATGTGGTCTCGTGCCCAGACGTGTCTTCGACACGTCTGGGTACGAGACCATGTCGATGTAGTAATCCTTGTTTGATTCTCCTGCCGAAAACTCATAGGCTATCCATTCGGATGACGATAAACACCGAGTGTTTGCATTTGAGACGTGTTTAGAATCGTGTCTCCAACGCAAAGCCTTTGAGGCTATGACGTTGACCAAGGCGGAGACAATCAGTGACCGTCTTAGATACAAAGCAAGGGTGCAAGGACTCGAGGGCGTGCGAGGCTCGCGGGAACTTGAAAGGAAGGTCGCCAAAGATCGCGACTCATGAGTCATCTCCAAGTTCTCTTGCTTCTGTGATGCATCACGAACTGAACACAATCACTGGTGTTCCAGACTTGGATACTACTCATCTCACTCAATTACTTAAGCGAAAGGTACAGGAAGGCAGTGGCTGATGGAGTTTGGCGTATATTTTTGTCCAAGTGCTGCCGTCGATTGCAGCCCGCAGTCCAAGCCTCTTTGTCGTGTTGGTTTGTTGTGTCAGCCCAGCTAAACCTCTGGGTTGCACGATGATCTTGGTAGTCTGCCCCTAGCATGTTTATTGGAGTCTTTTTACTCGACCGATCTTAGGTCCCACATGCAATTCAGAGAGCAGAAGGTGGCCGAGTGTATTCAAGGGGGGCCTCCACTATCCAATGGATCATGCTTGAGAATCTGCGTTTCTCATCTCGCCACTGGGACGGCTCAGAATTCGTTACATGACGCGGATATCCTTCCGCTCCATTTGTTATGAATTGGGCAAAACCCGTAATGTCTACGACGCTCTAGACGTTAATGGCAAGCCCATCTCTACGTTATAAGCCACAGGACGGGTGGACAACTGTGCGGTCTGTCTACTCAAAACCTATCTAGATCTCTCGTTCTACCCTTCTTCCTACACCAATATGGGCGAAAAGAAGAAGTTCAAGGTTGCCATCGTGTAAGTACGCGTGTTATTTGCACCAGCTTGTCTCATATTCTTCCAGCGGTGCTGGTATCGGTGGTCTAAGTCTCGCTTTATCGCTCTTGAAACTGAGCACGGACATCGATGTTGACCTTTACGAGTCCGCCGCTCAATTGACGGAGATAGGGGCCGGCTTGAGTTTATGGCCGCGGATTGAGGGTATATTGCAAAGTCTTGGGATAGATGACGATGTGAAGGCATTCACGATGCATAATCAATGTGAGCATGCTACTGTAATTCAGGACTTTGGGCTGACAAGGATGTAGTTGTCAGCTTTAATTTCCGGAGATCGGACCAGGAGAATACAATCGCATTTGGCGAAGAGAACGAGAGAGGCAAGTTCTTCCGTCTCATGATCCAGCGTGTTTGACTAAGAGGCATTTTGATTAGCCGGGCAGATGTCCATACACAGAGCCGACTTTCAGTCTGTCCTTCGCAAGCACATCTCGTCCTCATTCCCCATTCACTTCTCCAAGAGGCTTGAATCCTACTCAGAATCAAGCACAGGGCAGATAACCCTTAGTTTCCTTGATGGATCCACGGAAACGTGTGATGTCCTCGTTGCGTGCGACGGTATCAAATCCGTTGTGCGTCGGACCATGTTCACCACTCTTTCAGAGCAGGCAGAGCATCGTGGGGACCCTCAGGCGGCTGCGAAGTTTGCATCTTACGTGGAGCCCGTGTGGAGCGGATCCATTGTATACCGATCTCTCGTTAAGACTGAGGCTCTGCAGAAGGCCCACCCAGAGCACATAGCTGTGAAATCGCCCATACTGGTACGAAACTTCGTTCAGATAGTGTTCATTTCTCACTCGATGCCATACACAGGCTTTCGGCAAAGACAAGGTTAGAAAATGCTTCATAATACATGACACACTGCTGACAGCAAACACTGACGCGACACGACACATAGCATCTCGTAATCTATCCAGTTTCGAAAGGAAGCTTACTCAACGTGGTCGCCTTCTCTACCAATCCGGAAAATGAAGGCACTTTTGTTCCTCAACCGTGGGTGAAGATGTCCTCCAAGGAGCAGCTCCTTGCCGAATATCAAGGGTGGGACCCGGAAACGCAAGCGTTGCTGAACGTTCGTCAGTCCCCATTGTCCGCCGTGACTTGTTTCCTCATGATCGGTTCGGATAGTGCGCAGACAATGTTTCGACCTGGATACTCCACACTGTTCCGGTGCTGTCTACCTATGTTAGCGGACGAGTGGCCCTACTTGGTGACGCTGTAAGTACCTATACACAATGGTAGTCACATCGAGAGACCAACAATAGATAGGCGCATGCTATGACTCCACATCAAGGTTCCGGAGCAGGGCAAGCTTTTGAGGTATTTAGGGAATCCTGCTTACGCTCACATGTACTCATGAGAATTCCAGGACGCTTTCATTCTCGCGAATATTCTCAGTCAGCCCACTGTCACCCTCGAAACCCTCCCTCAGGCTTTGCAAGTATACGACGCAATCCGTCGTCCGTTCTCCCAGAATGTCCAGGCAATGTCTCGCATTACGGGGACGGTCTATGATCTCAATGATAAAGTTGTCGAAGAACTTGTTGGCCATGATGGGATCTCAAAACCGCTATCTGTAAACGAGCTGGAGATACTCGGTCAAAAAGTGGAAGACCTGATGTCGTGGCTCCGATCTACGTCGGCTCTGGATGAACGTGCAGCGGCACTAGAAATGTTAAAGACGCTATCACAGTAGTATATATGCATAATATGATAATGATTCTCTTGGCTAGCTTTTTCGCTGCTTTGTGCTCAGGCTACCTCCCGAAGATACATCTTCAAACCAATAGGAAATAAACGGGCTGTCGGATGATGGCATCTAATTCAATTAAGGAAACGCACAATAGTAACGATACCGAAGGCTTATACAAGTCTAATCAAGCACGCGCCTCTGGTAGACTCTTTGTGAGCATATTGAATCTGAAAGAAGTAGTCAACTCACCCACTTGCGACCCAGACTTAACCCGTCTTCGCCTTGAGTTGTCTCCACAAAGTGCAGAACATCACCGCTCCAATCCCCACGAAAGCGATCTGCAAACCCACAAAGTTCAGCATACCAACTTTCACACCCGCGCCACCCCACACTGCGCCAGTCACACGACCCGTGTAGTTGCTATACTGGATGGCCAAGCTGATCCGTGCGTTCCAGTCCCCAGGGAGCTGTTTCGACAACAAGCTGAGCGTGACTGTGCTCAGGAGGTTGAATCCGAGTGCGACGAGGAACCAGCATACGAAATAGCTCCCATACGAGACCGTACGCGTTCGCAGGATCGCAAGCGTGATGAGCAGCCCTGCGAGACCGAGCGCAGTCCCGACCGCGAGCGTGTGGCGGTCCTGTACCCGCCGCGCAACGAACACGTTCACGACCAGGAACGGTAGCGAGCAGATGCCGCCGAGCGCGAGTAGATTTCCCGCCGCAGAAGGGCTGAAGTGGAACGGGTTGAGGGGCGATATGGACCCACTGAAGACGGGAATGTTTGCCTCCCAACCACCAAGAATGAAGAAGCAGGTCATCGCAAACCAACACATGGTCGCCGTTACACCCAATTGGGGCGCTGACATGCGCACCCGTTCGGGACCAACTGACTCCGCAGCATCGGTGTTTTGAGCTTCCACATTCGTGGTGATGGATGTCTTCGTAGTCGCTCGTGGATCCGGTTCATCAGAAGGTGAACGGGACTGCGGGGACGGACAGAAATCCGGATGGCGATATTCTGCCCCTGAGCTTTGTACTTGCTGTCCAGCAGACTCTGTGAATGACAGCCGATCGACTTCCTGTACGTCTGACGCCGACTTGTCCAAAATCTCGTCAGGAGTCGAAATAATAGCCTGCGGTTGAGCTACAGGCTGTAGTTCAATTTCTAAGCGAGCAGGCTGGACACGCGGGACATCTTCGAAAAAAAGCGTCACGATGACCCAGAAAATGGCCCACATTGCGGAGACGACCCAGGTTGGGCTTGTAAAACCATTGAATATGGCGTTAGAGAACCCAACCTTGTATCTGCAAAATATTGATATAATCATATTGTCCGGAAAAGCATGGAAAGACGTACAGGAGACCTCCGAGGAAGGGACCAATCGTGAGACCACATCCTTGTCCCAAGACCAGCCAACCAGCTAACATTGTTCTGCGACGCACGCCTACGAGACGGTGATCCGAGCAGTACCGTTTTGAATACATGAAGAATGTAAATGCGAACCCAGAGACGATACGGCCAATGAGGATCAGATAGAGGAAGTTCGCGTAATATGCGAGACTGTACAACACATTGCCGAGTAAGGCAGATGCGCAAGCAAAGTGAAGTGGTCGTCTATATCCTCCTGTAAGACAAGAGCTGAGTTAAGGGGCGCGCATATAAGCACAAAAACCAAACCTTCATCAAGCTTCATCAGAGGGATAAGCGCCATGCCAGAAAAGACGGTGGGTATACCAATGACAACACCAGAAAACGTCGAAGTGCCTCCAAGGTACTGTGCATATTGATCAGACGAAGAGACGACAACAAAGAAGGTAATCTGCAGTTATTTTTATTCAATGTGACTGAAAAACATATTCAAGTTACTAAAGAACTCTGACCTGAAGCAACCCATTGGCTGCTAATACAATCGCCAACGAGGTAAGTTTTGGCAATTTAAACTCGTCATAGTCTAGACTCTCCCCAACAGCTGGTAGAGCTTCCTGGTCGGGCGAGTCTACGCGAGGCTCGGGCATAGTAAGTGAAATACCTGGAGTATCGCGACGACCATGACGACGTCGCGACAGTGCAGCAAAGTCGAGCACCGTGGACAAAACTCGGAGACGGGGGATTGGCATGTCGGTCGACATCCTAGCTTGTTCGCCCCCAGATATAAAACGCGCTTTATAACGGAAAGCCGCAGGAATCCGACGCGGCGAAGGGGAAACAAGAAGGTATGAGTCACAAAGAGTGAATAAGATCGCACAGTACTGACGCGCTACAAGCGCTCCGAGTGCGGGAGGGGACATCAAATACGCAACTGAATCCAAATAACAGCCTCTGGGAAGTTGACTTCCCGCGCTGCCTTCAGCCTCAACGCTGAGAACCATAAGCTGCTGTGATGTTGCTTGATCATTTTTATAGCACCAAGTCCAGAGCTTTCAAGAAGTAAGAATGGAGGATGTAACTTGTTGAGGGTCAACGATGAAGTTGGCCGTGGCGTCAACGCCACTTGGCTCGTTGATTCGGATCGATTAGGGTCGACGCGACAGAACTCGGATAGGACCGGCCGAACCGTCATTTCACTCGTAGTCTCGTCCTGCGAGTCGTCTGGTCTGATTGGTCCCGAATGAGGCTGGATTTTGACCGTCGGATTTCGTCTGCTTAGAGCTGTATCCGAAATGTAACTTGTGGTTCTGCGCACGCATACTTACTCAGTGAAACACACTGGGAGACAATTTTGATATCATTTTGGGCGAAGGCCTCCAGCACTTTCCGACTTGGTCAAAATTTCCCCTGCAGTATATCTTCATCTTCTGACGAGAATCAACGCAACCCTCTTGAAAACGTCACTTGATTCGCACGAGCCTACGTACTCGGGACAATAGCAAGTGCAAGTGCATGCTAGTCGTATTCAGTAAACTATGTAGTAAAGATGCTGTGAGTGCGTTGACCGTTCGTGTTGAATACATTCCAATGACACTATATCACCTCCCAAAAGCACAGCTCAGTATACCCACGCTATGCAGAAATGCAAGAGTCCAAATTGTACAGCTATACCCACATCACAAGAAGTCCGTGACTTGTCCATGTAGTCCGTAAGGATTATCTTTCAGACGATTATCTTCTGCACGGTTCTAGAGCTTCGAAAGCAACACGTCAAAATTAGAAAGCAGCATATCGATGATCGAAACTCACAATCCTAACGCAGACCTGAAGACAGCTAAAGCCCACAGACAGACGCATCGACCTGCGTCGCCGTAGCAGTAACCCTGCCCAAGAACTGCGCCTGGTTGTCCGTCAGCGTGTTCATGGCTGCGAGCGCAATGTTGAATCCGCTCCCGGCATGGTCAATCGCAAGGACGGTGACTGTATTTCCGTCATATGATAACTCCCAGCACGTCCCGCACTCCGCCGAATTCCACCCAGTGACCGCTGCCGCGGCACCGATGTTCGGGAAATCTGGGAGCGATTCGAAGGTGGTGTAGCCTTTCGTGATCAGACCGTTGGCACCATCAGAGCAGGAGACGGTATCAAGCGAGGAGCTCCCCTGGTCGTATGCAGTATCATATGCAACCGTCACGGATGTCTGAGCGAGCACTGCGGGTGCGAGGAGTGCGATGGCGGCAGAGACGGTGATGAACTTCATCTTAACGAAAGACGTGGGTGACGTCAAGAGGCAAGTCGAGGATATGTAGTGGGCCGTTTGGATGAGAAGAGTAGGCTTGGGTGGTATGAGAACTGACGAGACAACATGGTACATTTTATAGTGCGAGCCTCGCGGGCGATAAGCTGGACTGATTCTCGGCCGAGGTCATAGGACTACCACCGACTGTCGGTTTCGTGCACGCGACTCTAATCAGCTAGCGCGTCGTGGGCTTCAGAAGTCAAAGCCGTTTGATGGACGAGCATCTACCCGGCCTCGGTGGCCTAAGGCAGCAAATCACCCGGGGAAGATACTCCGTACGGGTATATCATCCTTCTAGACTCTAGTGCGGCGCTGATATTGATCCGCCGTTCGCTGAAGCAGCGCCTGCATCCGCTGGTGTACAGCCCAGAATAGGCGCACCATAGGTCAGTGCTGTGGCTAGCTCCAGAGCTCATTCAGTCGTTAGGTTGTCTCACGATGGTCATCATCACCGCGCGGGATGTTTACCGCATTAGTATCTACGTCACCTCTGCCGAATTGCGAAGTCACAGACAGCTGCGTGTGAGGCATGCGGTACAGACACGGAGGGGAGGAGTCGTTTTCGGGCATGAACGCCGCTTGTACTCATGACGTTCTAGTCCCGGCAAAGGTGTCTATTGCAGTGCCGCGAGCTTGTAGTGAACTGATTCGCATAGTTGATGAATCGTGTCATAAAAGAAGATGCACTCAGCAAGCTTGTGATTTGCTGATGTATCAAAGAGCCTCCCTCGCTCTCCTGGGTGATGGGATGTACATTAGAAATAGGGTTCAAAGATGTAGCCTGGCAAATTGAACATCTTGTTATCAAATATCTATCAATCAAGTGTATCTCAAAAGTTTGACGCTGAGTGTAAAGAATCCAGTATCTTTGTGACACACCCTAGGACTGTAGCTACTTTTCGGTGTTATGAGTCAACGTGTCTTCAATCTATGTCAAATATGGCACTTTTCTGATGCCTTTCTGATGCCTTTCTATTGCAAGAAAATAGTGATTTCTTTATTGTAATCTGCCACACATATCATGTTACTATCAATAGTGTATCATTACTTATCACCAAGGTGGGAGATCTATATACCTGTGCCTCATCATTACCTGATGTACAGTTGTACAATTGCTGGTGAAACTTTGCTATACTATTCAATGTATCATGTTACTAAAGCACCACTTCCTGTTATTATATAGTATATTGATATTTTACTTTACATTTGGACTAGAAACATTGTACAGAAATCATACATAGAAATTGTACATTTATATGGTTAATTAGCAACATCTCATCTTTGTTGATCATTCTTCAAATGACTGATCAGGTACAGTGTCAAAATTCTTTGATATGAGATTTATATTGACATCTAAGTAACTATACTTCCTGTATGATACAGATCAACTAAAGTGACATGATTTTGATTTTAATCATGAAGCAGTGTATCATTCCATCATGTAGCTTTGTATAAAAGCAGGAGTAGACAGTCTGTATCTTTGTATCTTCATCTCATCATATCAACTGCTTTTCTGGAAAAATGGATGCATACTTGACCAGTATCATTACAAAAGAACTAGGGCCTAGTTTTATTGGTATGATGTTTGATTTTTTGTATGTGATCTAATTCAATTATAATACTATTTAAACTTTTATTTATCTGGCTTCATCCAGATTGCATGGTGTTATGATTGCTCAAAGCTTATATTATGGCTATCATTATCATCAAGACCACCTTGTGTTAAAGAGTTTGGTATAGTTGTTCAATCTATCTAATTGACTTGCATAGTGCTCAAGCATTACATATCTAGGTTCTGGTTTTGATGTATGTATTTTCAAATCTTCATATAAGCTATAGTACTTAATTGTTACTATAAGCCTTCTTGATTTTTCAACAGCATGTCTTGATGGACAGGTATGTGTGTGCATTTATATCTAATCATTAAAATTATATGCTTATTTAAAATTAGTCATCCTGGTTTTATTTTATACAGGGTCACATCAATATAATAACTCTTGAAAATGTCTGCATGTAAGTAATATATTTTGCTGAGATCTTAAAGCAAAATTTTAATAGATATATACAAACAGATCACGTTCTGTATGTATCTGGAAAGGGCTAGATCACTATAGCAATTGCTCATATTATACTTAGGTTCTAACTATTCTTGGGGTATGTTCAGTATATAATTCACAATACCTGAAAATACTTCTTACACAGATCTCAAGTGGATTGTCATGTCAATTGCCCAGGGGTGTGTGTTGTATTAATTTTTGAAAAACAGTATAATCTGATAATAATATTTATAGGTTTTATCTTTATACTATCTATAACTGTCTGTACTTTGTATATATTAAGATACGTTGCACACTAATAGTTGAGCCATAGTTCTAAGTACTGGTAAAAGATCTCTCCAGATTTGTCTTACAGGATTTGGTGTTGCCATAACTCTTGCTGCATTTGGTAAGCTTATTTCAACCAGTTTTATTTCTGTAGAGCAAACAGCTAATATACATATTAGTATGTGCTATGAGTGAGTATATTATTTTCACTACATGTGTTACTGATAGTTTTTGATGCAGGAGTTGGATATAGCTTGTAAGTGATTTACTATCTTTTTGTATTATATTAGTATTAAGTAAGTGAAATTTCAAGGTTTAATAACAATGGTCCCAGTGCTATAGCACAACAAGCAGTAGTGAGTTTTTGTTGTATTAGAAATAGGAAAATGTTATATAGCTAGATTAGGCACCAGCATCTGCTCAAGCAATCACTACATTGATAGCTGATTGCTATATTACTATGGTGCTCTTCTGGACTTTTTATCAAGCTAGAACAGGTTATACAGTGTAGGTTTCTATATGCTATAACATTGTTAATCTTCAACTGATCATTAAATTCCAGTACAGAGAATATTCTTTCAAAATTAACTGTATATGCTATAAATCGTGGAGCCATCTTATGGTATGTAATGCTGCAGTGTTACACTAATTTGTTCTGCTCATATAGTACTTTCAAAGCATTTTACAAGTGGTTATTGTTATTATAGTAAGTTATATATAAGTTCTGCTATTGAGTTGAAGCTAAGTCCTATACACATTAGCATTTCTGGGGTGCATATGGCCATACTAGCCTCAGTGCTAATTCTGTGTATTCTGTGCAGGCAGTTTTACTGCCACAAAGTGCTCGTAGGTGTTATAAAGTGATACTAAATCTATCTTGTTGCTCTAATAAATTGCTTAGTCTATTGCAATAGCATTATGGCCACGTATGTTTCACTAAATAATACATTACTAAAGACTGACTGATAGCTATGCTTTATATACAGATTAAATGTTCGCCAGTATATAAGCAGTACTAGTACTACTACACAAAGCAAAAAATATCTAGGACATTCTGATCAACAGGCTTATAGCAATGGACATCAGCAACAAGCCTCAGTTTCTGTGTAACTCAAGTAGTTGTCTAGAATCAAAAAAAGTAAGATTCAATCATAATATACTGTCTTTATATATCTTACCATTGTGCTTCAGAGATGGTCTATCTTGAACTCAGATTTGAAGCTGCTGAGAAATGGTCTGCAGAATTTGATGTTACCTATGGACAATATATCATGATCATATATATGTGTTATATTTGGATTTTGGTGCAAGTCAAAAAAAAAGTCATTGCAAGCTACCTACTATTATATACAACAAAGAAATTGCCATTTCCTTGCCAAGCCATAACATTGAAGAGATTTTAGAAAGATGCTAGCTGAATTAAGTTAGGCTTTCCTCTCTTGCAAAATGGACCTTTCTTCACTGGGAAAGTGGTCATCTCTTTATTGTGATGCATGGTCACTACAGATAGCTCAACTAGTTGATAACTATTCAAAATAGCTGATCTCATCTATTAGACTTTGCCTACCAGAAATTCCAGGCTGAAACATTACACATCTGTAGTAACATGTATCCAAATCATATTCATTGTCATAGTCTATCCAGGAAGTATATATACACACCACTAGGGGCACTGGCATCTTCAAAATACATTCACTTTCTATGCTGCAGTAACATTCACATAAACGATACAAACTATGCTCCTCCGAGGAGCGTGGTGTTCGTCATTCAAGTCAAATGACGAATGCCACACATAAAACGCAACAAAACAGTCAGAACAGGGTATCGCACATGAATGCACGGCTCGACAAGTGCCGTTGCCGCAATTAATCATGTCCATGTAAATTGTCCAGACTCACTCGCCTCGTCATATTGCCACTACCACGCAGATCACATGCCCACCCACTCGCCAGCACTCTTACTCTTTGCTTATGTCCGGGGCCTCCTCCTTGGCGGGTTCTGGTTCTGGACTCTCCTCCCTGGTGCTCAACTGCCGCTTGACACGCTCCGCAACCACCACGCCACTCCGCTCTCCCGTCAGTGGGCTACTTTTGAACCTGCCACCTTTCGGCACGGGCATGCTACCCGAGCCCGAGGACGCCGCACGCCTCTTGCGCTCGATCAGTATCGCTTGCTCGAGCGACGGCGACGGCGAAGAGCTGCGTGAGGTTGGCTTCGAGCCCGCAGCAAGAGCCATGTTCACGCCCGGGGGTAGCGCCGCATTGGAAACAGGCGGCTGGGGATATAGGCGGGGCGATGCGCTCGGCGTCGACGGTTGCTGTGCAGGAGATAGTCTGGCACGCGCACCCAAGACGCTCTGCTCCGCATGGACAACCATCGGGATCGTGGGGGGCGGAATAGGGCTATCCTCTATGGCATACACGTCTATTAGACTAATGTCTTTCTCCATCTCGGCGTCCCGTTGCTCGTTGTCGTCAGGGCTGGTCGACGGTGGCGGGGTAACTACCACTGCGCCTTCTAATACGATTCCCGGTGTTGGATCGCCGTCCCGGTCTCCCCCGCTTACCGACCCATCCATATTCCTCGGCGTAGGGGGTGCACTCCGAGACCTGGACACCTTCGATCCGAGGCCCTTCAGAGTAAGAGCATTCAGGCCGCGCAACGGTAATGCAGGCATCGCAACCGGTTTCACGATCTGCACCGGCGCTTGTCCTTTGATATGTAAAGACCCAGGCGAACTTGTATTGCTACTTACAGCAACACTAGGGGGAGAAGGTGGAACGGAAGCCGAGGTAGGCTTTCTAACTATCGACGATGGTGCGAGCTGAGGGGCGGAGCGTCGACGCCGGATAGGCGCGAACCCGGCCAACTTCAGTTTAGGCTTGGAATCCGACACAGCGTACGACAGATCGGGGTGTCCCTGTGGGTCAAACTCATCATAGATTTCTTCGCCAATAAGCTCTAGACACAACGTAACAAGATCAGGTCACAGATGATACGAGTGGACCGCAAACGTGCGCACCTTCCAGTACGTCTTCAAGGGTGATGATACCAAGCGGCATTATCGACGGATCCACGCTTTGCAACAACTGACACAATTATTAGTCGTCCACAAAGCATCCACTTCTGCGCGAGAGACTCACCTCCTCTACACCTTCAGTAGACAGGACCGCATCGGCAGGGACATCCTGTTCACGCCCCCAGAAGCCCATACGAGGAAGAGCTAAATTCGGCAATATACTCTTGGCTCCCTCGACCTCTTCCTTGGCTTTATCCTGAACGAGACCCATTTCCAAGTCGACGTCCTTGGCTTGTGAATTCTTGTCCTTACGTCTTACACGCGAGGTGAATGGCCGGCGACGCTTCTTTGTCCCACTTCCACTTGGAAGCGTGTTGCCATCATCGCTTCCGTCAGCAGGACTCGACTCACGGAGGGTCCCCTCATTCTCGCTGCTTTCATCATCGCGATCACTACACTTTCGTTTTAGATGGTCTTTCCATTTCTTCGGGTGAGAGCTGCTACCCTCAGCTTCGTCACTGCTAGTGTCCGTGTCGCTATCGCTGTCCATCATTGCCTCCCGAAGTCTTTGAGTCAAGCCACGCTTCACGATCTGCTTGACGCTTGCGGCACGATCGACACTGAAACGGGACACAATTGCCATGTGTGATCGCCCTTCTTGGAACTTGTCGAGGATGCCAAGTAAAGACTCGTTAAATGGTACAAGAGGCACCTTGTTCAGCGGAATCTTGCGGATCGGTGTTGCGTCTACAATCATCCATCAGATTCTTCCCTAGAAACACGACGACGAAGTCGTACCTTTCGGATCAAGAAGCACGCACTACAGGAATAATGTAAGATACTTCAAGCCATGGCATATGAAGGACACCCACCTGCTTAACAAGTAAGATACCAACAATCTTCTTTGCCTTGATTATCTGAGAGGAAGTAGCGTTCGAACCCGAACCGGTCCCGTTCGCGGATGTTCCAGGAGTATCCTGGATTACGTTTAGACCGCTAGACCCGCTTGCATAACTATAGGCGCCCACCTTGCCTGCAAGCGTCCCGGTTACTAATCGTGGGGCAGGAATCTCTACTTCCTCATATACCGGGATACGTGAATGACCAGTGAGACATATTTGGCGGAGCGTCTCGTAATCAAGGCGCGCGTCGATGCTGAGCATGAACACGTTCTCGATCGACGTCATCGCTTGCCTAACCTCCTGCAAAATAGCCGAATATGAGCGACTGAGGGGATAGCAACTTAAACAACGCACCTTCTCCTGCAAATCAAGGGCGCCCCCGATAATCGTCACGGTGTCTGTCTTCAGGTCACCGCCGAGCTCACCCATGGTGGAATGCATCGCAATAAGTTCTTTAAGCTCCGCGCGCCGATAAATGATACCATGATGAGGGCCCAACACGAACTCCAGTAATTTCGCTACAGGATATGCGACAATGCCCTATAGGTCAAAAATCGCGCATACTTATCAGATAAACCTAATCTACGAGATGCACGGAGAAACTTACAAGAGTCCAAATTAGCACGCGTACACAGCCGGCCATTTTGGCACCAAAATAGAGGCCGTAACGCGTGCAGAGCGATTGTGGAATGATCTCTGAGAAACTGCAAATCAAACTCAATCAGCCATTTTGTAAAGGCAATCGGAGGCAAAAAATGCTCGATAGACGGCATGCTGGACTATCCACGTTAGAACGCGCACATACTGATCCGCCTGTTTTCTCGAACATCGGACGGAAATAAACTACATTGCCAGTCTTACTCGCTGGTTGCATATTCGGCCGGACTCGCAGAACACACTCTTCCCGCTCTTTTATTGACATCGCTCGACAGGCTCGCAGCAGACATATCTCACAAGCTCTCGCCATGAGATGACTAGTCTAAACTGCGAGACACGTGGCACGTGTAAACACGGGTCTCATGATGCGTACTAGCGCTCCAAGGTGTAGAAAGTGTGGCGACACGTCGTCACCGGACTCATCACAGTGGGAAATAGCACTCAGGCGGAGAAAAGCACATACATGACGATAAGGACTGTGCTGACGATGACACTCTGTACGCCACCACCCAGAATTGGATCTGCAATGACCGGAAGGGACTCGTTGACAATCATGTTTGCGAGGAGAAGCGTGACGAGCAACAAGTGCCCATCCTTACGGATGGGCTTGATCTTGTTCGCGTACACTTTCTGCATCCTATGCGTGGAAGAGGTCAGCGGCTATCTACAAGGAAAGAGCAAAAGCTTACGGCGTGCCACTGATACTCAGGACGTTGAGCTGTGTCTCGTCTAGGGACATGTATCCCAGCGTGAGACCAGCGAATAAGCCAGATAAAATGACGAGGACGGGAATGAGACAGGCAAAGACTATGAATTCGGTATGACCCAATTCTCGCTTTGCGTACGTATGCGTTTGCGGGACATCGCGATGCAGGAAGGGCACATGGTTGAGTACAGTGGATGCGAAAGTGAGGAAAAGTTTAGAGGAGTGAGACCCAAAGCGATTGAGGATGAGTGGCATTCGATGGAGTGCGGTTGAAGGAGTGAGAGTGGCTGAGGCGCGCGACCCCGCAATAAGTATCGACTAAAAGCTTATCTGCACCAGCAACGTAATGGTCCCACGGGCTGCGCCGAGATGAAACTCCTGGCCTCAGCGGGATCATTTCAGCTCTTCACCTTATATACTCGTACTAGGGTGTCGCGGAGACCTATGTTGTATGAAAGGGTATCCATTGAGAAGTGCTATACAAGTGGCATTATTAACGAGTCATCGGCCTCCGCGTAGTCGAGACCCCGTTCGAAACGCTATTTAGTTTATCAGTTTATCAGATAAGCCTCGGCAGCAGGCTGATAACATGCCGACATCGCCAAGGAGCGGACGTCGCTGTATCCCAGGGTGCGGTTAGTGGTAAGCTATGTCGCCTCCTCAGACATGCCTTTGCTTTGCGACCAGCTCCTGGCCACGGCTCTCAAGCTGATTCATGGACGGGCTTAACTGAATTACTCGCTTGTTCAAGGAGGCAAAGCTGTGGAGTTGAAGAAGAACGTGTGGCGGCTTTTGAATAGACTGGCGCGGGTGACTCTTCTCTAGGCGTCATCTCGACTTCATCTCGAAGAGTCACCGGTGACCGCAGGGCGTTCTTTTCGCGTGCTAGGACCCGCCTGGGAAAGTCTAGGGTGCGGCTCAATGCTGGCTTACTGAGCCGGAGCCACCAAAGGACCTGGATTTCGGCTTTCATTGGCGACTAAACTGCTGCATTTGATCAAGTTTCATTCGACTCTCCCATCTCAATATTCAGGATGACTCCATAGTTGTGTGTTAACGTTCAACATTCCCGTTTTATATTTTTGGGATACGCACTCAGGGCGTTTTACTGCGGTCGCGCCGAAGCCGCGAGGCTTTTTCCGAGTCGATGCCACTCAGAGATCTCCTGTGAGCAGAATAGATACTAGTACTTCCTTCAATGTTCACCCCCCGCCCTTGCAGGCTTTGGACATCCACATCTGACGATGCTGCCGTCTGGACTCTGCGCCAGTACTTGTACTTGTCTGTCATCTATATCCTTGATACATCTGAGGGTGAGACCACTGTCATTTTGGAGTCGCCTAGAGCCCTTAGTGCATCCGAGGAACTTCAAGTTGTTCCCCGTTGCTCCGCCTCGCGGGAAAGATTCACCGCCGAAACGTGGGTAAGTGTGCTCGCAGCGCATTTATGACTCAGCGCCGCTGCCAATTGTCTGCGGTAGAAATTGCGGAGACGTGATGCACCAGGAGAAGTCGAGACTCGAGGCACGGGCATGTCTAGAGGTGTGATGCCATGTGTCCATCATTACTTGTTCTGCGAGCGCACTCATTCCGAAAAATGCATCTGAACAGCCCGTCAAGATGTCGGATGGCCGGCATCCCTGAGACGTCTTTCTTGGCCCTTTTCGTGGTATAAAGTGCAGGTTGTGCCCTCCGAGCGTTTCGTCCGAGCACGAACTGCCCCAGACCTCTAAAGCGACCCTTTCTTGCACGTAGACTTCAAGATCACCATGCTGTCCATCCTATATGCACTTGGTGCCCTAGTCGAAGCCCTCGCTCTGCCTACTGGCCAGATCATAGCGCGAGAGGTCACTCCTTGGTGTGCCGGCCTTGGCCCTGGCGCGTTCGACATCGCACACAACTTTACGCTCGCAGCGCTGAATACCACCCTCCCGAACGCGAATGCCACAGGAGCACCTCTTGTCCTCGGTCAAGCTGGTGCTACTGACGGCGAGTCGTTCGAGGTGTTCTCGGTTAGTCCTGTTCCTCACTCTTCACACTCTTGCACACTCAGTGTACCACTCTATGCAGACATATGCGAGCTACCCATACAACGACTGGCCGAACCTCTCGCTGCTCCAGGGCGGTCTCGTCGCAAATTCCATATACAACTTCACATCCCCCGCAGGGAACGTCACGTCCGGCAACGAGCTCTCCTTCGTCACTACGACATACAACGCCCCTCCACCCGCGCAGATCTATTGTGCGGTCGCCGACATCGATCCTACGGAAGGCTCGCCATACCCGCTGCTTGCGGTGAACGGGGACACGAGCGGCTTCGCGCTGTGTGTTCAATGCGATTGCAATTACGCGCAGACGAATCTCGTGTGGCAGCCTAGTCCGGAAAATGCCGACGGATACCTGTACGACACTTGCTACAATGTGACGGTGCAGCTGCTGGGTCTGAATTGATGGACTTGGGGTATGGTCGCTATATGCCTCTGAACGTGGACATCATGAAGGTATCGCGGACGCTCGTGCAAAATTGCTGCAGTACAGCATCGATGGGCATGAGCGTACTCTCTAGAGTCTAGATTGCTCGCATAAGGCGTCCACAAATGGCATTCGGGACATTTATGATATTGTTATGTATTCCTTGGATTTTTTAGGGATGTCACGACCCACTGTGCACATCTACTTGGAAGCGAATAGAACCAACCAAACAACCGCCTGACACAGCTTCTATGAATTGGGAACAAGTTGGAGTATTCGTCCTGTGATTGGAGAGAAACTTAGTTTGGCAGAAGACATGTTCCATAATCTCAGTATTCAGTACATGTCCTAACCAACTATACCGGTTCTACAGTCCCTGGCATTACACACAGATTCTACGATTCCAATACACCAGTTACGGCCCACAATCGCTATGATTCAGACGCGTTTGTACGGCGTGATCAGGAGGGGCATCTGGTTCCCCTTCTCCATCTCGCTTCGTACGAAGGGCCGCTGCACAACCGCCGATCGCTTGGTCATGTCCGCCGCGGGCACGGCCAACTTGAACTCAAAAGCACGCACCAGGGTGAACAGGAGCGCTTTCATCCTTCAATTCCACATTCATTCAGCACGTAAACTCAGCGAGAGGAGGGTGAGGATCCACGTACTCGACGATGGAGAACCGATAGCCAATGCATGAGCGTGGCCCGCCCAGGAAACTCAGCATGTTCGCCCATACTCCTGGAATGCTTTGCGCTGTCTCTGGAATGCGCTCCCATCTCTCTGGCCTGTCATATGGTGGTAAGGACGAAGAGATTTTAGAGGAGGCAGACATCCTACTTGAACTCAAAGGAATCGTCTCCCCAAAGTGCCTTTGACCTGTTCACAGCCAAAATTGGAATGAAGATCGGATCCCCTTTCCTGACCCTGTGGCGTATCATGAACCCTGCATCGTGCTGACTACGCGACATCCCATCCATACCTAATCTCGTGGTGCGTCTGCCCCTTCCTGTCGATATACGGAGTGTTCAGCGGGATCGCGTCGTCCTTTGTAGCAACTCGGATCGATGACGGCACTGGCGCGTGTACGCGCATAGTCTCGCGTATTACGGCATCCAAGTACGGCAACGCATTCAGCTCGTCCATAGTGGGGTTCTCAGTCGGTACGCTCAACAGCTCCTCACGCAGCTTCTGTTGCACCTCTGGCGCTTGAGTGAGGGCATACAGGCACCATGCAGTGGCATTGCTCGTCGTTTCGTGTCCTGCGATCAGGAAACTGTTAGGGGGTTACCATCATTAGTCCTGACCACCAAGTACTGCGATGTGCATACGTTGGAACCTCTAAAATGAACATCAATATCTGAATGTTCCGAGCAACGCCAGAAGTTGCAAAATACGTACGTGCTAAAACGTCCTGATCAGATAGTTGCTGACTTTCTGGCAGGTCCGTGGCCATGTTCGCTTTTATAAGTAGCGTAAGCAAGTCGCGATCGTGCATGCCGTCTTCACTCTTCTCGCCAGACTTGGTACTCCTCAGTACTTCCGCCTTCTTCTCTGCGATCAACTGCATACCAATCCGCTTCATCACATTCTGGGCGGCGGCTATCTGGCGCTCTCGATTGTCAGGCTTGTGAAAGAGACATTAGAACGCACACAGGAGTGGAAGTTGACGGAAAACCGTACAATCACACGGAGCGGTGGAAAGAACGCTTTCAGCATGGGTATCAAAGAGAAGCCTTCCAAAGATCGAAACATTGTGTCAAACGCGGAATTCAACTCGTTGGGCTTTCCTTCGGTGTTCAGCGAGTCAAAATGGTAATTGAAACCTACAGGGCCGAGCTTTAATAATGCGGCTTATATTGGTAGGAATTTTGTCATACCGGCTAGACCAATCACATCCAAAGTCATTTTGCTCAATCCCTTGAGTACATCGATTCGGTAAGGCAAGTCATGTTTTCCGAGCTCAGCACTCCAATAGTCACGAAGCTACAATCTGGGTTCAATACTATATCTGCTACACAGCACCAGTAGTGACGCACCAGGATAGCTTTGTCTACAAATATCTCAGTTAGTTCCCTAATCTGAGCAGGTCCAAAAGCGGGATTCTGTGCGCGTGAGCGTCATTGGCCAGTCTTCACTATTAAATGATTTAATGACTCACCATGATTCTCCTCTGATAAAAAGTATAAGGGCGTTAAGATAAACATAATGCGTTTGTAATATGCCTTACCTGCTGACGATGCTGTTCGCCTGTCACAGATCGATGCCGTTCCCGTGAATACGTAGATATAATCGTGCAAGAGCAGGACTGACCTTCAACGACTAAAATACCCTCGCCCAAAATCATGCCCAAGCTAATTCGGGCCAAATCCGGCTTGTGATATTCATTCGAGTGGCTTAGAACATAATTCAAAGCCCTCGTATCCATGGTAAACAGCCTGTCCCTCTAAGTGCGTATTAGCATGTGGATATCAAAAAACGCGAGAAATGCCACTTACGTTCAGCCATCCCTTGTACTTGATCGTATTTCCGTACTTCTCCACCCACGCCTCATGCAAGACCGAATTGTCGGCATTGAAAATCTCCTTCAGGTTCCCGTACAACCAGCTTGAGCCCTGGGGGCCCGGCAGGTCGCGCAGAGTAGACACAAATGGGTCTATCAGAATCCAAAAGAGCTTCCACAGTGCGAACCCCAGCAACACTAAGCCTAGAGCAAGATATACAATGGCCATTGCCCCAGTTCGAAGGGCTGTAAATTGGCAAGTGGACGGGTTTCGGCGACTCCTGAGTACCGAGGCCAGACTGTACTTATACTAGAGTTGTCACAGCATCCACCCCGCAGCTTAGCTGCTAAACGTTGACAGGTTTTCGCAGGCGTCTGGTATAGACAAGCCGAAAGCGAATATGCCGAGGTCGAACGCAGTACTGAGTACGTATGTGGGCGACGGTCTGATACATTGCCATGCTGCTGGCAGATGGATTACCCTCGACATGCGCCTCATGTGCCGAGCTGGAGAGTGGGAAGATAGAGTGGATGCCGTTCCGCAGACGTTTACAGCTCGTTGATACAGTAAGTACGGCAGGGTATCTGCTGATAACAGTACCATTTTGTCGAATTCGATCTCCGCATCAGAATTTAGAAAGACTGATAATCCTAAGATAAACCTCATTCACACTGTGGTCCATCACGTGGTCTTCTACTGTCACACTTACACTCTTTTTGGCGGACGAAAGCACTGAAATCCTCTTCTCCTCCGTCGTCAGAGCAGATATCAAAAATCTGTCTCGAACACCTTTTTCTTTGCCATTATACACACAAACTTTTTGAGCTAGATTTTTTATTTTCGAAGTCTGCGAGGAGAAGAAGAAACAAAACTGCATGAAGTGTGCTGATGTGATGACTAAGCAAGCAGTCAACACCACGCGCTGTTCTCTGCGGAGAGAAGACAATTTTTTTTAAATGTCCCATAAAAGGTGTAAAATATGCCGATCTCTGCTAAACGTGGGCGATTTATTTCGAAAGAAGGCTCCTAAAAATGTAGGAGCAGAAGAGAGGTTATATGTACCCTTCGCGGCATATTTTATATGCTCGCAGTGGTAACAGGCTAACAGCACATGACAATGATAGACACCACCCTCAGTGTTACCTCACGTGCCTGTCACGGATCGTCACAAGGACCACGGTATGAATGAGGCCTATCTTACTATCATTGCACCAGTTATACAATCGCAACAGTAATGCAATTACTGAACTTACAGCTGCCCCTCTCCCTCTAAATAAATCACATATGATACAAGATACGAGTGTTATCACTATCATGTGGTTTTCTAACGAATGAAAATGAGAGAGTGATTCGAATGCCTCCCAATAGTGTTTTGAGGACTACCAAGAGTGGGGGCCTCAGGTGGGTGATCGCCATGTCCGACTCTTGACATAACAACTCACCATGGTTATGTGAAGAACATATGCATTCTTAATCTAATTTCTCTGGGAACAATCTGCATAGTGAAAGCCTCTTGAATCCCATGTCGAACGGTGGCAACACAAATCCGCGACATTCAGCCACAATCGGCATCGCGAATTTTGACTCAGCTGATGGTACTATGAGTTGCACGCGCTTTATCACGGTTTTCGGTATTTGGCCTGTTTTTAAATCAGTACTCCATAAGAGCACATACTAATTACATGGGAAGGTGCATCTTTATCTCCTCTATCTTTCCAGCTACTCAGCAAAACATTACATGTCTTACATCCTGCGGATGTCTTCCGGTGAGACGAGTACGAAAAGTTCAAGTGTTTATATCTCGGGTCATAATATGTCACATCGGCGTCATTCGGCAGCCCTGCAAGCCAAACACGCACAAAGGCTGAGAAGTGACTCGATTAAGGCAGCGCCACCGCTGAACTACGTAGCCACCATGTGCCGAGAGATGCCGCGCGCGGCGTCCGAATTTTGTCACCATCCATCCTGACTATGTAACGCCAAATATTGTAGACAGCATAGATGATGTTTTTTCTCACAAATCTCTCTCGGAGAATATGGAGGAATACTTGATACAGCTTCAATAAAGTGCTGAGGACAGTATGCAATCAATTATTGGCTAGTTCTTGTGCGATGTGCCGATCGTGACTTAGAATTGGCTGAATGAGGTGCAACCGGCCGTTGTGCAAGAGTTCTCTCTGTCTCCATTGCGAATTTCACGATTCTGAATAGACAGACCTTTTCCAATGTTCCATACGGAAGTTTTGTGATTTATTGAGATTTTATGAGCGAAGGAGCAGGAGCCCAGACGGAATTTATCAACACTGGGTCGAATATACAGCGCGTGCAACTCATAGTAGTGGTGGCGTACTTCGACAAAGAAAACGGCATGCGCGGCATCGTGACGGTTGACGTGACACGCTTTAGAGAAAAGTTGCACAATTGTTGCGATTTTATTTTGCTCTCGGTATTGCTTAATTCTTGACATACCGAGTCTACAAAATTCAACTATATACTTTCAAACATTGTGCATCGACTGGTGAAAGCCCCGTGGCATTCCGCTAAGATTTGCGCCATAAAGAGCCCATATACTGAAAAAAGTTGCAGTGTATGTACACAGCATGCGCAAATGAATGGTAGCGCCAGTCACTCTACCGGGTAACCATTTACGTTGAAACACACTGTTCTTCAAGTAACTTACATACATAGCAGCTATCTTACATCGAAACTAGCATTCTAGTGAAAGCTACTACATCATTCTCACCTCATCTACACGACCTTCGAATTTTCAGGCTACTGGATGCCAATCCATACGATCGTTGCACCAGTTCTGCGTTACAGCAATCGTACTGCTCCTAGAAAAAACAATAGAGCATGGTGGCCCCTCAGCTGATGGTGGCTTGATGCTGTAGGTGGTGGGTCGCTCAGCCTTATCGGGTCGCGCTCATCGAGGCCCATAGCAGCGGCGAAAATAATGACGAAATTCTGTACAGTTCATTTCTGCTCATTGATACCAGTAGCACGGGCAATTTCATTGTTTGGCATATGACTTAACAGTGTTCAAATAATCAGCTCCTTCTGAGAGGGATGAATATACCGTCTGAGTCCAGTCATATCGCCAAGAACGCAGCCGTCGACTCGAGGAGGAAGACAACAGGGCAACACCCAGGCCGCAGGCGGCACTAGAACCGTCGTGGTGCTAGCGCCAGCTGGTGCCACCAAATTACTGAAGTTCGAAACGCTTCATTCATGTTCATATAAAACACGTATTCGGAGCTTGTCCAACGTTTTCAGTTTTAGACATAGAGAAGAACGCTACAGAACATTCTGGATACATCTGGGTACCGCGCCAAAGCATGGACTCAACTCAAGCGCATCTTCACAAGCGGTATTTGAATTCAGGCTCTTCCTCTTCCCTTTGCTTTCGATTTGGCTCGCATCGTGGGCTTCTCATTCATTTCTTCAGCTGTCGTTGCTTTGTGTAGTGCACTGTCCAGGAGACCTTCATTATGCAAGCATGTGATAAATTGCACAATGAAAGGCTCATAATCGAATGTGCGTTTGATTTCTTCCGTCTACAGAGTGCCTGTCAGCGAAGGCTCCACGAGATCGAGGTGAGATTGCGAGGTGAAATGGCGAGAGGGAAAGTGTTACATCTTATCCCACACAGGAGACGATTCAAACTTGAGCTCACATGTGCGTTCGCCGACTTCGCGATCTCCTCCTCAACAGCAAGTTTAGCGGAAAGCGCCGCACGAATACAAGCCTCCCATGCTTCTGGCAGCTTGCGAGCTGGCATGTCCAGTATGGATATTTCTTTTTCCATCTTTCTGGACCCAAAGTCCTGGCCGAAGATTTTACCCTCTGGCGACGGTCGAACGGAAGTCACAAAGGTCTCAGAAGCGCTGGCGAGTAGCGTCTGGTCTACCTACACTGTTTGTTCGGTACATCGCGATGAGGGAACGGGTCTCCGCATGGCGTACCTTCTCCGTCCAACCTTCTTCGTAGACTTCTGCAAGTCGTCTCTCAAGCGCATTGCGTTCTCGCTTCAGCATCTCCAATTCATCGCTGACTACCTGATAGCGATCGTTCACAATGGCCAGCAAATTGAATTGGATGTGGCCGGCGCTATTACCATCCTCTTCGAGTGATCTCTGCATCCGCATTCGTAGAGCTGGACGCACAACGTCTATCCAACCCGCTCTGCCATCAGAGGCATCATCGGGAGGGGCGAGTTCGCCCACTTCGAGAGCAGATCGGCGCAACCCGTCCAGCTCCCAGACCTTATTGTGTGCTGGCACATACCCAATAAAGTGGTACATATCCTGCTGATTCTCGGTGCTCTCTGCTGCCTTTTTTTTGTGCGTCGCAGAAGAGGTAGCTGTTCGTTGCTTCTTTGCCGGTGGAGCATTTTTCGTTTTGTTGGATTCTAACGTTGCTGCAGCGATAGATTGAATAGAGCCTCGTATGTCAGCGGGTCTCCGTAGACCAGCTGGTTAGCATTTCCCTGATACTGCGTCGCGATAACATACCGTGCTAAAGAGTTGTGTGCTTTTCGTATAAAATGGGATCCAGATATGGCTAGGCCCTTCATCTGCGCAAAGTGTTACTTAAGATGCTCATTTCGCAACCTAGGCCATCGAGTTGCCATCGAGGACCAGAGATTCCACAAAGGGACGTACCACGGATGACATGTGTTCTGTTTCAACACGAAAGTCCTGCAGCTCATCACCTAGCTCTATGCCCGGACAATTCAAAAGGACATTAAGGATGGCTTGCGTTGCACACGCATCATTACTGAGCTGGTTCGCGAACCACACACGCTCCGCATCAGGGTCGTCAATGTTGTCGTAGCGTTTCGTGCCGTTCTTTTCGTCCGTGCATAAGTAGCAAAAGATCAGACCATGAGGGCTCAGATGGTCTACAGCCCAAGGCTCGATGTCGTATATTTCTGTTACTTCAAGACCACGAATACCAAGTTTGCGAATTAGAGTCGTGAAGACGCCTATTCAAGTTGGCGATCGCGAGTTTAAGAGTAACCTATGAATTGATTCAGCACTAACCTGGATCAGATTCAAGGACCGTAAAGGGGCCGCCAACAAGGTGGTGAAATTCTTTTTCGTCTAACATTGATGGCACGTCCAAAAAATAGGTCGAAGCTTCGGCTGCCTCGCGAGCATGTAGTAGAAACCAGCCACTGCATTGGCGCTTGTTCTCAGACTGGTGCCACTGGCATGGCATATTAGTTACCAACGAAAAAAACCTGAGCTCAATTTGAACTATCACGACAAACTTGCTGCAAACTTACAGGGCCGGGTTTGTCTTCTTGAATCAACTAAATGGGAAACATCCACAATATTGAGCCCCTGTTGGTCGTCGTTGGCGCATCGTGCTTGAGCGATGCGTACCCAAATTTATCTTACCTAGTTTGTGCACACACTCTACTATGTAGACCCGTTGGCTTCAACTTAGATGATAATGCTACATTACGGAAACCTTCTACTGCGACAAAAATGCCCCCACTATTTCCATGCACTTCTCTCTTTCCTCCCATTGTGCCACATGTGCGCTCTTCGCGAACGTGAACCACTTCACCTTTGGTATCTCCCTGAACGCAGGTTCCAACACCATGTCCTGTGCCTCATCGTAAGCACCGTTTAAGAGTAGAGTTGGTATCTTGATCTTGTGCAGCTCTGAGACGAGTTCGAAGGTCTTGAAATTCCCGGTGAGGGTGAACTCCGAGGGACCTTGCCTATTCAGAGGTGCATTTCAGCGCGCATTTTGTATATCAAGGGAAACACGCACATGGTGAAGTATGCCGCAGGCTCCTCCTCAAGTAGTTTAAATGCTAGTACAAGCTCTTCCGGCCACGTTTCCATCCTGCATACGAACCTCTGCATGAACTCTCCAGTGGCCTTCTTATATTCCGGTGTGTCGTAGGTCCCGTTTTCTTCATTTATCGTGAGGGCGTCCTGAGAATTCAATCGTGAGTGTCGGCCCTAATATATTCATATTAGACTGACTTGAGCTTCTTGCGGCAATGTCTTCACCAGCATCCTGGTCGCTTTATCCCAAAGACTCATCGACGCGGCACCAGACATCAGAACCATGCGTCTGAGCCCCTTAATCTGCTTGATTGCCATCGCCATAGCCAGCATCGCACCCCATGAATGCCCCAAAATGTCGTACTCCTCTATACCCAAATGGCTGATCAAGTTGCGAAACTCGTCCTCAAATAGACCGACGGTCCAGAACTCGGTAGCACCCATCTTCTCCGGAAGTCGTGTTGACCCACCGCAACCGATCTGATCGTAGAAAACGACAGGGATACCATATCCTGATACGAGGTCGACGAAGGGCGTCATATAGTGGTGGGGTGCCCCCGGCCCGCCATGTAGAGTGATTACGGGAGTGACACCAGATTTAAGGTCGCCATAAATCTTGTAATATGTCTGGCAGGGTTTTCCTGCGGCAGGAACGGAGAATGGGATGTAGCCTTCGCTCGTAGGGGCAGACATGGCTGATATGGTGTACAAGCAGCAGCCATGTGGAAGTATTTATACCATGGCGTTCCTAGCCGCAGTGCATTCTCTCCGAGCTCGCGTCCCATATGAGGGGAGCGGGACGCTGAGAAGTATCACTGTCAGGAACTCCAACTGTTGCACTGTTAGAGGCACTAAAATGGCCATGAAACTGATAGCGGAAGATTTAAGGCCGCGACGATAGCCTTCGGGGCCAGAGGCTCAGACATCGATGTCTGGATCTGCACCAACTTGTTGAGTCAGGCTTGAGACTATATTGTCATTGCTATGCACTGATTAGATTAACATGATCGATAGAATTTTGGGTTTCCTATTGATATGATATTGTCTGTGTAGCTATATCATGTAGCACAATTTCAGACATAGATGAAAGAACAAAAACTTCTAAGTAAGACACTCACTGAGAAACAGGCCGAGAGATAGGCCTCGCCGTTGAATGTATGACTTTCTCGCGCAATTTCGCCGCTATTCTACTATTGTCTCCTGTAGAAAGAGGTTGCCATACCCGCTATTCATACTACCACTCGACAGAGAATCAAGCGTGTCAATTAGCCTCCAGTACAACTTGATGATATACCTGTTTCGGTCATCCACCACGAAAGAAAAAGATAGATCATATGGCGACAGTCATCCATATGATTAACAACGCGTGCACTAAAATTTGCCCATCTAAACATACACTGGCATCAGTAAATAACCGACACAGCGGCTAGTATATATCTACTCAGTAGAGGTATGATGTTAAAAAGCCTCCAAAAAGCGGTCCAAAAACACGACAGTGAAGGTATACTGCAACGTAATACCAAAAGCCCAACGATACATCAAGACAAGGATGGCTCAAGAAACGCGGTAGGCGAAAAGGAGCGACAACGATATAAACAATATAGGCAACTTTACCTGCGCAGCCGCAAGGGAACAGGGCAGGGACCGGCCTGTCCAGGCTGTCCATCGGAAGACCCCAAAAATAGAGAACATAGCTCAGCCAGAAAGATTCTTTGGCGACTTTGCGACTTGGAGGGGAGGCACAGGCGGGATCTTGTATTCCCCATATACTGCTTCCACTTGGCGGACAAAACGTGCGCGCGCATTCGCACTCTTATCCTCGTCGAAGAAGCTCCTGCGCGAATCCGGATGGCTCCACACGCTCGATGCATCACCGCCATCACAGCTGTACATGGTCGGCGGTCGCGAATCCTCATAGTGCGACCTATCATCGTCCTCTAGGTCCGCGTCTGCGCTCTGATACTCCATTCGACTACAATCAGCACCCTCGCCGTATTGAAATGACGCGTCCTCCAAACTCGGTTGTGTCGACTGGTCAACGTCATCGTCATCGTCATCCCCCATATCTAATACGGACCTCTCTTCACCTGGCAATTCGTCCTCAAACGAGACTTTTCGTCGCACCGACAAGCTACTGACCATGTCATAATGAGGGCGGTCTAGTGCAGAGGCAGAACGCGGCTGCCACTGTGAGTCGAGTCGATCGGGGTCATACCAACCGCTGCGAGAACCGTACCCATCGCTAGATGAGGGCTTGGAAGCAGGATAATTTCCTGTTCTGTTCAATTTCGGGCTGGTGGTAGTATTCGGGCTGGATATGACTAGATTTGAAAGTTTGCGAATGAGACCAGGAGATTGTTCTTTGGGGACGACGGGCGATATGGGAAAGGGCGACACTCGATCTCGTTGTAACTTCGCAGTCGATTCAGCTGCCGTGGGCATAGTAGACTCACTAGCGCTGACAGTGGGAGCATTTGCTGTGAGGTCCGACTCTGACGAAGATCGTGCAGGGCGTGTCGCGGCAAGAATAGGCGGAGGTGGAGGGAGTCCGCGTGTGGGCGGAGGACCTGCAGGGGAGGCGGGTATCCGAGAGATGAAAGGCACAGGACGTATATTCACACCATCAGCAGAATCTGGACGCAAGGACCTTGGAGAGATGTTCACAGACAGGCTAGGACGAGAGCTACTTGCAGATACGGGGACCTCAGGCAAAGGACCTTGAGGAGGAGGCGTGGGAGGAGGGATGCTATAGTATGCTAGGACATGGGGACGAAGAGTAGTCGGACTAGGTGGTGCCGATGATGATGGTCTCGATATTCCCTGCGGGAGTCCAAGAAGGTCTGACTCAGGTCGCGCAGGACTTCGAGGCGGAACAGAGAGAGTAGCAGAGCCGAAACCTTGCTCGGACCCGGGCTGCGGGGTCACCAGAACATAGCCGCTGTCTGGTGTGTGCGGGTATTGTTGAGCGACGTACGAGCGAATAGACGATGACGAGTTCAGGACAAGCGGCGCAGGAACGTGCTTTGGTGCGAGCATTGTCGTGTTCGGCGAGGAAATATTTGGACGCGCATCTCTGGACTTCGTAAGCGACCTTTTCGGCGCTTCTGACGCCTGTGTAGAAGACGATGGGACGTCGTTCGATGACTGTGCGTAAGGATGTATCGCTGTATTTGTCGAGCTTTCCTTGAGTGGACTAGGCGAATTGGGAGCAGGCGCCAGGTTGCGAAAGGTAGCCAAAGCGTCGATGCTCGGGCGGTGAACAGAGTGTACATCGCGGAACGCTTTCGTGAGCCCCTCGCGTGAGACAATTGAGCCCGCACGCTCGTCTCGCTCAGTAGAGGTCATTGAAATCATGCTCTCCCGTTCAATGTTAGAAGGATGAATGGAAAGAGGCGTCTCAGAACGTATGGAGGAGCTGATAGTGGTCGGTGTGGAGCTCCGCAGGAATTTCTCTGCGATGGGGAGTGTCAACGGAAGGGCAGGCATGGGTGGAATAGGCGAGCCCTGTGAGTCTTCCCCATCTCGTTTCTTCCTACCCCGAGCGTTCAGCCGGAAAAATCCTTTCTTCTTAGTCGAAGACTCCGACAAGTACCCACCGTCAGAGTCATCCGCCATCGAAGACATAACCGAGCCTTTGCGCGACCGCTGTTGCTTTGATCGTCCACCGCCATCCGTTTCGTAGTCCGTTGTCGGGGACTCGGCATCTTTATCTCTTGCCTTCTTTTCCTGTCTGCTCTTCTTCCGCGCCTTTCGCGCCGACTCAGAAAAATAGCCCCCGTCACTCTCGTACTCGGTCATATTTCCGTCGCCCTTCTCTTTCTTGGCCCTTTTTTTCTTCTCCTTCTCCTTTTCTCCCTTGGCTCTACCTCCATCGCTGAGATACCCACCATCACTCTCGTTTCCATTTCCTGGTAGGCGCAGCTTACGTAGTTTGTTGGCCTTGGGAGGACTCGGAGGAATCGGCGTCACGGTACGGGGTTCGGGGGATCTACTAAGGTCAAACATGATCCGTTGCTGTACCTCCGTCGAGGTTGTGGGGAACGGTCCCGTTGTGTTTACATGCTGAGCCGACGAACCAGGGACTATCAGTATCCCAGCACCAGGCGAGGGTCGCCCTGCGGGCGCGCTAAATTGAAAAGAGTCATCAGACGTCGCTGTTGAGGCGTACGTCAAACTCGGAGATACAGCGCTCTTCATGGTGTTCAGCAAAAACGTCTAAGGCAAGGTGGAGCACGACACTCACCTCTCCTTCCTCGTCGGCTTCTTCTACAGGGCTGAACATCCATTTTGTGACCGTACAATTGCTGCCTACACCAAGCTGCAGCGCACTCTCCAAGATAGAGGCTCGTAAGAGCGAATCGCGACTCTCTGCGGGGCGCTCCCGCGCAGGGCGGGGAATGGGTCCAGTGAAAGACATGTTTTCCTGCCAGAACAGTCAAAAAGGCTGTCGAGATTCAGTAGTGAGACTTCAAGCTTCAAGAGCCAGGTTCTCGAGTGGAGCTTTGGAATAGGCAACGTGATGCATCCAGTGCCAGTGGGGGAGTCTAGCAGTAGCGAAGGCACCAGCTCGGCTGCTTTTAGTCCTCAGAAACGAAGGAACGTGTGCATTTGAAAGATGGAATAAAAGTGCGAATAGAGAGGTCGCGAGGATGACTAGTTACTAGAGAAGCGACTGCAACTGGGTCGCGACCCTGCGGCACTCTGGCTATGCTAATTAGTTGAAATTCGAATGAACAGCGTTGAAGCAACACAGAACAGTACTGGCCCGTTTGAGAAAATACTAAGGTGTCGTCCCAATTTAAATAATATAGCTAGCCGTTATCTTTCAATATTAGTTTGTCAATGTAAGCAGTTTAGCACTGTGAGCTGAACGAGATTGCCGCTCGTTCAATCCAAGGCTGCAAGTTCATCCAATACAAGACTCACGGTCATCCAACAGCTGCCCTCACGTCTACGACAATAGAGCCACTCCATTCCTGAGAGTTATTGCATAACAGAGCCCATGAACCTGTCGCTATACACCATTACCGGCTTTCTAATCATGGACACGGATGGCCACCGGGTCCTCGCCAAGTACTACCACCCCAAGAGCCATCCTCAGGCCGAGTCCCCGAAGCTACGCTACGTGAAGGAGCAGCGGGCATTTGAGAAGGGGCTTTACCACAAGACGAAGAAAGCGGGAGGTGCGTCTTGCTCATGCATCTGCCGTACTGTGTCGTTCACCAGCTCTCGTTTCAGGGGATATCATTCTCTACGATTCTCATCTAGCAGTCTACAAACACTCGTTAGACTTGATTTTTTATCTCATTGCCGACCCGGTCGAAAACGAGCTCATGGTGCATTCCGCGCTGACGGCCCTCTATGACGCCGTACATCTCCTCCTCCGAAACCAGGTAGAGAAGAGGGGAGTGTTGGAGAATCTCGATTTGGTATTGTTGTGCTTGGATGAGACGATTGACGATGGGTGAGCGCAGCACAGTATGAGATCTACATATTCATCTGATCCGCGCGTGCGACAGTGTCATAGTGGAAACGGATCCCGCCGCAATTGCATCGCGGGTGAGTAGACCGAGGGCCGATACGACGGAGATAGTCATCAACGAGCAGACAATCATGAACGCATACATGACGGTCAAAGAGAAGATGCAACAGCGGATAGGACAGCTGTGATGCATATTTCGGTCACATTTAATTTATTCGTTCGCTCATTTTTTCTTGCAAACGGAGAAATTCTTCGGCTTTGGATAGGACCATCGCAAATACTTTTGAATACACAAGAAGTACGTTTCCCTAGCTTCTGCTGTGCGCAGATAAATTGAGCTATGTCCGCAACAAAGTGTACGGGGTCAACAAGCGAACTGAACGTTATACTTATTGAGTAGCATGATACCTATGCAGTGCTCACCCAGTAGGAATCCGCGCGAGTGTAGGATTCAGTTCCTTGTATTGCGGACGTACAGCCTATTACTCAGCTTCAAGTAGTTCCACACAGTTTTGGCAACCGCAAGGAGGGTGAAAAGATAAGAGTTTCGCCGCCAAGCCCAAGGCATGGTTTACCGGCTCACCAGTCGGCGACACATACCAAACGACTGGACAGCCAATCTTTGACCGCACGGGTCAAAGATCTGGCGTATGAAGCAAACAGACAAGTCAGAGATCATTTCGCATATTAGGGAGTGCCGCAGGACCACTAACGAAGGTCCGCCGCATGGAGAACAGGTACCGCCATGCGCACGCTAGATGGATAGTTCGTACAGTTGGACGACGTCGGAAATGCAGTCCAGTAGCACATGAGGTTCGTCGTCTGACACTCAGAGTACGACAGATACGATAAGCGTACCCTTCTCGCGGACCTGAGGGGTCACTAGCACCTAAGGTCACCGAATTTCGACTGCGACGAGAGGATTGCCACCGCAGCGTCAGTGCGATTCGATCAGCACTACTGGCTACAACCACAAGATGATGAAAACGTATTCCTATTATGCAAGCTAGTAGGGATGGTCCGCAAACTCCACCCGCTCGTGCAAGAGAGGATCCGTCTAGTATTGTCTTCGCCTGTGGCGAGGTGTCTTTGAAAGTGACAAAGATGCTGTTGAAGACGATACTTGAGGTCATCCAGGTGTGTTTTCACGAGAGATAAACACACTGTGATAGCTAATTTTTCATGCAAGAAGCGATCGAAAGGAACGAGGCCGCAAGGGGCTGCAAGGACATTTGATTCCCCAGAATTTTTAAGCACGTGCACATTGTCAAATTGTATGCAAGTGGGAGAAATGGCTTAAAATCCTTGACATAACTTCCACCTGGTCCTATAGCGCTTTTCATAACTTTACGGAATTGCGCAAAACGTTGCGTGCCGCTCAGCGCCCATCTTCAAGCTTCAAGCTTCATGCCTTCGCACACCATCTCCAACGATCTCAAAGCTTGAATCCCTACACCACGGCACAACTATGGCTTTTCAGTACAGGACATAATTGGATTACTTGATATCTAAAAAACCAGTCTACGACAGCCTCTGCAACTTCTGGAAGTACAATGTACTATACAATCTGCTGGCTCGTCATGGTAGCTGTTCCCGCATCTCTCATGAATTATATTCGCGCCATTCTTACATGCAAACAGACACTCTACCTCGAGGAACCATGCAGCTGTATATCCTTGAGGCTCATGTGACCTATGTTTCCAAACTCACCACTAGCGCGCACATATTATAGCAACCGGTGTTGGGACAGGACTACTTAGACCATAGACGCACACATATCAAGAGTGATTGAGATTGTGTATAGCAAGGTGAGACGTTCGAAACTGCACAAGAGGCTCATGCAGACGCAAGCCATTTAGGCATATTTGATCATTATCGATAATTATCAGTGAATTGTCCATCTCATCGTCCGACCTCACCCGGCTCGCACCTTAGGACTGGCCTTCCGGGATGCGCTTGGGTTGCGCGTGATTCCACGTAGTTATGAAAAGCGCTGTAAGGGGATCCAGGTGCGTTTCAGGTCCGATCATCAGGCAGGTGCATCAGCAATTCCATGTCGCTTTTGTGATTAGCAGAATGAAATTCACTGGGTTAAAAATTCTGCGACCGTCTTCATATACTTTTCTCGCTCTTCGACAAAAGCCAGGTGCCCACTGTGCGCAAACGTACGCCACTTCACGTTCGGAATCTCTCTGAATGCAGGCGCTATCGTCATGTCGCGCACGGTGTCATATCTCCCATTGGTGAGCAGCGTAGGCACGTTGATCTTGTGTAAGTCCGCAATGATATTCCATGTCTTGAGGGAGCCGGTGATGGTAAACTCTGAGGGACCTTGCCTGTACTCGTACGCGATGAGACATGTATTTATTGAAAGGAAAGTATACGCACATGGTAATATATGCAGAAGATTCTTCTTCAAGCGACTGCAAAACTGCCAAGGATTCTTCTGGCCATGGTTCCATTCTACAAATGAAACGCTTGGCGAACTCCAAGTTTGCCCGCTCGTACTCCGGAGAATCGAACGTCCCTGCGGCCTCGTTCCTTTCGACCGCTTCCTACGTAAAAACCCAGTCTCGATGGGCATGGATCGTATACGTCTTGAAAACTCACCTGGATATCCTCGGGCATCGTCTTCAATAACATCCTCGTGGCTTGCATATAAAGATCGAAGGACACAGGTGCAGACGACGAGACCAGGCGCCTCAACCCCTCCGGCCGCCTAATGGCAATTTCCATGCCCAACAATCCGCCCCACGACTCACCCACTATGTTGTACTCCGTGATCTCCAGGTGGTGAATTAAGTTAAAGAACTCGTCCAAAAACAGCTGGACGGTCCAAAACCCAACGTCATGCTTTATCGTTAGGCGGGTCGACTTGCCGCAGCCTACTGGATCATAGAAGACGATGGGAATGCCATAGATGGAGAAGAGGTCAGAATGTGGGAGACAGTAATTGTGCTTGACACCGGGTCCGCCGTTAATACAGACGACGGGCGTAACACCACTTTTCAGATCGCCGAAAACCTTGTAGTATGTTTGGCAGGGTTTCCCCGCTGAAGGAGTGGAATAAGGAGCAAAGCCTTCCCTAGTCGGAGCAACAGACATGACGATAGTGCAGCGAATGAAGGGCGCTGCATGTGATATATATGTCCGGACGCTGTGTATCTAGCCTTATCCCGCCGCTGTGTTTTCGATCACCCCTGATTCGTGATTGATTCCCGACTCTTAGATCTCAAGGTCACCTTGCTCAGCTTTCAAGGTTTGCGTGTCCCGCAACATTTCTAAACGTAGTTTCTACGTACCAGATCGATTCTACTGCGAACCCTGTAACGTGAGCCCGCAATGTTTTGAACAGTCGAGACTGACCGCCGATGCAGTCTTCTCCCAATTACACCGAGCTGAAAATATTGATGGATGGGAGATAAAATATCGATTTCTTAGAAGTGGATACTCACCTATGCGCACAGATCCATGCCAGCAGTGAAACATGATCCCGCCGAACACTTCCGTATCACCAACTTGAAAGCGTCACAGCTTGGGTATTGGCCGCATACTATGTCGCTGTGTGAGTATATACTGATAGTACTAGTAGTCCAACAGGCTGATATAGTCCTTGACATATAGTGTATTCCTGAAATGCTGTTCAGCATTTTTTTAAAATGAGTGTAAGCCTGCTATGCGGACGACCCATTTCCGCACGTACATGTAGTACGGATACATAAGACGAACATCCGCCGCCTTGAACGACATTCCCGGTAAAGCTTCAGTTATTCTTGCCAACGCGCCACTTCGGGTCCTCACGCCGTCGTCCCGCCCTCAACCTGCCGCCGTCTCGCTGCGTAGCGAGATGGCGGCGTTGTCTTGGTATATCCGCCTTGTGGGCCCCTCGCCCCACCTCTAATGACCTGTCCACCGCCCCTCTCGTTCGCAATGAGACGGTTCCACTGTGACCCTCGCCCTCTATCTCCCGCCGTCTCGTTGATGGGCGAGACGACGCTGCTCCCAGTGCAATATTTACGGAGGTCGATATAACGAGAATGATCGCGTTGTGCATGAAAGAATACTGCAAACGCCGCTGCAAGAACACTCAAAGTGACTTGAATTTGACGGTCACCAACACTGCCGCGCACTCAAGCGAGCTACGAACATATGTAACGTTGTCGAGCCGGATGTCCTCCGCATCAGGAGGCGTTATGACTTGTATCAGCCGGCACAACTTGAAAACACATGCTATCCCAACAAGCGATACCATTCACAGGGTTTGGAGTACCACGGTCTTATACTTCAGCCCGGGACAAAGCACAGCTAGGACATGCGGGGCCTTCGCCTGAGAAGGGAATCATGTTGGGCACTATATAAACTAGTACTAGTAATGCCACTCTGGAGGGGTTGATCGGAATGGGTGCATGAACTGCCATCCATATTGCCCTTATATACCATTCAGTCCGGGCAATGATACGGTTCATGCATCTATGTCGCATACATTCTGTCCGTAATCCTTTTAAGTACATCAGCATCGTCAAAAAAACTGCTACATTGTTTTGATGGTGAGAATAAGAAAAATCCGCACGATAAACCAGCGTCTGCAAGAACCTCTATGACATGCGGGAATACGATATTCCAAATAGGTGCGACTCGTACATAGGCGATAACTCACTAGAGCTTGGTTGAACTATCGGTGTCATCTGTATCTATGTCTACTACTGCCTGATACCAATATAATGTACAGGTGCATCGGTACGTGACGAACTTGAATCTTTATACCCAATAAGTCGGTTCTGCAGAGAAGATATTCGCTCACGCTGTATTATAACCTCGCCTGTCCGCTATCACCATATTTGCGCTGGAGGAAACTATGGATCTCCCGCGCTGAGAGGCATAGTCAGTCAACACTGCGTCGTGTTTTGTCATTAAGAACACTTGCCCAGCTCCGCTGGCTTCTCTTGCGCGATCAGATGTCCTGCGGAGGGAATGATCGTGTTTGATGAATTCTCCGGCCTCCTCCACACCATCTGCTCGTGGATTCTGGACTCCCTGGAATAACATGCGTCAGAATAAGTCTCGTATAGAGGGAGCTGCCTTACCCTTGCGAGTTTTCAGGGATAATCCATCGGATTTCGACGTGTGGGTCGAGGGTGTCAATCAAGTCCCATGTTTCGAACGTCGTCATTGTCTCAGAGAAAACAAGTGCTTCCTGCGAAAAGCACTTTCAGAATCAAGAACAGAACGCTAAGTCTATGCTCTTACATGTACGCCCGGCATCTTGAGCTGCACGCCACCGCTGCCATCGTCACATAGGCCGCACTCAAGATACAGGTTCAACACCGCAGAATCCCATGCAGAGAAAAATGGGGATGCGATAAATTTTTCACGGGCATCTTCCCTGTCATAAGATACATGACATTGTCACCTTCTGCTGTGAGCAATCAGACGTACCGAGAAAGCCAGTGGCTCTGTCGTTGCACAGCCCCGCTAATGAGTTTCATCGTGTGCGCCGGTATTAGAGGACCCTGTTGTGGATGCGGACGGATGATGGGGTCTACGAGGACGAGCGAAGCAAACAGCTTAGGGATTGCGACCGCAGCGCGTGCTCTAAACAGTAGTAAATAGGTCAAATTTGACCCACGTCAATCTCAAGACGAACTTACATTGTGCAGCCTCCAAGGGAATGACCGATGCCAACCAGCGGCCGGTCTCGAAGTCCATATAATTCACGATGGCGACATGTAGCCTCGGATTGGCGAGGCAAATGCGTAGGAAGTTCACGCGCGGAAGAATGCGGGGGTAAATAGTAATACAGAAATTGAATGACGTCGCGAGCATTATCCTGCCAGTCGTCTGTTCCAAAGCCTGTTTAAGAAGCTTGAGATTGGAGGACTGACAACAATCTCACACATGCCACCAAGATTGTCCCCGTTTACAAGACAAGCGTCACCATGATTGACGGCCTCCCAGATCCATATCTCGTCTATGGTGTAGCTTGCGCCAGTCTTCTGTCGTGCGGCAATCAGATTGCTAAGTGTTGGCTCCCATATCTATACCGAGGAAATGGGACCGAGTCAATACGACAGACACGATCGACAGCCAGTATGATATACCTCCTTTGGGAACCCATTGGCGTGCGCGAAAAATAGAGTCACACCGTTGCTCAGCTGCCCCTCCTGTAAATCACTCCTCAAGTACCGGTTCACACACGCCCAAAGTTGATTCCGGCTACCAGGACCCTTCAAACGGCCTGCCCACTGCTCATACCTCATCTCCTTGATGAACTCGGATGTCTTTGACACTGACGCTTTCCACTGCTCTTTATCCGCAGACCAGGCAGGCAGGTCGGGCAATGGTGCATCGGGTGTTGTGCGCGGAACGGCTGCAGGGATAAGATGCGTTGTGAGGGTATAGGAAGTATCCAAGAAATGACGCTGTAGTGATGGTAGAGGGGGAAGCACAGCCGTGCATGGAAGTTCTAGCGGGATTAAAGATCTAAGAGGCTGTGGACAACAGCGTCCAGGCAAGGCCTGCGGGCGAGGATATGAAAGCGATGCCATAAAGTCTGAGGCTCGCTTGTGTCTCAAATTGTGTTTCCTGCCATTGGTTTTCAAAGACAAAAAACGAGAATATAGCCAGAATTCTTACCACTGGTAGAAAAACCAAAGGCAAGCTGCAGCAGGGTCAGTGGATTAGACTACACCAGTTTCTCAGCTCGTGCCGGAATAAGCGTCTCTCCATTACCCGGTAATGTAAGGTACACGTGATATTGATTTTGCGCCATCAAGGTGAGTAAAAACAGGAGGCCCAGATTCCGTGGGATTGAAAGTACAGATCGATGTGGTATGTTATGTGCTTACATGGCTTTAGAGTTGGGCGGTCCAGCAGACGGAATAGCCAGGAATGGAAAATACCGTCAACTGATGAAGCGTCCAAATGAAGTCATCCTAACAAATACGTTATGTATTTACATAAAAACCAGGTTCTTCGTGGGAGCTGATAAATCTTCTTACAAAATAACTTACGTTCGCCAATTTCCCACCAGCCATGTTTGTCAACGACTCTCTTCGCACTGTGTTCACCGCTAGGATTGAGTTTTGCGCCGATGTTTGGGCCGTGTGGTAAGAATCATTCTCGACCACTTATGTCTATAAGACGAAATGCACTGGGCTCTGACTCGAACTAATCGAGGCATTGAGATGTCATGCATTACACTCGTTCGCGAGTGGCGGCCTAGAAAACCGTTAACTGATGTTCTTTTTTCATTAAATCATAAAACATAAACTTAAATGTGTTGACTAAATATGACAACTCTCAGATATCATATTTTCTGACAACTCTTGAAACGCATCACTTGTAAATTGAGGCAACATGTCGTCTACAACCGAACTACCAGCAATAGCCGTCCGAACCCCTACTGTCGAGGAGCAATTTTGCAAGGTCGTAGATGAGATGCGGCAGGGCATACTGTAGCATCCGTGCGTGAAGTAGTTCGCTCGCTCCGAGAAAAGTGCGTTCTTGTTGCATATCTGAGTTAACATGACTGAATTTTTCTTATGTCGTCAGACAAGACACATCCGAGCTCGATATGAAAGATGGCATTTCGTTGTTCCCACTCAAGCATCGCTTATACTTTCGTATCTGCAGTTTTTGACCCTCGTCTCCTCTCGCAGAGCTGAAGGAGATTCGTTGGTGGAGCGAAGTCTCCCCGCTTCATCTTTTAGTGCGCCAGAACGTGGTCTACGCGGTTCCGGAGCCGGCGACAGAATAGATGTCATGGTGGAGGCTCGGGTTGTGCTCGAGAAGATCAAAGTACTGGAAGGAAGGACGAGGTACGAAATCGACAAACTTGTTCGCGTTGCTGAAGAAGCTCCGTCTGCAGCGCAGAATGTTGTTAATGGTAAGCGAGTGCTTGCGAAACTCAATCTGATGGCTTTACTGGCCTTCCGCCCCAACCCTCAAGTCCTTATGGACCGAGGATCAGGCTCTGAAGACGACGAGGACGGTCGGCCTTCGCCAGAATGTGACGGCATCTACCGACCACCCAAACTCGCTCCGGTGCTTTACGCTGAGTCGCATAAAGACAAAGGCAGATCGCGCCGAGCTCCTATCCCAAACACGCTTTCTACCCTTTTGCACCTTGGCCCGTCAAAACCACACATGGAATCGACGTGTGGACTTGGCTCAACCCCCGATGTCACAGCGAGCGCGCGATCTGCAGCGCATGACCGAGTTCGAGGAGGAGAGCATGACTTGGCTGGTGATGAAAAACGAGATGCAAGACGCAGGAAGCAAGATGAGGCGGACCTCGCTTTAGGTGGAATTGGAACCGCGTCTGGCAGGCGTGGGCGCGGTGGTGGGTTCGAGGATGAGTTTGTGATATTCTTAAGTCCGCAACGCGGTCGTAACGGCACTACCGGTGATGGGTATGAGGCAAAAGGGACGTAGGCAGAATGCTCTAACGTGCTCTTGAGCGAAAAGTGCCGATGGTGCACTTGCATATATCCCGTAAAGTCCCGCGCTTGCCGATGAAATGGCTGCCTAAATTCTGTCATTTTGTCTGATTTTTGCGTCTAGACTCCCAGTACACTGCATTATGACCGAATCGTGTCAGTGAGCCGGTGATGTACTTTTTTTTGTGTCCCTTGATTGTCATCGAGGACCGAGCCCTATGTGGACAGTGGGTACGTGTAGCGCAAACGCGTGTGCGGGTCGTAATCGTAGCAGAAGCATCGGGGACCACCGTGTCTGTCGCGCAGGTTGGTGTCGGCGGTAAGTTGGAGTACACTACATACCATGGGAGAAAGGCGATGTACTTAGGGAACTTTCATGAGTGCTCATTTTGCTGTGCGCGGCGCTGAGCTTTAAGTGGGAGACGTGCTGCGCGTTTTAGTCTTGCACTTCTCCAACTATAGCTGCATACTATGACTAGTAGTGGTGATACATGATAGTTTATCCATCGCCTTATTTAACGAACACTCCCAATTTGTAATCGAAAAGACCTCATTGCTCATATGCAAGGAATTCAGCGACTACCTTCATGTACTTCTCCCTCTCTTCCACAAATGCCATATGAGCACTCCGCGAGAATGTGTACCACTTTACCTTGGAGATCTTCTCGAACGCCGGCGCCATCACAAGATCTTGCGCCGTATCGTACGCTCCATTTGTTAACAATGTAGGGACATTGATCTTGTGCAACTCCGAAATAATATTCCATGATCTTAAGCTTCCGGTGATCGTGAACTCCGACGGTCCTTGCCTGGACGACAGCAGAATCTGAATCGTGCGTCTACTGAGACAAACAAGAATACGCACATCGTGTAGTATATGGTAGGATTCTTCTCAAAAGCCCGAAATAGAGCCCCAGCCTCATCCGGCAACGGGTTCATCCTGATCCCAAAGCGTAGGGTAAATTCTAAATTCGCCTTCTGATAGTCTGGGGAGTCGAATGTCCCTGCGCTCTCGTTGTCGCGAATGGTTTTCTTATTGTGTTTTGAATCTTAGTGGATGACATAGACCCGTGGTGTCGGAGGACTCACCTGGATATCTTCCGGCATCATCCTCAGCAACTTCGCCGTTGACTGCTCCCAAAGTTCCATCGACACTAACCCAGATGACAGCACCAGTCGCCTTAGGCCTTTCGGCTGCTTCACCGCAATCTCTAAACCCAATATCGCACCCCACGAATGCCCCACTATGGAATATTCCTCGATCCCCAAGAAAGTCACCAGGTTGTGAAATTCTTCCACAAAAAGCTGAGGTTCCCAAAAATTATCACCGCTCTTCGCGCGGAGAAATGTCGATCCTCCATTACCGAGCTGGTCGTAGAAGACAATAGGCCTTCCATACACCTGCGTAAGATCCACGAGAGGCGCAAGATACTCATGTGTATTTCCGGGACCACCGTGGATGACGATCACAGGTGTGACGCCAGATTTGAGATCGCCGTAGACCTTGTAATATGTCTCATAAGACTTCCCCACACTTTGAACGGAGAATGGGGCCAAGCCCTCGCGGGTAGGAGTAGACATGTTCCGATACGACAACGTCGAGAAGTGACTGCTGCAGGGCATCGATCGGTCATCACGTCTATATGCATACAAGTATAGCTGTAACATTTACCAGAGTGGTCAGACGCATTTAAAGTTTCAGACTGCGGGAAGCACATCGATGGGCCATGGCCCATCGGTGAAATGAGAATCAAGAATCGTACTCAGGTACCCCCGATCAAGCACACTTGAAGCAGATGGGTCCTCGTGAGCTAAACTTTGAAGGCACAAAACGTTTTACAGCAAACCTGGGACTGTGTCCAAAGAATGGACTTCATCTTACGGGTATCAAAATTTATCACGTAAGTTTCCTCACTATTTGGCAATGGTCATATCTGTGAGCTGCATCATGGTGCACATCCGAAATGCGCTGCGAAGATCAAAATGAGCAAAAAACAAAAAGAAGTAGAGCGAGCGTTCGCCTTCATACATGAGCGTAGACTACTGAGACATTCGCCCTCGGGAAAAGTCGTTCCCCCCTCGTCCGTCGTCAGATGCCGGATTATGACCTATTCCTGAGGGTGAGCAATGAAATTCTTTCAACGTTTACCGATGAACTTTTGTGGATACTGGGCCGTACTGTACACTGAAGGACAGAGATTCTGTTGACAGTTGGCCTAATTATTAAAGGAGATGATAAGATAACAGATAAATTACAACGAGATATAAACACTCCGCCACTACATAATGGCGCATCTGCCAACTTCAATTCCCAGCTCTTCAAGCTCCTCCTCTGCGACTTCTTTCTCGTTCTGACGTAATTTTTGCCTGGATTCTTCAGGGAACCAGTCCTTCATGAAATTTAATAGAGCCCAGTCAACATTTGCTATCCCAAAATGAGTCAGCAATCTTCGAGACCATATCCATGAATGGCAGCTTACAGCGGTTAGCGGAAAGAACATTCGACGCCCGGCACATAGGGCAGTGAGGCTGATTGCGTTTCTGCATCTTCACCAGACATCTGGCAGAACTGTCAAAATTACGTTTACGAACTCGATGTTGTACTCACCTGACGCAGAAAAGATGACCACAAGCCAAACGAATTGGTTTAAAAGCGATGCTCGTGCAGATGAGGCACGCATAGTCATCTATATGCGGAATGATTGGAAGAATATTCTCGCCGATAGCCTGCCCAAGTACGAGTGATAAAGAAATACTGGTGTCGCTCGTGAAAACGTTCGCCAATTTCCCCTGTTGTGAGGAAGGTAATAAAATGGATACCAGCGAAGTCGTGTTTATATTCGAGGTAATGAATGGAGAGTGAATGGTTGGAGTGAGAGGCAACGCAGTTCGTTTAGCGTGTTTCTTGAGAATTTTTCGCGTTGCCTCAGTAGTGGCGTGCTGGAACTATTTATGTCCTGGTAAGCATCTGGGTGTACCGAGAAGACTGGTCGTCTACCTACTTTCCTCAAATCCATAATGAAAGTGATCAAATGAAGGAATGTCCGTAGCGCCTCGCGACTGTCCTTAACTTTGAACCCCTGCCCAGAGATATATCCGCACGTCTGCAACTTTTGCATAAGATCATTGAACCTGGCTTCCGACTCTTCAATCGTCCTCTCCCCCCGCGTGCGCTCACTGCAACTCTCAAAAATTTCTGCTTCCACATATAGCTGGAATATTTCCCGCCACGCATATAAGTCAGACTTGACACCAGAGAAAAGCATTGGCAAAGGCCCTTGTACGCTGACATTAGCTGCGTCTGAAGTATGTGCTGAATGGGGGCGAAAGGTTGATGTAGAAGACGACATAGGGCGCGCAGAATAGGATATATTGTGAGATAATGTGTGCAGATTGGCTTCGAAATCCAGGCGAACAGCAGCCAGCCGAGTGCTCAGATACTGGATCGCCTGCGTGAGGAGATCAAAAAACGCCGAATCGGAGACGAGTGGGATGATGACTTCTCGAGCGTTGACTCTGAAGAGGGAATCAACGAGATGTACGATATGCTTCAACATTATGACTTACAGAGAACTGTGCACTGGGACAGTCGAAGTGCATTCCAAGGCATTTTCCACGGCCACCGTCGGGGGAATATTCAGCGAAGCATCTTCGGTTAGAGAGGACGGCGGCACGTCAGCATGTATAGTAGAGTTGGACGACAGACTCGCGCCCGCGACAACTTTGTCTTTCAGGGAGAGTGTTGAATCAATTAGGAGACGCAAACGAGGCTCGATATGGTCTGCACTGTGGACCAATTCGTAGACAACCTTGTAATCGATGGTGAGCCGCTGCCGTTCCAATATACAGACACAAGATTTACCTTCACCTCCTGTTCGTTCACTTTAATCGTGCGAAGAGAAGCCAAATCTGTATCGCCAGACGGGAGAGCGTCGTGCAAGACATTAGGAGAGAGGCCTAGAGTGTGAGTGGTTGAGGTTCAACATTAGTCGGACAAGGCGTCTGCTAGAACCACCGACCTATAGAGTTGAGCTCGCCCACAACCTGGTTGATTAACTTCTTTAACTTCCGATACTCGATAGCGCTATCTCTTAGCTCCACCGGCAAGGTAAGCAGCAATTGCTGATAAGTTTTGGAGAAATGCATGCATAACGAGGGAAGGAACAAATAGCACCAGCCGAGTCAGTTGGCCCAAGGAGAGAATATATCTGCAGTCGATTTGCAAGGCGATGCCCCGACGTCGGAAGACTCGGAGCATCGTGGTAACTTCAATTTGTCGAATATTATTGCATTTCATTAGTGCACCAATTTAACTTATACTGACACCAACAGCGTAGTATTCAGCATATGCCTACTCCACTAAGCTACATTATTTTCCATCATTAACATATCCTGACATCCAGCAATGATTACGACGAAGCCGAGGTTGACAATTGTTTGATATCAGGTACAAGTACAACGCTGATGGGCTACAAGAGTGGGATGTAAATCTTTCAACGGTTTTTACGACTCCGCCACCAAACTCGCGTTATCCGTCAAGATCTTGTTGAGCCCTTCACGGTGCAGACAGTTCTCGAAAGCAAAACTCTTCGCAATATCCTCTAAGTCCTTCTCGCTTTTGCCCCTGAAGTGCTCTGCCCATGGTTTCACCAGGAATTCCGACACGAGGATGTTGCGAGACAGACGACCGACGCGGTCAGAGAGCTTCCAAACTGGGAACGGATACAAGTTCTGGTGCTCTGGAGGTACCTCTCGCAGCACATGGTCGATGAGCGGCTGGTAGATGTGTCGGACTTGCGAGTCATCTGCACCCCATGCGTCGATCGCAAGGCGATGCTTTTGAGCAAGGAAGTCCTTGAAGAGCGTCATGTATGGAGTGCTGCGGGAGACGTAAACCATGCCCTGGAAGCCGATATCTTTGTATAACCAGATGGACCAGCTCAAACGGTCCTGTCGAGCAGAGTGAGTGCGACCCCCACGTCAGAAGGTCAGTAAGACTCACTTTGTTATAAATGCCAAGCTGATCTTTGAGGACTTTGTAGCGTTCTTCGTTGATGAGGTCGGTCCTCTCGCCCTCGTACTCCTTGCGTGCATAGACCGGCCCCCACTCACCATTCCATACACAGAGCCCCCTCTCATCCAGCCACTCCCGCTTCTTCTCGTAGCTACGCCGCAAGCGGTGCAGCTGGGTCTCGTTGCCCACATACTGCTCAGGAGAGCTTGGGAAGCCAAACAAAGTGTAGTCGTGGATGGAGTACGCGCTATTTTCCCAACGTTTATATACGTCGCCGAAGTGCGAGAAGTCAGATGCAAACGTGTTGCCGTCGAAGAAGAGCGCGTGGTGCGGGTCAATCCTGCGAATCGCTTGATATATGCGATCGTAGAAGTCGACAACGCGCGTATGGTAGGGGTCTGTGGGCTCGTTGAGCGGGTTGTATCCTGCGATCCACGTGTTGCCAATGTAGTGTTTCGCGAGCTCTTCCCAAAGCCATACAGTCCGATCTTGGAAATCCTTGTGGTTCCAGAAGTTGGCAATGTGCGTGCCAGCATCTGAGTGCCAGTCTGTGTTTTGCCCGCCTGGGGCAGTATGCAAGTCTAGAATGGTGTAGATACCATGCTTAGAACAGAGATCGATCACTCGATCAAGGTGCTTGAATCCCTCCGGTTTGAGGACACGCGGATTCATGTCATCTGCAGAGGTCAGTCATAGCATGAACAAAGGGTGAGCAATGACTTACCTTCGAAATGTCGGTAGTTGAACGGAATGCGAATGCAGTTCAGGCCAAGGCTTTTGAAGAATGCAGCATCTGCGTCCTGGAAGAAGTATTCAAGGAACTGCGGGGTACAATTCAGCCAAATCCATATACGAACCACACACCAACACGAACTTTATCAAAGAAGAACTCAGACTTCTCCTTCCCCACAACATCCGCTAGAGCGGCGCGGATCTGGAACTCACAACCGGGATACCCTTCATAGACACGTCATCACGGCGTTCATCTCTGCGACCTGGCATGCTAATCACAACTTACCGGATATAAAGTTCTCCATACTGCACAAACGGGCCGCTCAATACAGATGCTCGCTGAGATGGCGATGAGAGAACACATACTTCATCCATCCTCCGATCCCTGCACCGCGTAAAATGACTTCCTTGCCATTCTGGTCGACAATCTTGGTTCCGGATACTTTCAGATACGCCATGGTAAGTGCGCTGGGCGATGTAGATGCCCTAGCGCGAGGGCTTATATACCGCTGGACGGATTATGTTATGGAGAGCCATGAACATGAGACGGACCGCGCTTCCGCCTACTTCCCGATGATATCCCGGTCAAGCACCTCAATTCCTGCGAGCACGATCACATTGGCACACTGTCCGTTATGAAAGCGGAGAGTTGAGAACATGAACACTAAGAGAATATCAGTGCGGACGAAAACTGACAGACTCAGGGTCCTCGAATCGCAGGGGCGAATTTGAAGATGGCCTTCTCTCGCGGGGAGCTTTGTATGATTGCCGTATATGGGTCGGCATGATACCCTTCTCTGTGGCGCACAGCATGGTTTCGCCGAATGGTGTCCCTGGTTCGCCTAAGTCGTCCTGGAGCCGTCCTTCCGCTGTGCTTAAATATAAAAAACATCATCATGTGCTTGTCCAGCTGGTATGAGCTGCATCTACTATGCTGAATAAAAGGCAGATGACAGCGAGATATGTGGGCGATGAGATAGAACCCGTTGGAACTTACTATCTAACGCAATACCATGACCAGCTTCCTCAAAGTTAGCGGCGCACGGATCGTGGACGGTAACGGACAAGAGGTCATCTTGAGGGGAGCAGGATTGGGAGGATGGATGACGTGAGCCATGTTGCACCTTCCATGATATCAGAATACTCAGCTTGGCCGTACTCAGCATGGAGAACTTCATATCCGGTACGCAATTTTGTTAACAAGCTCCAGATAGAATGCAGCGGGTCAATTGAACGCATTCCGGCGCAGGGTACCCGGGATGTGAGTTTCAGATTCGCGAGGTTCTTGCAGATGTGATCGGCAAAGAGAAATCGCAGTTGTTCTTTGACAAGGTGGGCAGTCGGTATATTTCGTTGCCGTCTATTATCCTTGTTAAATCGCTTGGGCAGTTTCTTGAGAACTTCTTCGGTGAAGCGGATGCCGCATTCTTCAAGTCATTAGGGCTCAATTGCATTCGCATCGCGATTAGCTATCGGCACTTCGAAGATGACCTGAATCCGCGCGTGCTCAAACCGGAGGGATTCAGACACCTTGACCGCGTCGTAGCTGCATGTGCCAAATATGGCATATACACAATTCTTGACATGCACACAGCCCCTGGTGGGCAGAACGGTGGCTGGCATTCTGACCATGGGTCACACCTCTCATCGTTCTGGAAGCACAGAGACTTCCAGGATCGGCTTGTCTGGCTCTGGACGGAAATTGCACGCCACTACAAGGACGAGAAGGTTGGTTTATGATATCCGAATGCGTCCGCTCGTTTACTGAAGCAGTCAGCAGTGGGTCGCAGGATACAACCCCATGAACGAACCTGCCGATCCAGAACACACAGGACTGACACACTTTTACGACCGAGTTTATGCTGGGATTTACTCCGTTGATTCTAATCACATCCTGTTCCTTGACGGCAACACCTTTGCGTCGGACTTTACAGGCTTCCCTGAAGATGCGGGCACTCGCTGGCCCAACGCCGCATATGCCATCCACGATTATTCTTTGTATGGTTTCCCCAAGGCGCCAGAGCCCTATGTGCGTGCGGAGGAGCAGCGCCGGCGAATTCACAGGAGCTATCAGAAAAAGCGCGAGTGGATAGACCAACGCGGACTCTGCGTCTGGAATGGCGAGTGGGGCCCAGTCTACGCTCGGAAAGAGTACGATGGCGATTTGACGGACGAGATCAATGAGAGGCGTTACATGGTACTCAACGACCAGCTAGAAATGTATCAGCAGGTCAGTCATGCTCGCACTTTATCCGACACTAGGAAATTCATCTACCCCGCCATAGGATCGTCTAAGCTGGTCAATCTGGCTCTACAAGGATATAGGCTTTCAGGGCATGGTGTACGTGCCCCACGAAACACCTTACATGAAGCTCTTCAAGGATTTCTTGTATAAGAAGTATCGTCTGGCTGTAGACGCATGGGGAGCGGACGATCGCTTTGTGCGACATGTCTATCAACCAATTGTTGACCTCATCAAGAAAGAGGTGCCAGACGAGGCAGACCAGCGGTTATATCCGTATCCCATCTGGACGCTCGAGCGCCGCGTAGAGGTACTGGCGAGGAACATCCTGGTCAGCGAATTCATGGTTCGGGAATGGGCAGAGCACTTCCGAGGCCTGAGTGAAGCAGATATTTTAGGCATTGCAGAGAGCTTCAAGTTCGAAAACTGCATGGAAAGAGACGGTTTGAACAAGGTCCTAAGGGCCCACGCACCGAAATAGAGTCGGTGACTTGAAGAATTACGTGACTAGTTTTGCAGGCCTCGTAGATAAGTGACGTGTTAGCGTGTACAATTTTATGTTCATCTCAACGTTGTAACAACATCACCGAACTGCAAATTTATCTCTGGCTTTCACGTGTCTACGCGCATCTTCATCGTGCAACTTCGCTTCTAGCGCGGTAAAGATATCTCTAGCATATTTCTCCCCTTCCTGAAGTGCCCGTTCGTTGTGAATATGCAGACAGATAAGTAAAGCAAATCGGAACGTACCGCAATGAGCGCCCTCAACTGTACCGTTGTCAACTCCCCAGGACCCAAGAGTCTCATCGCCTGTAAGCTACAAGGGGATCCGAGAGGGAACGAGAATGCCAGCATAAGTTTCAGAGGGGTCGAAGCTTCTTCTGGAGGAGTTGCATCCAGGAAGTGTATTGGAGGTGACTGATGCGCACCATCGAGATTGCACAACGCAAAGAAAAAAATCAACACGCACCATGTTTAATGTCACGCAAACTGGCCATATGTCCCTCGAATCAAGTACCTCCCCTTCGTCCCAGTAATCTGGGAGCTCGAAGTCCGCTGCAGTTTTCGTCATGTCTCTCGTGTCAAAGCCGCTTGTGGCCTGCTGTTCGCTCGCATCCCCATCCATGTCTACGTCCGCATTCCGAGGTGCAAGCGTGCTTCCCCGTGCTTGGTATTGTATGGGACGAGTGCGAGGAACCTTCGTGTCCCACAGCGCGGCTCGCGACGCCATGAAGACCGCGTCGTATACGTTACCCGCATCGGCGAGTACAACGACGTCCAAACTGAGTAGCCACGATTTTTTTCCGGGAAGGATACCTAAGTTTTTTGGGTGCAATGACGGGTGGGAGAGTGTCTGGTGGAGAACAGCGGTCATGTCGTATTGGAGCTCATCGAGCGCATTGGAAGTGAGGTAGGGATATGCGGCAGGAGAGCTGTCTTTGGCGTATTCAGCTTCACAATGGACGAATTGTCGGAAAACAATAGAACAGAAACGTATGTGACAAATAGGATTTACGCACCATGTTACTGAACAAGCGATCCTACCGCCATCGACGCCGTCTCCCTGTTGGACATCCTCTACTTCGAGCTTGGCAGCCGCAAGAACTTCTGTGCCACCGCCGCCCTCTAAACGAATTTTTCCAACGTTAAGTTTCGCACTACCATTAGCCAGTGGGGCGACTCCAGTTTCTAGCAGCACAGTTCGGAAGTCCAACAAAGAACGGCCGTCAGCGCGCAGTGGTGGATTAGCATGCAGTGATGTTTGGATGTATGACTTTTCTGCTTTTGATATTATCACTGCTGCCATGAGTGTTAACCAGCCAACCAATACCAAGACACAAACAAGACTCAAGCGACTCAGCGAGCACTGACAGAGAGCCTAGAGGTAGATCTTGAAGACGCGTTTCGGGTATCTCCGAACCTGCCAAAGAAGATGCGACTTGCGAGACACCATTCTGAGTTTTGTGAGATTCATTCGAAATGCTTTGCAGTTGAATAGGTAACGTACACTCCGTAGATAGTGCTTACGGTGCTTTCAAATGCAAAAGATGAGGAGGTAGAGATACATTGTGCTATAACGACGTATACTGCACGTACAATCACTAACAACAACTTATAATTCATTCCCCTTCTTTTGTACACCTCGCTAGAGTATACCCGAACAAACGGCCTCAATCCAGTCTGGGTCGCTCCTAACCGTCGTCAAATTCTCGGACCCACCACGAGTGATCAAGACGACGTCCTCAATCCGAACACCACCCACGCTCTCGTACCGCCTGAGAACATTATGGTCAATGTGTCGTGAGTCGCGGACTGGGGCTAGCAGGTGCGGCGAGAAATATACCCCAGGCTCAACCGTCTGAGTGAGATAAATTCTAAGAATTTAAACCTCAATGACAGCGTGAAAACTTACTACAACCATGCCCTCTTCCAAGGGCAATCGGAGACGCAGATAGGTATAAAATGATTCATGCCCGATTTCAACACCCTTCCCGAGAGTATCGTTCTTTTCTGGCTTGCTTGCGCTCGGGACGTCGTGCACGTCTAGTCCGAGAGAGTGCCCGACCCCATGTGGATAGAAAGCGCTGCTCACACCGCTAGCAAGGATCGCCTCTTCGGCATTCCATGATCCAGAATTTGGCGAGTTAGGGTTCAAGAAGATCCCAAGACGTTGAAATCCTCGGACAAGTGTGCGATGACAAAGCAACTGAATCACATCCCAGTGGACACCCGGCTTGAGAGCTTCCATGGAGAGCTGGTGCGAGAAATTGAGCATAATCGTGGGTATAAGAGACGGAACCCACTTTTTGCATTTCCAGCACGAGTTCGTAGATAGCCCTGGCTTCTGGGGTGAACTTACCCCCATTTCCCACTGGCATTGTCCGAGTAACTGGTGTTTGGTAGGATCAAATGAATGAGTTGTTTCGCGATAGATCGGCTCTACTTACTGTCCGATGCGTAACAATCCCATTCGCATGCAGCATCGATGAGCAGCACTTGTGGATGAAGTTGTCTCGTTTCATCATGACTGAGACAATCACCATTCTCGTGTACATTAGGGGGGACAGGACCCCACGCGAACTCGCGGTCATTGCAACAGTAATGCAGGGTAGAGGCGCGAGTTGATGCAGCAACAATTGGGAGGTATGCTTGATGGATCGAGCTAAATGCAAACGACATTCTGAGTGACAGCCGCTCCAATGTGAGTGTACAGCGCGTACCCCTCTCGCCGACAGGAAGCTACAAATAGTGCCTCGGCTTCGGCTTCCTTCTCGATGAGCCACTCGCTGGGCAATAGCGGTCGACCCACGCCTGCACCTTTGCCCCGCGTAATTGCACCTCTAACACCCTGGCCTAGCACTCGCATCACGACCTCATGAGCACGAGAACTGATGGCAGTCGCCTTCTTGATCGCCTCAATCTCATCATGGTCCTTGGTAAGTCGTGCACGATGGACTGCGGTAAGAAGATACTTGTCCGTCACAAGGACGTTATTCGATAGTATAAGCGCCGCATATTCTGCTGGAAGGGTGGGGAAGAGTGGTGAGTTTGCCGGAAGAATATGGAAAGCCGCATCCGGATATGCTTTCAACTGCTCGTTGAGTGCACCGGGAAGTGCTGCAAGATTCTCAATGCGCGTGACTTGATGTGCCTGCAAAGCTTCTTCTGGGGTAGGTGGAGGCACAGACCACATCAGGTCTGCTATTTCCACCTTCGGGATGAAGAGCTGCATAAGAGGAGTTGTCGCAAGTGATGTGCCGCTCTGGAAAGTCAACAAGAGGAAGGAGGATGGCACGGAACAGCCAGACAGGTAGAAGAAGTTCGACTCCTACACAGCTTTCAGTTTGCATAAATGTTTGAATAAAATAGCAGCACAAGACCTGTCTAAAGATCATCTCGCGATCGGTATCATTTCTGAACGGTGTCACAGCACCCGCTAGAAGGATCACTTGAGGCTGCTCACAGTCACATCACAGGCGAACGGCATGATACTGAGTAAGGGCACCTTAGCTTGTTCTACAGCGGGCAGCAGCTCAATGAGCTTGCTGAAAGTCTTGATGGCATGCGATTCGGCTTTGACCGCATGCGTTAAATGGATGTCTGATTTGCAAGCTCAAGCGACTGCTCACCGGGATACATATCGCTCGTATGAAATCTGCACAAGTCGTGCACAAGCAATATGTATCGCACAATTCGGCGGCCTAAGACCTACTCCGAGCAATGGAGAGCACGTGACATTTCTCACACCTTGCGCCGTTGAGACGCGGCGTCGAGTTGTTCGGCGTGAACAACTTGAAGTCCTGGCTAATTAATATCCTGAAGTCTGCGAGTGCGAAGGTTCAAACAAGTGTCTTCCCTGTTTTTAAATGCTCACTGTTTGTTATAGATATCAATTATGACCGACTTGCAACCACGAACGCATATCGCCATACAGCCTGCACCCCAGCCGGCTCATCCAGGTCTGTTTTCGGGTCGTCCTACCTCGTTTTATGAAGCTACAACGTCTTGCAGCATATTTTAACAACATACGACAGTGGTCTACTTCTGTCACTCCTCCTCCTACGAATGGGAGGACAAATCCTACCCGCTCGCGCACTCGCGTCACGCGAGGAAGTACTCTGGCTACGACCTCACAGACAGCTGCGAGCACGTTGACCATTCCTATAGCTCCCCAACCATCGACTTCCACATTGCCTTCCGCGACTGAAGCCTCCGCGTATCCTCTACCCTTGACGACCAGTATTCCAGCTGCGACCCAAGCCCTCCATTCCACGTACGCTTCGAGGCTACGGACAGGAACCACCCTGCTCATGCAGCCTGTTTTCACTCCGGCATCGGTCAATGCCATAACGACGCGCTCGACCCGTCGAGGGGGAGCGGTCAATTACGCTGATCCCGGCTCGGGAGACGAGTTCCCCGATGCCGGAGCTATCGACTCGGATGATTCAGATTTTATAGCGAGTGGTGGAACAAGGTCAGCAGTGCGGGCGGCGAGATTATCTAGCAAAGCACCTGCGGGGGCGTCTGTGTTCCACACTGGAAGCGTGGCAGCGGCGTCGCCTGCCTTCCAGCCACAGCAGCGCAACGAATTGGATCAGAGCTACTTAGGCATGATTCCTCCGTCGAAATTTATTGCGGCGAAGCCTGTCGCGCCGACAAAACATGACTACTTGTAGGCGTTGAATCACCTTGACCGCAAGAACCCTTGATGCTCACACTGCGCATTCAGCCCACCTGAAGCCCTGGACATACAGGCAAGAAGACCTACAGCCCTAGTGCCCATCCGTGTCGAGTTTGAAACCGACACCCATCGCGTCAGGGACTGCTTTGTCTGGAACTTGCATGAGGATCTGATCAAACCGGAAGTATTCGCGCGGACGTTCTGTGCGGACTTGGATTTGCCTACCCACCCTTGGGTCGACACCATTGCTGCTCAGATCCGTGCACAGCTCGAAGATCACGAAGGTGTGGCCTCGATGGACTTTGGTGCGAATCCGGACGCGGAGGAGAGCATGGCAGAAGGCGAAGAAGTCAGCGAGTGCCGCGTGGTCCTCAGTGTGTGTGCTCATGAGTTTTAGCTCCTGTTCCCGTTTCTGAGACTCATCCTTCAACCAGATTGACGTACAAATTGCCTCATATCACCTCTCCGATCACATAGAGTGGGACCTCCTGTCCCCGCTTACGCCGGAAATGTTTGCGACAACACTCTGCGCCGAGCTGGGCCTGTCCGGCGAAGCGATCCCGCTCGTCGCTCACGCAGTGCACGAAGAGCTGGTGAAGCACAAGCGTGACGCGGTTGAATGGGGTGTGATTGGCGGCGACACGCGCGACGCAGGGGACGAGCTCGCCGGCGAGCGGCCAAGAGACAAGAGCGGGAACAGCCTAATGAAGGACAAAACAGGCCTCGGGCTGGGTTGGGGGCGCGCGCCGAAGGACGGCAGGGGCCCGAAGCCGCTGCGCAGCGTGTGGAGGGACTGGGCTGAGGCGGAGGAGTTCCGGACGCGGTTCGAGGTACTGACGGCGGAAGAGGTTGAACGGAGAGAGACCGAGCGAGAGCGGGCGAGCCGGTACGTGGGGCGCGCTGACCGCAATTGTTGTCGCAAGCTAATAGTTTTTTTTTCAGACGCTTGCGGCGAGAAACATCCAAGTTTCAATCACAAGCATCGTCGAGAAGGAGACGATGAAAGTGCTTCGTTGGCACTATTGGTCTGGACTAAAATTTCGCGTTATTTGGCATTATATGTAAATTCGGAAAGGCATCGTGATCTTGCATGTCGTCTGTAAGATCCACGAGGGAATTTGTCCATTAGTCCTGTCCTCGATGCTAACACTCGGGTTGGACTGTACGCGCCTACATAGTGGTTCTTATCCAATGGCTTACAAGATAATTGTATCGGTAGTACTCAAGCATATATGGTAGAATACAGTGCGTATAATATAGGGACAACGCAATTGCAGCGTAGACTACAAAGAGAAATATCAATATGATAGCATGCAACGTTGTCCGGACGCGATGATGATTCAAATGAACTGTATGTGGAATGGTATTTGTATGAAAGAATTCAGTCGACAGATGAACGGGAGCCGGAAATGCGATATAATAAATCCACAGAACGTCAGAAAACTGATGTAACAAAGCCTATCTTCGTGATGCAGCACTAAGGATGGCCAAAACAGTCATAGCAAGTTGTGGTATTGCTATATGATATCACTGTAGTAAGCCCTCTCGAGTCCTCCCGCGCACGAGATAGCACTTACCTTTGGGGGCTCTCAATGCAGCAGCTCTTACAAATTGTCCTTCCACAGCCCGGTAGACAGTCGTCTTTTATGTCCTTACCATCAATGTCCATCGTGGCACCCTCAGCATCGTCCTCGGGATCCCACGATGGGAATTTCCGCCTCCTGCTCGAGGCGAACGTCAGTTCTGAAAGTCCCAACGACGGGCTGCTGCTAGCGTAGGTCGTATTTGTATTCAATGCAAGCGCAGACCGCTTTGGGGACGGTACAGGAGATACTGTAGGAGTTGAGGAACATGTCAGAGCCGGTGTCGGCGGTATGGAGGGTGGACATGCAGTGCACGTCCGCGCACAGATAATGCACGTCGGTGCTCGGCATCTAACGACCATGTTAGTACATTACCCGGGACTCACGATGAAACTGTCATGCACCGTGCGCACTGGGTTAAAAAAACTGGTTTGCCTCCATACGCGCGGTGGCACGACCGACAAACTGGAATCGAGAGTCTGGTCGAAAGCGTCTCTGGTTGCTCTGAGCGTATCCGTATAATCGAAGACGTAGGAAATTCCGTGAAAGACTGTCCCGGTCCAGAGAGTCGCCTGCGCTTGGAGGATGGTTTCTTGGTTGACCCAGATCCCATGGTAGAGGTCAAGTAGCAAAACAACTTGAAACAGGCCACAAGAAAGTAGGTGATGGGCACTCTGTGAACGGGATACCGGCATCAATCCACACGAGGCAAATATATATATATCGGAATTAAAAAAATACACTGAGCGGGAGTCGAACCCACGCCGCTTGCTAAACCTGATGGAAGGCAAGCATGATACCGTTTCACCATCAGTGTGATATGTGCTGTCTTCCTAATTCATTGAAATTGTTCTCTCAAGATGACAATTTGAACCCATCGCTCGCCCGAGTGTCACGGTCCATTGTACTTATACATATTTTCGACCTGTGACCAGGAGGATCTCTACTTTGACGACTCTATGAAGAACAAAAACAAGGCGACGAAATTCCCGGTCGTGCGTCTTGCTCTCGTCATTATACTTCCAACCTTCGTTGACCGGAACTGGGAACATCTTCGTTGTGATGTGCACAGGCGCGAATAAAGCGCATCATGCAGAAGGATGAGGAGGTTGGTAAGGTGGCTCAGGCAACGCCTGTCGTTATTTGTGAGTGCTTCATGTACACTGTTGCCATCTGCTACTCAATGTCTGGTATATAGCGAAGGCACTCGAGCTATTTCTAGCTATGATCATCGAAGAGGCCAATAAGGTAACGGCAGAGCGAGGGTCGAGGCGGGTCGAAGCGTATCACCTGTGTGTGAATGTCCTACTTTCAATTGTTGTATGCTTATCTCTGATCACAGGAAGCATGCAGTTGAGACAGTCGACATGTTAGACTTTTTGAAGGAGATTGTTGAAGCAGTACCAGACCCATCTGCGGGTGGGACCATAGACCTTGAGGTCGACGCAACCGAAGGGGGACGTAAGCGGCGCGGTACAAAGGGCAAGAAGGCAGCGGAGGGCGAGGCAACCCCGGCACCTACACGCAGGCGCAGACGGAAGGGCGAGGTGAAGGAGGAGGACGGTGAAGCACCGGCTCAACCTAGACGGCGCGGGAAGAAGAAAGAAAGGGAGCAGGAGAAAGAGCAGGAGCAGGAGCAGGAGGCTGGCGATGATGTGGAGATGGAAGAAGAGGAGGAGACTGCTAATGAAGATTCATTCAAACATAGCGGAGGAAGGGTGAAGGACGAAGACGACGATGATGATTGGGAAGGTTAGATTCGGACAAGAAAGATGTACCAATTGTACTCTATGTACTTTCAGTTTTTTTTGCCCTTCTTATTTCTGGTAATATCTCGATATCCAATCGCACGACAGCACCGGCAGCAGATGGGATAACGAGAACGGAGTCGCCTGGCAGCATTTTCGTCAGACGTTATAGTCGTCGCTCGTCATAGGGGCACACTGTCCATTGGCTTGTCCTTGCCGGGTCGTCACCCACTCGGATGCCTATTTCGGCGTCCAGTCAGTGACCCAGCGGTGTATATCACAACAGTCACCGATGTGTAAATTATGATTTTCTCAAAGTATGTGGATTAGGCTCGGGTCAGGAATCCCCAGAATACTTAATTGAAGTTGTGCTGAGGTGGTTGGTTGCAAGGATTAGAAGCTTGAGGTCTCCCTCCCCTCGAAGTCGATGTACTTGATCCTTCTGACTTGCCATATTCGGCGGAGAGAAGTTCAGGGCAAGGCGCACCGCGTCTTGACTGTGGCGTTGTTCGCGTCCAGCCCGAGTCCAACCTCCCCGCCACCATAGCACATATCTCCGACCTCTCTAAAGCATGGCTGATTGCTTGTTAGGGGATGATGACTTCGACGCGCACTCTGCGGGATCTTCTTCTATGGATAGCGCGAAGGACGCGCCAGAAGACGACGACCTTCCAATTCCAAAAGACTTCGGCCTTCCTGATCCTAACATCCTGGCTCAGGAGATAGCGGAAGAGACGCCCTTTCAGAAGCTTATCAGACACTGGATGAATGAACGACATGCGCCAGATATTTTGCCTGGACAAGAAATACTGCTCGGCAGGATTTTAGACCACGTTAGAAAACAGGTGAGCAAGTCTGCTCATACACGATGTGGCCGTTATTCGATTTTCATGAAGTAATATCCTTTACGTGGATGATGACTAACGGGACATAGTTCTAGTCCGACGATGTGCAGCTTCTGCGCGCGGATCCCGATTCGTCAGAAGACGAGCATTTCCGGATAATGCTAGTTCAAACAGAAGTCGAACGCGTCAAATTTGTAGTCCGGTCTTACATTCGCACACGATTGCACAAGGTGCGAACCTTCACCAGTGGGTCTCGTATTCGCTTATTCCTGCACATACAGATCGAGAGATATGCGCGATGGATAAATGTAACACCAGAAGTGCATGAAAAATTATCAAAAGCGGAGCTGGATCATGCAAAACGGTCTGTATCGCTTCAATCGAACCTATACATGAATGTTCACCCAATCTTTACAGTTATGCTCGCCTGGTCGAGTACCATTTCACCCAGTCGGTTCTACAAAGTTTACCACCGGAACAGCGGTCATTAGAGGACAACACCGCATTTATGCCCCCCATGAGTGCGTTGGCGCTCAATTCCTCACAGTATTATATTAATATTTGTACCTAAGTCTCAGAACCGGACAAGCTGCGTCCTGTATTTGTGCACGCTCTGCAGCAGTGTCCGCCAGTCCACTTACCCGAGTGCGTATCTTTTATTTTGCTTATTCTCGGGAAACCTCATTTGTGTCTACTTCACAGTGGAACGGCCATCGCTATGGAGAAAGGGCGGATATCATTGACTCCCTATCACGTCATTGAGCATCTTCTCGCTAGAGGTGAAGTAGAGCTTGTCTGAGCGTGCGCTCCTCGGTGATGTATAGTAATTGCGCCATGTTCTATCACACTCTTTGCTCTCTATTCCATTTTCACTGCTGTGCCTAGTGTACATGGAACATAGTCTGAGCTCCTAGACTGCACAAACATCTATAGTATCGCTTCAGCGTTGATCTAAATTGCTGCGGGGCGCGGATAGTACTGGACGATTTTAATAATGCACATTGTAACTTTGAAAGCAAATCGCGGGGCGATGTTTGGGCGAAGTTGTGTAACATTGGGTTAACGTAATGAACGTACTAGTGAATATCCGATAATATTCTACTCTGCCAACTTGCCCCAAGTGTATTCTGCAATTATATAACAAAAATGGATATTCTCTGTGGTGACAATATAGCAAAGAGAATGTCCAGGCATTCTTTTAGGCATCACACTCATGGCAATATTGACATCGACGAGGAATTTGTGCTTGGAGAGTGGCCACCTTCTAGTCTGCGACGAGATATGTGACATAAAATCATTGCCGTGTAGCTAAAGATGAGATGAGGATATCATAATCAAGTTTGGCGGCTGCGAGACGCGAGTGAATTTGGTTCGGTATTCTGAACAATCACACGCACCTTTCAGTACAAGCCGTGTGAACTCTAGAGCCAGCTCTGGGTGTTCCGCTTCCAAACGGCGCAGGTTCTGCACGCTAAGCTTCCAAAGCACAGCATGCCGCTCGACTAAACACGTCGCATTGCGAGCGAGACCGGATAGGGTAGACAGTTCTCCCGCAATTGTCCCTGGGACCATCGATTCTTCGGTAGGCGGCGTATGCTCGTTGAAACGATATATCGCCCTGAGAACCCCAGATTCGACCATATAGAGCCCGTCTGGGTCATCGCCTTGGTGCCAGAGAACAGCACCTGCAGGCAGGCACACACGCTCAAGATAGGATACCAGCGATGCGAACTTCTGTCGATCCATTGGGCCATAACTTGAGAATGCGTTCACAAGTGTTCTGTATGGCTCTGCAGTTTCCACGGTATCTACCTCGGGTGGAGGATGGCCTATGACAAGGTTAGAGTGCAGTGATAAAGGATATTTGCATTACAGACCTTGAGCAATCGTACGCCAGCCGGCATCAAGGATATGAGATTTTCTGGGGGTGACGGAAACCGATCCACCAAAGGATAGTAACTCATCCTGCCTACCGGGTAAGACTCGAATTAAAATCAATTGAGTGATCGCAGCATGATCTAGGGGTCACGTACCGACGTTGCGCGGCTCAGCCTTCTGTGCGGTGAACCAGGATCTTAAGTATGTGTTTTCAGTCCCTAAACATTGATGAATCAACATCAAAAACCTCATAACACAAAAGACTTACATTCCAGAGAATCATTAAATGTCGAAAACAGCTCCACACCTTCCATTTCCAGCAAACCCACGTTGTGCAAGGACTTCCCAACGTTCGACTCCATAGAAAATCCACAGAACACGAGAACGACTTTTCTCGTAGCCAGTATGCGTTGAATGCGCACAAAAGCCTCAGCCGCAGACATATCGACTCCAGCAACAAGGGCCAAGTCGAGAATAAGAAATCGCATAGGACTCCGAAGCCAAGCTGGCCCTTCCACAAGTGTCCTTATGGTCTCTTCGACGTGTGTGATGGTGCCAAAAAAGAGGAAGCCTAGGTGTGAGATTATGATTAATAATCTGCTACTAGGCAAGGCGAATGCATTACCTTGCAGTCTGAGAATAGTTGTCTGCTTGGAGACTTCCTGAATATACGCGCGATGGGCACCTGGCCTGCGCACAGAAGACATGACTGTCTCGCCGGTATGAAGAGATCGAATGCTCCTGCGCTGAGAACTCTGGACTACGAAGAAAAAACCTACACAATGACAACTATGAGGTTACATCTGGGAAACCAATGTTTATCAACTTACAGCTGACGATGATGCCAAAGAGCACGCCAACGACAAAGTCCCACACCGTCATGCAAATCATGATGCTGGCGATAGTTATGTACTCGGTCCTATGCGAGAGTTCAGCTACATGGCGGTACCGAGAGGGGCTCAAATGTCATCACCTGCTCACTCGATGCCTGGTGTCCCAGAGGGCTTCCTTGACAAGATCGAAACCTAGAACAAAAATCAAAGCACCAACCACCATGACAGCTGGACGCGAATTCTTTGTCAAAATAAGCCTACAGTTATGAGATGATCGGCGTACGTATAAAGGCAATAGGAGCGGTCCCAATGACGAGGAGGACTGCCGTTGCACCCGCAAGGAGAATGCCTGAGATGCGTGTGGTTCCCCCAACCCGATAGAATCTGCGTAGGCGTTAGTCATGCTGAGCACCGTATGTAAATGCGCACGTACAACAAAGTATTCACGTAGACCAGGTAGTTGGGTCTAGACATTGACGAGAATGTCAGACACATCTTGTCGGCGGGATCAGGAGGAGGAACATTTACACCGTGCCCAGTACACCAGCAAGTAGATTTGAGTATCCATGCGCTACCAGTTCTTTGTCCGTATCTACGTCATGATTCAACGACACCGCTGTGATATTTTCATCAGCAAAATGAATGAATCGGTCTGCAAAATACAGACCTAACGCAGGTACGTTTAAAGGAGGATGAAGAATATTGAAGAACAATCTAATAGAGCAAATTCGGATGATACATCTAAGCCAAAGCCGCTGTGCGCGCTTACAGTGCGAACTGCGTAGGCAGTGTAGACCATATTGCACTCCATTGAGTAGCCTTGAAATCTGCAACCACGTCAGTCAAAGAGATCACGTCGTGTATGCAGTCATACGCATACCAAATAGCCTATAAAACTGATACCAAGGTTCATGAGAGGCTCCCATATTAAACAACCATCCCTCTTGGCGCAGGGTACCTAAGTTAAGGCGCGCAGCGGCAACGACGATGTAGAATACTACTGGAATGATCAAAAAATCTGCAGGGACATAGAGCGGCAACAAGGTTAGTGCTTGATGACAGGGTACCCAATCTTGACAACAACTCACATATGGGGAATATCAGCTGATGCTCGAATCTATGCGTGATAACCCGAAGCAAAACTGCCAATCCGAACGCCGGTACCCAGAGTACAAGGTTACCAATGTTGAGGAAAAGTAGTTTGAATGTCGACAACGTTAGATCGAAGTCATCATCCGCCATCCGCGTGCTCACTGTCAACCTAAACGAAGATGATCAGCGCTCTGAACGCCTACCCGGACCGGCAGCGCCAGTCTGCGACATTCAAAGGAGAACGCATGTGACTGACCCTGTGATTATCAGGAACACGCCTACACCACCTATGCACCTGTATGTGACGTATTTAGCGAACGAAGCAAAGGAGACTTGAATGGACCCACCCTACGAGAATGTGTCGTGGAAAGAAACCGATCAGTGTGCCTAACCTTAAAGCCCCAAGGAGGAAGAAGCTGAGTCCTGTGATAGAGGTAAGATGTGCCGGAGGCTCCACGCTGGTGGTGCTGACCTGTGAGAATAGAAGACAATGCGAATGCAAAGATTGTTGTTGCGAGAATTTCGTGTGGCCTTTCCTCGCCAATTTGTGCCGCTATGCTGTTGGCAAGAATGTGGAAAAACGGCTAGGTGACGGCTATGTATCTTGACAAAGTGCACAGAGGGAAATACACATACCACAACCTCAATCATCATGCTTCCGTTTGCACCGGCGAAGCCACTTCCTCCGGCAGAATATACCAGCTGAGAGACAATTGTTCTGGACAATGTGACTTTGAGCGCCAAGAATACGACAGCATGCAGTCGCATTTTACGTACGAGGCGAAGAACATAGAAACGCCGATTCCTCCTAGGTCAGAGAAGACACCCGCAGCCGGGAATATGATCATGCCATCTGTCGACGGCGGTCAGTTGTTCAAAGAACAGGGTGTAAAAACGGAACTTACAGGAGATGCCGTCGAGAATATTGAGCAACGTGCCCAGCAGGACTGCTGACAGGGAGTGCACCGTGTTCTCTGCGATACCCCTCGCTGTCTTGATGGTTGGAAAAGAGGGCAAATGTCTGGCAGCGATATACAGCAGACCCCTCATACTGCGTTTACCATCAAAATGCGGGGACAGGTACCCATTACCGTTGTACGATGACCGCGAAGCTTCTAGGTCGGTTAACAGGGGTGCAGACTCTGAGGGCTCGCTTGCGTCTCCGACGTGGTGCACGTCCGAAGCAGAATAATTCGATGCCATCGCGTCGGCGAACGGTGAAGAGTCCTCATTTAACAACGGAGAGGATGACGCAACAGGGAAGTGAGGCGCGCATTCATTGGTAGGAGTCGTGCTGGGCGAGTCATATAGCGAGCTCGATAGCTTGTCATGATTTTGTCGTGCCAAGAGGAGTGACAGCCCAGAGGGGCCCGAGTGGCCCTTAGGGGTCAAGGTGCCAGTCTGAGTAGAGTCGGTCGTTGTCGTCGATTCCATGAGGTCAACTACGCTCCCGGTCCGATATGAAGAAAGAGATGGCACAGATAGAGACAGAGCGTTCATGTTAGCGGTACCAGCTTCGTCGGTAGGCTCTGATGTGTCTGGGAAGATGAAGGGGCTCTCCGAATGCAGCGATAGGCTTTGTGTCCGAAGAGAGAGGTTAGAAATGTGCATGGTGCTGTCTCGGATATTGTCTTGTGAATGGGGTAGTGCATTGCGAGGTCTGGAAGACTTTGAGCTGGAAGATACATAGCTTCTCGGCTGTAATAGACTGGTCACAGGGAATTCAATCACTGATCACGCAACCAGGCCTTCCTTCCCGAGTTTTAAATTATAGCAGCTTACCCTGCTCGCCGTATAGGAGATGTACTGATGCGCGAAACACCATGAGGCGATGGCGATTCTGCGTCAATTTCGCTCATGGTGGCGCGGTTCACGTCAACAGCCATTAGATCCGGTAGTCGAGGAATCTCTTGGAGACAAGAATACAAGTACAGGAAACTGTTACAAGAATGACCTAGACTTCATGGTAGGCTGACAAGATGAAAACGACATTCAGGGCGAGCGGATAATGGAGAAGGCTAAGAGATAAAGCATACGCGATCACGTGCGATACGCGTCGCGTCAGCAAATTAACAATACTTAAATAACCAGATAAAATATTATTCCGGAGAATTACTATGGTGTTCGGAAGCTACCGATAAAAATACTGTGCTCGAATCAACTGTGGGCTAGCATCCTGTCTCCGGGCCCTTGTTTGTGGTCGCCTTGCTTGAGTGGTGCCGGAAATCACAATGAACTCGAGCGATCTGTTCACGTTCTTGGACGATGCTGCTCCGGAAATAGACGATGTAGACATGGGATCTGGGACCTCGGAGACGCAGCCGGAAAGCTCGCGGAAGCGCAAAGCCGACTTGCCAGGACGAATTCGCTCTCCTTCGCCACAAGAGGACGTCAAAACTGAGAACGTAGAATCAGTCACTCCCCCTAAGAAGCCGCGCTTGGGGTCGCCAAAACCCATCGTTGTCGATGAAGTCGAGATAGAGGCAAAGCGAGAGGTTGCCGCCAGTGCAGGCCTGACAGGCGCAGTTGAAGCTGGGTCGCGTTTGGAGCTTAGACATCAGGTATGTTCTGCTTCAAACTCGAGGAATAGTTTATTGATCGGTTGTTTGTCAGGTCCGGCATCAAGTCGCAGTACCACCAGCATATCCTTATGTTCCCATATCAAACCATGTTCCCCCGTCAAACCCTGCTAGGGAGTACAAATTTACTCTGGATCCCTTCCAGCAAGTATCTGTATATGCCATCCAACGGAATGAGAGTGTTCTGGTGTCTGCACATACGAGTGCAGGAAAAACTGTCGTAGCTGAGTATGCTATTGCCCAATGCTTGCGGAATAAACAACGTGTAATATACACGAGTCCTATCAAGGCTAGTTCTACGCACTCTTACCTCGAGAAGCTGTCACGAATGAATATGTATAGGCATTGAGCAACCAAAAGTATCGTGAAATGCTAGCCGAATTTGGAGATGTTGGTTTAATGACAGGAGATGTTACTATCAACCCTTCCGCAACGTGTCTGGTAATGACCACGGAAGTGAGTGGATAATATGCGTGAGTTCATCTGCACAACACTTACTCCCAATAGATTCTGCGCTCCATGCTGTATCGTGGCTCAGAAATCATGCGTGAAGTAGCGTGGGTGATTTTCGACGAGATCCACTATATGCGGGACAAAGAGCGTGGCGTTGTTTGGGAGGAAACTATCATCCTTTTGCCCCATACAGTGCGCTATGTCTTTCTCTCTGCCACCATCCCCAATGCGATGCAATTCGCAGAGTGGATTTGCAAGTCTCATGAGCAACCATGTCACGTCGTCTATACCGATTTCCGGCCGACACCATTACAACATTATCTTTTCCCTGCAGGTGGCGAAGGAATTTACCTCGTCGTAAATGAGAAGAGTGAATTTCGAGAAGACAATTTCACCAAAGCGATGGGTATGCTGCAGGACAAGATGGGCGACGATCCTGCCGACCCAAAAAGTGGTAGAGGGAGAAAGGGAAAGTCTAAGAAAGGAGGGGAAAAGAAAGGTGCGTGGAGCACTTCGCGAACTACACCTGGAACCTGACAATAAGAAGGTCCTTCCGATATTCAGAAGATTGTGAAAATGATCATGCTAAAGAACTACAACCCTGTGATCATTTTCGCCTTCAGCAAGCGGGAATGCGAGGGGCTGGCCTTGACGATGTCAAAATTGGAGTTCAACGCTACCGAAGAGCAAGAAATCATCACCAATATATTCAACAACGCAATGGACAACCTGTCCGAGGACGATCGCAAGTTGCCACAGATCTCGAATCTGCTTCCGCTGTTGAAGCGTGGAATTGGTATACATCACGGCGGTCTCTTACCTATCCTCAAGGAGGTCATCGAGATTCTCTTCCAGGAAGGTCTAATTAAAGTCCTCTTTGCGACTGAAACCTTCTCCATTGGGCTGAACATGCCCGCCAAAACGGTCGTCTTCACTGCAGCACGCAAGTTTGATGGTCGCGAGTTCCGTAACCTCTCATCTGGGGAATATATCCAAATGTCGGGACGTGCAGGTCGGCGAGGTCTCGACGACCGTGGAGTCGTTATCATGATGTGCGACGAGAAGCTGGAGCCGACTGCTGCGAAGGGGATGATCAAGGGTGAGGCAGACCGATTGGACTCAGCCTTTCACCTGGGATATAACATGGTGCTCAACCTCATGAAGGTCGAGGGCATCAGCCCTGAGTATATGCTGGAGCGCTGCTTCTTTCAATTCCAAAGCAGTATGGGCATTCCGGTACTTGAAGATGGTGAGTAGCATCATTGACTTCACACTAGCTCGCATTTATATCTATTGCATCGGTACGTAGAACTACGGCGCGAAGAGGAGCGAAAAGAGTCGTTTGTCATCGCAGACGAAGAGCTAGTGTCTGAGTATTATGATTACCGGCAACAACTTGACCAAATGACCGCCGATTTCAACGAGGTCATCACGCATCCTACTTACAGTCTTCCCTTCCTACAGCCGGGACGTTTGGTGAAAGTCAAATATAAGACATTAGACTTTGGCTGGGGTGCTGTTATCAACTTCCAGAAACGGTTACCACCGAAAGTATGTCTTGTCTTCGTTTCCTCTCTTTGTCCCACGCGTTTATATCACCTTCCTTAGAATTCGCCGGTTCCAGACGAATTACCGCCTCACGAACAGTACATTGTAGACGTTGCACTGTACTGTGCGACGGGTTCGAGTCCCCCGAAAGACCGGAGCAGTATCGCTGCAACGCCCATAAGTATTCAGCCGTGTCCTGCTGGGCAGAAAGGAGAGCCCCTCGTTGTGCCAGTGCTGTTATCAACAATACATGCTCTCAGTCGATTGCGTATTCACTTGCCCAAAGACTTGCGCTCTCAGCAGCCAAGAGAAACTGTCTGCAAAAGTGTGCAAGAAGTCCAGAGCCGATTCCCGAAGGGTATCCCCCTTCTTGATCCCATCCAGGATATGGATATCAAGGATGAGAAATTCAAGGCGCTGGTTAAGGTACGCTGTTCATTTACAATGCGCAAAAGTGGCAATCGTTCACATCAAAACAGAAAATTGATCTCATGGAGCGCAAGCTGTTTTCGAGTCCTCTCCATAAGGACCCGAGACTATCAGAGCTGTACACGCAGTTCGTTCGGAAGCAAGAGTGTCAGACGCATATACGGGAGCTCAGGAAGCGCATACAGGCTACCAACGACGTGTTGCAGATGGAAGAGCTTAAATGCCGGAAGCGAGTACTGAGACGGCTAGGCTTCACGACGTCAGCCGATATCGTCGACATGAAAGGCCGAGTTGCCTGCGAAATTAGCACAGGCGATGAGCTACTACTGACCGAGCTGATCTTCAATGGCGTCTTCAACCAGCTTTCACCGGAACAGTGCGCCGGGCTCTTAAGCTGTTTTGTATTCACCGAAAAGGTTGGTGTTTCATTCCATGATTGAAAGCGGCAAGCATATTGATAGCTCATACGTCGCAGAGTGAACAAATCACCAAGCTCAAAGAGGAACTGGCTGCCCCGTTGCGGGTGATGCAAGAAATCGCCCGGCGAATAGCAAAGGTGTCGAAAGAGTCCAAGCTTCCCATCAACGAGGAAGACTATGTACTCAGTTTCAAAGTGGAGCTTATGGATGCCGTCGTACAATGGTGCAGAGGTGCATCATTCGCTGAGATTTGCAAAGTACGCCAGCGGGCTTGTCCCTCAATGATCTATGCTTGCTGATACTTCTTCCATAATAGCTGACCGATCAATTTGAAGGCAGCCTTATCCGCGTGTTCCGACGGTTGCAGGAGCTTATTCGACAAATGAGCCAGGCAGCAAAGGTCATCGGCAACACGGAGCTGCAAGAAAAGTTTGACAAGGCATCAGAGATGCTCGAACGACCAAACTCTGTGATCTTCTGTTCTTCATTATACTTGTAGCCCCTACTATTGTATTATTCAATAGTCCCGACTCTTGTGTCATCCTATGTAGACTATGACCTGTTGGAACTACCCAGTTACCACTTGTATGCGCGCCGCTGACCCAGCCCAACATTGTAGGACTGGTGTATTCCACTCGAACGAAAGGCCCGCTAGTGTACAGGCTCCTCTGGCGTTTAATTTCGACTTGCTGCCGGACGGTATAGACAAGCTTTCTTCGTTCCTTCTTCGACTAAAATTTCCTTGCGAATTGTCAACATGCGACTTAGCGCAAATCAAGCTGCAATTGTTAGCGACTGCCGCCTTGAGGCCGTTCAAAACGCACTGGAGGACTTCTTTACGCCTCACGTCCTCCTCTTCGATAATTGTGTCGTTAAGTTTAACCAAGGGGGCCTCCTTGACGAAGGCAACATTTATGCTTTCGTCTATGCGGCATTCAAGAGCTCTCCGAACGCATCGCGTGTCCCAGAGGTCTAGAATGCTTCTCCTGCAGGGGTTATACCGAATACCTTGTAGTGAAGCGCGTTAACCTTCCGACGATAGAGACTTGGATCAACGGCGCCAGCGAGGCCGAGGCGCAGTCCCGCGTCGACATGGCCTGTTAGGCGGTAGCCAACATCCTTCCGAAGAATCTCTCCTCCAGCCGGCGCTGAGATTAGTCTGATCCAAAGTGCGTACGCTCCTGTACGCTCAGACGCAAAGTGCGGACGTTCGTGCAAGACGCGGCTGCACTTATCATCCATTCTTCGGCGACTCCGACGCACCATTCTGCTATACCGGCGCCGCCTTTGTGCAGTTCTATTTCGTCTAGAGAGGACAAGTGGAGAATAAATAGCTCATAGTTATAAATGATGCCTCCATCGAAGTCCTATCAAGATCTGTCGATGAATATAAGGCTTACCCTTGCCTCTCTACAGGGTGAACGACGGCAAGAGATGAATCAATCTTGAAAAATCTCTTTCATGCCGACGGGGATGATTAGAGATTTTGCTCCAATGAGTGAATATATTTTTGTATGCTCAGAGAGCATCACATAGAGCCTGATGATCATTAGCATCATGAAAACAAACGAGATTGTTAATTTCTTCGCTCCAGGTTCTGGGATTTCAGGTAATATATGGGCATTGTGCACAGTTATCATAAAAGGGGTACGCGTCCTATCCATCGGCGTCGACGCCATAAGTACTCGGGCCCAGTGTGAGCTCAGCGCTAAGCGAATCTCTCCCAGACCACCACCATGGCATTCGAATTGGGCACACCCATCAACACTGCGCTGCTGCTCTACATTCTCTACTCAGTGCAGCGGATCCTCTTCCCATCAAACGCTGTCCCTGAGACGGCGCCGAACGAGTTCAAGACAAGCTACTCGTGGATACCCAAGACGCACCCGCCCACGCTCCTGTTCAAGACCTACACGCCAAAGACGCTGGAACCATTCAACGGCCAGGATGGGAAACGCATCCTGCTTGGGATTAATGGCGTCGTATATGATGTTACGGCGGGGCGGAACTTCTACGGGCCTGGTGCGTCGCCTGGTCCGACTTGCACTTCGGAATGCAACTTCATGTTCGTGTGTGCAATGGTAGAGGGAATGTACGCGAACTTTGCGGGACGGGACGCCTCCCGAGGGATGGCGAAGCAGTCTTTCGATCTCGGTACGCGGTATAGCCCGCCGGGCCCACTTCGAGCGCAGGCTGATCTGTTCGTGTGCCGGCAGAGATGCTCACGCCCGTGGACAAGGCGCTAGACAAGCTCGATGACTTGACTCCGGAGGAGATGTATGTTGCTTCATATCTCCCTCGTCCTCAATGATCTCACCTCCATTCCTTCTGCTCAGCGACAATATGCGAGGTATGGAGACCGATCATTCACATAACGGTTATCTGCGATGCTGTGCTCATTATCTCAACTTGTAGGCTGGATGGACCACTTCTCTAACAAGTATATCATCTGTGGCAAGCTTGTGGAGAATGATGCTGCTTGAGCTGTTTTATCATGACTAGAAATGATACAGATTGGAATGTGGACTAGTTCAGGTATGCTTCATTGTCTCTATCGACGTGCTTGGTCCTCAGCTACAGTGTACATATCCGTGGCGTCTGTATATTAACACTGTGTTAGGGCTATCGCGTGCCGGTCAAATGCATGAGTAGGCACAGTGAATGGGTGCTAAGCTATTTGTGAGGAGGCTGAAGGACGTCTTGCGATTAAACATGGTGTGACACCAAGAGAATACTTTGGGCACACGACCAGAACAACCAGGATTGCATCTGGCTTGAGCGTGCCGAAGGACTGATTGTCACTGCAGCGTGCTTTACGCATACATGCTGAGGTTAAGGATAGTGCCGGTATTCCAGAGATGGCATGGTTGATCGTATGCATATGGCGACGTTGGCTGGATATTCAACTGTAGCCATTCAATCTATCAATCCCTTGCCCCACTAGCTGCACTCACTGTGGTACGGCGCTGCAACTTCCGCTAGAAAATCCTTTCCCGTGGTGAATGAGTCACCCTAAGAATTTTGAAGGAATAGCTAGCCTGTCTGCATATTTGCTGTCTGTTCACCTTGTGGTAGCCGCACGCTTATGCCATGATCCTAGTAGGATATCCAAAATCCTCGCCTTCGGTCTCCTGTATTATTATTCTGTGACTATCTAATACAGTCCAGACATTATTATCTCCGGATTTCTGTGGGAGATAGACCACCCATAGAACCACTCACAACTCCGGTCTGTCGGCTGTGGACTGCACACTATCTTGTTCTCGTGTCACTGTACTATCACGGTTCAACCAAATGGCTTCAGCCTTCGGGTTCCACTGTGTCCGAGACGGCCCTGCCAGCACATGCGTCGGGACTCGGCAGGGTCGCTGGGTCCCAGAGCACCCATCAGCTACTCACATATAAGCCGTGATCGAGATTGCATCGGCTCCGGACGAGTCTCAGTCTGATGGACTTTCTCCTACATATATACTTTGGCTAGTCTCTGGATTTTAGTCAGTCCTTCTAGCTGCGCAGTCAAGACAACCAGGCCCAGCAGTGCTCGTGGCATTCAAAACGCATTGGTCCAGGCTTGACTTTTGCTTGACATGGTCACCTCGTACCCAGCGTGTCTTCGACGCGACCAGCTTGACACTGGAGGATCATGACGAGTACTCAAGCTCAAGCTTACCGGCGCTATGCATTGGCCTTCACAAACCACTGATAAGTAAGTAGACACAGTGATTGGCTCCCTGGATGCTTTCTGCCGACCTATGTGAATATTTTTATGAGACCGATACTCACCTACATGCTTAGGGTGGAACTCGCTTATCCAGACGCAGCCGCCCGAATATACCGGCGATGATCCTCCAATTCTGCCCAACGAGATCCATATGGTTCCGGATGGCCTCCCAGCCGAAATTGTGGGCGTTTGCAAGGCGAACAGTCACTGTTAAGAAGCATCTCCACGTGTGACCAACTGTCATTCATTCCCTGATTCAACTCTTTCCGTGTGTTTCCTTGTATCCATACTACTGACCCTGGACCGCTATCGAGGAGATGGGGGCCTTGCTCGAACTTGTCTGTGTCGGTCTCTTCTCTGCTGCCTTCTGGACGCTCTGGACAGTGGTTCAGCGTGTCTTCGGGAAATCCCACCTTGATAATATCCCCGGGCCTCGCTCCCAGTCGTTCGCTACAGGTGAGCAACGAGCGACGTCTCGAATGCTTGAAGTAAATTGTTTGCAGGAAATCTGGGCCAGTATCTCGCCCGGAATGGTTGGGCATACCAACAGTGGCTGCACAACGAGTACGGGCCCGTTGTGAAACTCAACGGGATGTTTGGGGTGAGTACTCGAGTCGAGGTAGCTCGATGTATGGGCAGTTAGTGCTGACATGGTTCTCCAGACAAAAGTGCTCTATGTCTACGACCCGGTGGCCCTATCGAACATTGTCGTGAAAGACCAGTATACCTATGAGGAGCCACAGGAATTTCTCCAGTTAGTTGATGTCTCGTTTCGTGCGGTAGTGCCTGACCCGTTCGCAGCACGATGCATCTCATGCTGGGCGACGGATTGCTGGCAACCATAGGTACACGGTCCCCTGTCAGCAGCGCTGCCGTGCGATAACCTCGTTGCCATCTTGCAGGGGAACAGCACCGAAAACAGCGCAAGATGCTGAACCCGGTCTTCTCGATCAATCACATGCGGCACATGACGCCCATCTTCTATGAGATTTCCCGCAAAGTATGCTTTCCATTCATACTAGACCAAACAGTAAAGACAATTCAATAAACCGTTCTCTCGTAGTTACGGGAGGCGATTGGGAGGAGGATCAAAGGGGGGCAGGAAGAAATGGACATCCTTGACTGGATGGCGCGTACAGCGCTTGAAGTTGTCGGGCAGGCCGGTCTTGGGTGTTCGTTCGACCCGCTCATCAACGATTCGGCAGACCAGTACGGACAGGCCATCAAGGCAATCGCGTGCGTCTCGTCTCTGCCTCCACTTCGCATGACCTTTTGAAGCTAGTCATACAGGCCAACGATCGGCCCGCTGCGCCTCGCGCGTATGCTCTTGCCGTTGGTGATGAACATCGGCTCGCCCAAATTACGGGGATGGCTCTTTCGGCTGATTCCGAATAAGAGCATACAACGCGCCTGCGAGATCAGCGACTTGCTTGACGAACATTCACAACGCATCTTCAACGAGAAGAAAGAGGCCATGGAGAAGGGTGATAATGCGGTACTTCACCAGATCGGGGAGGGCAAGGACATCCTCAGCAAATTGAGTAAGCCTCCCATTCAAGTGTCCTATGTACGGGATATTGGTAAACAGCGATTGATAGTGCAAGCCAATATGACCGCTTCAGAAGAAGACAGACTACCTGACAAAGAACTCCTCGGGCAAATGTCGTATGTCGCGCGTTTTGCCTTCATCTTTGCTCCATAAGAATATTGAGCTTCTTGCCAGGACGTTTATCTTTGCAGGCATGGAAACAACATCTGGTGCGCTCGCACATATCCTGCAGCTGCTTAGCGAGAACCCGGACGTACAGCACAAGCTGCGCGCCGAACTCCTCGAGGCGTACGGGGATGCCGATGAAATTCCGTACGACCAACTCGTCGAATTACCCTATCTCGACGCGGTCTGCCGTGAGACTATGCGATTGTGCGTCTTCCGTCTGTTCTGTGCTTTCATATACTCGTATTCATCGCTCCGGTATCAACCAGGTACGCTCCAGTTCCGTTCTTGTTCCGGGAGTAAGTGGCACGCCCTATGCCTCGGACATCGGTTTTAGGGCGGGCGCTGACTTAAACGATGTGCGACAGGGCGCGCAAAGACATCGTGATGCCACTCTCTGCGCCTCTACGTGGCGTGGACGGGACGCTGATGCACGAGATCTTGGTACCGAAGGACACGAAAGTCCTCCTCGGCCTCCACGCCTGCAACTGCAACCCGGCACTGTGGGGTCTCGACGCGGCGGAGTGGAAACCTGAACGCTGGCTCGCGCCGTTACCTGAGACGCTGACCGATGCTCACATCCCGGGGGTCTACTCACATCTGTAAGCTGTCACATACTGACTAGAGGAGCATCATTGTATTCACCTGTGGCAGGATGTCGTTCCTAGGCGGAGGACGAGCTTGCATGTATGTCTTTTGCGCGCATGAGTGCTTCAATTGAGCTGTGCTTATTGGTCAATTTACAGCGGCTTCAAGTTCTCTCAACTGGAAATGAGTGAGTGCATGGATGGTCTGGTATTTTCGAGCCAACATAACAATTCTGAATTTTGCCCTTTGTATTCTGCAGAGGTCGTTCTCGCCACTCTCCTGTCGTCCTTTACATTCGCACCTTCGCAGAGAAAAATCGTTTGGAATGTTGGCGGTATACAGTACCCCACCGTCGGCCTGTCAAGCGCCAAGGCCGAAGTGCCTATGAAGATAGGCTTTGTGAAAACTACGTGAGGCCCTGAGCTAGGATTAGGCGTTGTGCCTATTGCTTGTAACAATAGACATGCATTTCCATGCGTATCATATGGTCATTCGCTATTTAATTGTCCTTTTGTCTCCTCTTTAGACTGTTGGAATGCTGCGTGCGCGAGTGAGTGTAGGTCAGGAATTTGAGTTGATTACGCTTGACTCCATTCCGCCTACCTGGTGAATTTGAAGAGTGAATTCAGCTCTCACACTGGGTGCGTGACTGACCTATCCTCTGCTACGTCGTTTTGTCAGATTATTTTCAATTACGTACCTTGTTTTTCACTAGTTCTACAGCCCATAGTAGCGCCTTCAGTAATCCGTGGTCTCGTTGAAACACTGCTCGCTTGACGCGAGAGTTGGCCAGCTTGCCGATGGGACCTATGGACGGCGCGTCACCTCAGCCAGACATTGTGCAAACCGTCAGAGACATCATTGCAAGGCCCACGTAATCTGTACTGCTCTTCTACCCATTGTTATCACGGTGGTTCCCGAGGTGGGGCATATCAAATTGAGGACGTTCTGACCTGGCTGACACGATACAGCGGACGTGGGCAAACAACCTGCAACGTCTCAAGATGAATACACCATTGATAACCGTTAACGGACAGCGCTACAACGAGTAAGCATGGGTTGATCGTGTTATGTACTACCAGCCTACGGGGCAGAGAGGAAGAAGTAGAGTCACAGCCCTGAACTGAGGCATCTGACACGGTATCTTCTGACTGCCGCAATTCACCTAGCTCTGAGATTAGTATAAGCTGGAGCGAGGTCCGCGCGCACGTATAATTTTCGCATATTGAAGTCTTTCTAAGGACGCGGGTCGTCCGTACAGTGTGCTTGCAGGGTGCAACTGGAACGCTATATACGATTGCTACGGCACTTACTGAGCGGAAAATGAGCGGAAAAGGTTGCGGTTGTACGACATCTCTCTATAATTTTCTCTTTTTGAGCTGACCTCTATAGTTCACCCACCGGAGGTCACGCACATGTGTTTGAAACGTACCAACCAGTGACCTTGCGGTGTTTGATCACGCTATACAGTCATGAAAACAAGACACAGAATTGGGCTCTTGTGGAACCTATTTAGAGCAGCCAGAGCGCGCGGCCACGGGTGCAAAATATGCGGGAGATGATGGAACATTGGTGAGCGCAGGATGGGCCGCAGCCGACGGCGGCGACCTCCATTGGGCCAGGGCCGCTTACCGCTCGACCATGACGTGAACATTTTCTATCACATCGTCTCTTCCCAGTACTCCATTCTTGTGCCCCTACTCACGGCACGAGGGTCTCATCCAAAGTTTTGACAGCATGTGTCTTTGTTCTGTTTGGTTTACCGTCAGCACATAGCAATGGGTTGACCCGCCGCGCCTACGGACGGTCGACGTCTGAGAGACTGACATGCTAATCTTCATCCGTTTCTTGTCCAGCCGATGGCTCGGCATGAGCTGACGCAAGTGAGGCCGTTTGAATGTCTACATTTCTCATCGATCTCACGGCCTCTGCAGGGCTATATAGGCAGCTACAGTAGTCTCGTATCGCACTGACTCGGACACCCTCACTCTTCATCGTCATCTCGAGCACGAACGATTCTACAACATGGACGTCATAGCTGCAATGAGCGAGACAGACATTCCTGTCGTCCAGGGCCCCAGTTCGTTCCATTGCCCGTGCCAGATTCCAAGTATAATACTGAATGGTTTTGGTCTACAGCTCGGCAGGCGTTCATTCCGCTCCTGGAGGCGCACCGAGAAGAGATACTCAGCGTCAAGCGAAAGACGTTCAAGTATGGTGCAGTTGATAGGCAGCAGGTACGTGACCGTTGTACTTGCCTCGATCCTGGTCGCGCTAAGTAAGTGAGAGCTAGCTTGATGTGTACTATCCTCCAGTGCAGAACAGGTCTGCATCCGGAAAACACCCGGTTCTCGTATTCATATATGGAGGCGGTTTCGCATCGGGAGAACGTATTTTCCCGCCGCCCCTCGACTTGTGCTATGTGAACCTGGGAGCCTTCTTTGCAAAGCGTGGGTGAGTCTGTCCACGGCATCGCGGAGATTTTTGGCTCCCGTGTTCACGAGAAGCGCAGGATCGTTACGGTCATTCCAGACTACCGCCTCGTGCCGGAGGTGAAATTCCCAGAGCCGATTGAAGATATCCGGGACGCCATCACTTTCATTGTCAAATACTCTGAGCAAGTAGAAACAGAAGACAACATCCAAGCGGACTTTAGCAATATCTTTGTCATGGGACATTCCGCCGGGTCCATCTACACTGCTACAATGCTGCTGTACCCCAACCTACTCTCTAGAGAGATTCGCACTCGGATTCGCAGTGCGATTTTGACTGGCGGTGCCTATCGGTTCAGCCCAGAGATACCCGCAGCCGCCGCGGTGCCGTTCCTTCAGCTCTACGGCTCTTGGGAGCAGCTTCTGGAGAAGATGCCGGCGACGTTGTTGGAACGCGCGACGAGCGAGGCGCTGGAACCATTTCCTGAGTTGCTAGTCATGGCAAGCGAGAAGGAGCCTCCTATGATCGCTCCGGCGAACTTGGAGTTCATTGCGGCCTTGAATTCCAAGATTGGCCAGGATGTGCCGTTTTCGATCATGAAGGGGCACAACCATATCAGCCCCCACTGGGCGTTGGGGAGTGGTCAGGGCGAGGAATGGGCAGAGGAAGTTACGCAGTGGATCAAGACCCGGAGTGGTTCACGGTGACGATAACATTGTAGCAAGTGGAATGCATCGTTATAACCAACTACGGCCTCCTCATGAGATCTGATTGACGCCGTCTCGCACGAGATTGAATGGAAGACGGAGGGACATGAGTATTTGCGCTGTATCTGCACTACTGTCACAATGCATTTGTACTAAGCCATCTTGCCGAACGGAAACGGCCGAGGGCCCGGCTTCTCGTTAATTGTGACCATCAAGGATCTTGGCAGCGACTCGGAAAGGATTATGTCGCCAACACCCACCTCGCCATATCTTCGGTCGCACAGAATCCCTTCTGTGAGGTCGGCGTAATATCTCGCCGGTGAGCATGATCTTCTATTTACAACGGAACTTGTTATTTCCTTGATTTCTGCGCCTACTGAACGGCCTCCAAGTCATGTCAGTCTGATAGTGGTTCGAAATCGAATATCAGACAGCGATAGATATGGCGGGTTTGATCCTCGTGTAGTCTAGTCGGATGGGTCTATCACGTCCCCGCGAGCATTCCTTGAGGTAAGCACAGCAGATCACGGCATCCTGATCATAATTTCAGGATTGAATTATTTAGTTCAACACGACCTCAAAGTCTCGACACACCTGTGGTGACTGGTCCCAACGGGGCGCCTTTACATGTAATTTCCGTCGCGCAGCGTGGTCCAAATACGGCTATGCATGTTATGATCCATATCGGGTGCATCGCACTTTGACATACTTAAGAACACGAACAGTGAGATTCGTTCTATTCCCACTGTTAACAGCTCCCCCATCGTGAAGGCACCCTCTCCCCAATGAAGTGAGTACTCAAGTTGCCATCGCTCCGCCAAATCTACTCACTAATGTCCATGCTCTTACAGCAGCTTAAAGCTATCCAAGTAGGGGTGTCCCAGCCATGCTCCGAGACACTACTGATCGATTTTCCATTTAGATCGCTTCTTAATACCCGCAAGCCGTCTTTTGGATTGGGCGGATTAGGAAAGTCTAAGAATGTCTGTAATCTCGCCCCTCTCTTTCTTCGCGAACTGAGATCAATTCTCCACTACTCCAGGGCTCCGGCGATACAGAATCTGTGGTCAGTCTTCATCAGTCCGTCAACGATCGTACAGCCACTCACTGACCTCCTGAAGACCACTCCTCCTCTGGAGCAGGAAGCGTCCGCAGTTTCGAGCCCCTCCGTAACGTCTCCTGCAGCTGAGACACCTCTGAGCCCGCCATTGTCTTTCAACTCGCGGCCACTCAGCGACGAGGCGAAAACAAAAAAGCAGAAGGAACTATTCGACACTTTCATCGATGACAAGCTCAGCGCCATCCCTCTCCGCCTCATCGACACCGAAGCTGGCAAACTGCGGAGCATGAGCGAACTCTCTACCCTCTTCAAAGAGACCGAATCCTACAAGGCTATCGAGAGCAAAATTCTCCGTGCGACACGGAACGAGATGAAGGCTGCGCTCGATTCGTTCTTCGAGTATGCTATGTTTTCCCATCGATGGGGAGCTGCGGAGGAGGAGCCCACGTTCCAAAACATCAGCTCAATACCAGCTGACAAGACCGTGTTTGACCTCACTGAGCCACGAGAGATTCGGAAGCTGAAGCAGTTCTGTACTATCGCAAAGGAAAACGGTTACCGATGGGCGTGGAGCGACACATGCTGCATCGACAAGACGAACAATGTTGAGCTGCAGGAGTCTATCATTTCCATGTTCTCGTGGTACCGGCTGTCGGCCGTCACGATCGTCTATCTCTCCGATGCCATGGACGAAGAGAGTCTCAGACATAGCGTGTGGTTCACCAGGGGGTGGACTTTGCAGGAACTGATCGCACCTCGGATCGTTTGGTTTTATAAACAAGACTGGACGCCGTACATTGACAGCAAGCAGAACCACAAGGAGGAGGAGCGCCTAGCTGAAATCATCACCGAGGTTACGTCAATCGAACATGGTTATCTCAACGACTTCCAACCTGGTCTCAGGGACGTCAAGCCGAACGAGGTCCGGAAGAGGATGCAGTGGCTTGCGCGCAGGCGGACAACCAAGGTGGAAGATATGGCGTACTGCATGATGGGTAGGTTGGGATCGATGGTCATGATTTTACTCTCGCTCACGCTCTTACAATCAGGTATCTTTGGCGTCCATATGCCGGTCATGTATGGCGAGAAGAACAACGCGTTTGTTCGTCTTCAGAAGGAGATCATGAACCTCACAGACGATCTGTCTCTGTTTGACTGGGTCGGAGAGCCCTCTGATATGCACACATACTTCGCCTCGCACCCCGCCTGTTTCGCGAGGACCGTCGCCGACAAAAAGGACGACGGGTCCTTGGGGGTCTCGTATATGCTGATGTACAAGACGTCCAAGACCCTTTCGACCCTCTACACTGCCTCCCTCCTCTCGAACGTCAAGAAACTCCTTCTCGACCCGCCTCACGGCCACTTCATCGCCAACGGGAAGATGAACATGCCGCTGTTCGTCCACGACGTGCGCACGCTAACTCCCGAGTCGAAGTTCGACCCTCCCGCTCTGGACGAAGATGGACTCATCCGCTACTCCATAAAGGCCGAAGGTCTGGCGCTGGTGGAGTTCACAACGAACCGGCTCCTGCCCCTCCTCGCTACCTCCAGCTCGGATCGTAGCGGGCCCACCTACCGTCTCGTCCGTATGTGGGAGACCGGTCTCATTCCGCCCGAGGAGATCACACCCGAAACCGAGTCCCCGTCTGAACCAGCCGAGAGCTCGACCAAGTCCAAGTTGGCCGAGTCGCTGGGGGCAGTCGTAAACGCGGTGTCGCAGACTGCCGTGGCCATGTTCTTGACTCGCCTTCGACAGCCGTTCGTGGCGCTGCTGCTCATGAGGAGGAGCCCCGACGACCCGTTCGAGAGGGTGGGGACGATGCAGCGGATCATCGCGAAACCGTCTGCAGGCAATTTCGAGTTCCGGCCCATCTCCACTCTGATTGTGAAGTAAAAGAATGTCTGTCTAATGCGCAGATCAGCAGATTGCTGCAGGTTTCTTCGACTGTCACTCCATTGGGAAGTGCGTGTTAATGCTCGGCAGCCCTCTCATTATCTTCAATTGTTTGTAAATGTACTACTAGCTGGTATTGTAAAACATGGATTGACGAGTGAAATATTGGTGAATAGATTGTTCAGAGCACGGGAAAGCTGATAACATGTCTAAATGAGAGTACTTGGCGGATAACAGTCTCGTTCATGGGTCCAACAGCGCTACAGAAGGATGTGACAGCTCATGCTGCAGGGCCTGTGGGAATGCTCTGCGTTCTTCGCTCTAAATGTAGCATGACCTAGCGGCCTTCGTGAAGGCTAACCTCAAAACAGACGAGGGCTGGGACATACGGTGATACAGTGGCTCCATTGTCACGACTGCTGGCGCCGCCGCAGATTCCGACGACGAGAGAATTGTCATCAACGTCATCCCCTGCTTCTGTCCATGGTCTCTCAATCCAGCAATCTTGCGCATATCCGGGACGGTTCACATCCATCATCCAGACCTCTCCCTTATTCACATCACATTGTTGCCCCGAATGCCACCCATGGCATCGAGATACGAAGTCGAGAGCAGACGAGAGGCCAGTGGTTTGTCGCGACAAGGGCTGAAGCTTGAAATGCCGAGGTCGAGAAGCTATATCCACAGCAGCGAAAGCATGGCTGGCAGTAGATGGGTATGATAAGATGAGAACGTTGATTGTTGCATCTCATTGCCCTTGAATATTCGCTTCGACCATCCAAAAATTTGGCGATCATTAACGCTGGTTAATGAGAGCTTAGGAAATCGAATAGGGTAGGAGGGTATCCGTTCCTATACATATTCCATATCAAGGAGTTGGTTCGGGACCTCGTGATTGTTGCTTCATAGAATGTAGAACTGACATGACTCATCGGCGTGCTGATCAATCAAAAAAAGTATCAGTATCAGTAAATGAAGTCTTCTCGCTCATCGTGCGCTTACCGATATGGCGAGCCCGTCTTCCATGAGAAAACAGTCCCGGTAGGCATCCCTGTCTTCAAACTCGTGAATGGAAAATTGCGTTTGCACGATCGTCCTGGTGACCCGATACGGTAGGCTGGTGGCGATTTCCTGGCGGAACCACCCGAGCTCCTGAACCGTGCTTGGCTCTGTGATAATGTCATGATCGTGTAGGGCACCCAGGGGAGACTGGCGCTTCCAGATTCGTTCGTTGATCTCGTAAATGTCAACGCACAGACTGCGGACATCGCGGTCAGGCATAAAGGCGATCATTGCCTTCGAACCGCGCACGTCGATGTATAAATCCGTGTCGAGAGGAAAAGTGAGCACTCGGGTGCCGCGAACACCCCAATCTGCCCATGGGTGGTATTGAGTCCTTGCGTGCCCCGTGGCCTTGGACAGCAGCGACTGTATCACGGACGCCTGCACCAAAAACACGACAGAAAAGTCGCTTTCGCTGTTCCTCCGTAGCAGGGTCTGTGTGACGACGAAGAGCGCATGCTCGCCTGACGTCCTAAATGGGGCATCTTGTTCTGGAGGTGTCCACATCGTGACACGATTGTGGGCTACGAAGGACGAGCGCACGAGAAGGGCACCATCAGAGATATCAGGCAGACCTAACTGTAGAATAGGGCCCTTATTACAGAGAGGCGTGATGTCCGTCTCCGATGACGGCTCGAACTCGAACACAAGCAACCGATCTGGTAGGGACAACATGACATGATTCTCGGATATAAAGGCAAAGGAAGTGAGAGCGAAGGGAAATGCTGCATTACAAACATGCTAGAGGGTCATCGCATCAGAGGGACGAGATAAAACAGAACCACAATACAGACCAATATTTTGATCCCGGTTTTCCAGTTCCACACTTGCAGATGAGATTCCCATTGCCCGGAGTTGTGGACCATGTAACCTACGACATCGGCTTGAACATAAAGTGTGGTTGCACAGTACTCTGGGAACTCGAGCGATGATAACGTCGGTCGTTTTGCAATGGGGTGAGGTTTATCTGGGTGAGTCAGTGAGCGCAGGTGTAAGTCTAGGAATGCTCTGTATAGCTTATGGTATGAGTCTCCATCAAATGAGAAGTGCTTAGTGGAAACTCGCACGTTAGGGACGTTTCGACCATGACTATGAGGTCCTGTGCGCGATCTATCTCGAACATGGAGAAGGGGACATCGATGATTCCATTCTCCAGAATCCAGCTTTTCTCCTGCACGTCCCGAATGCGCGAGGGAACTTGATAACAGTCGATGGCACCGGGAATTGATGGGCGAGAGACTGCATAAATACCGCTCGTCAAACAGCCGAATTCTCCGGGATTGGGGATTGACCGCGTCCAGGAAAAACTCAGGTGTGTCCAGGCTTCGCTGAATTCTTTCAATTTGGCTAGTTTCTCGGCAACAGAGAATCGCTTGGACGCGCCATCCATCATACCGGTGAGTGCAAGCTCGATCTTGTAGCGAAAGAGGGTAGATCCTTGTATCGCGTTGTTTAAAGTGTGGCAGACCTGGTGGATATACATACATTAGTACTAATGTTGCACTGAAGACTGGTGTGAAGTGATAGTACCTGACTGCAGCGAGCTAGGTCGCATTCGGTCAAATAGTCCAACACCGACACAAGGAGTTCGGGAGGCAAGCAGAGCAGCTTAAAGGATAGCATGGCTATGATACGCGGTCCTGACCGTCTACGCGCACAAGTCCAAAGTTCCCCCAGGCGGCTGCGCGACGATTTGCGAGACTTAAAGTGGGTTGCATAGACGCTCGTTCACGTGACCGTACCGGAGTCCACGCCACCTCGCGTCGATTTATTCAAATTATTGGACCTTCGATGCCAGACAGATCTACCAATTGGGATTGGGACTCCATGGTGTGTCGCACTCGAGGCAAGTGAATGTCTCGCCGCCCTGCCATGCGCTGATGTCAAAGTCAATAATTCTAGCATTTTTTCACCTAAACTTCGCGGGTTTACAGGATGCCTTCTGCAATTCGCACCTCGTTAAAATGTTCTTCAGACGGACATGGACAGGGGGGGAAGCAGTTCACGTCGATCCGACACTTGCTTCCTGACTAGGCAAGTTTTCTCGATCGTCTCGTGATGTATGTTCGATTCCTCGACGTCTGCATCTCATCTCGCCGCCGTCGACATGTGTGGTATGTTTCCCTAGCCGTGCACCCGCTGTTTGCGACGCCCATGCCGCTCACACGCACTCATTTCCGGAGTAAATCACGCTCTCCTGCTCCTAATGCCGTCGGATCAATAACCACAGCAAACTTGTCCTCACGTACTCCGGTATTTCATCCCCCTTCTTATTATGCTGCTGCCGCAGGGATCGTCCTCCAGGACCAAGCTCTCCCCGCTAATATTGTAGCCACATCACCTGCATGGCAATCCCATCCATCGCCTGCCTCTCCATTGTCTTATCCCACTCAAACGCAAGTCACTGAGTCGTCATCCTCCGACTCGACGCCAAGCACATCGACATCCCATTTCAATCGCGTCAGTCGTCTGATTTCGCGCACTCCGAGCAGATCTTCGTCCAGTCCTCCACATCGCTCCAATTCAAAGTCTTCTCGCCATGACAAAGAGAAAGGGCTAGGGGATCGAAGGAAAAGTCAATTTGTGGATCTACCACTTGTGGAGATGCAGCTGATTCCATCCTTGCGGGATACAGTTGACAAGATGACGCATCCGATTCCGAATAGCAAACACGATGAAAGTGAGGACGAGTTTGCTGGGGTCTCGGCTTCGGTAAGTGTCACACCCGATGCTCACGCAGATTCGGCGACGCGTATCCCTCCGCCTCCATCTACCCAGCCCGCGCCTGCTAGTACTGCTATGTCAAAACTATCCATGCCCTATTCTAAAGGCACCGAAACTGCGCCAGGATATTCACGGATACCTCACTTTTCCTCACCGACAACTATACCAAAACTGTCTAACACTCCCAAAACCGTGATGAAATCGGCCTTGCGTGCTCAGGCTTCCCCATCTGTCGCGAAGGATAGTCTTCCGAACACATGTGGAGTCCAGTCCCTACGAAGAACAAAGCCTTTGAATGTTCGACCTACGGCATCACCTGCGTTCGCATATTCGGCCAATCCTGTACGTTTCCTTAATATATATTTACACGCTCTGATGCAAGCATTTTGTGACAGGCCATTGATTCCAAAAGTTCTTCCGAGATTCTCGCTCATCCTCGTAGATTCGTAAATCAGGGTACGGGGCAAGGGGGTAGTCTGTTACCCTTACCAAAAACGTCAAAGTCGCATCCTAATACCCCTCAAGCTCCCCAGAACTTTCGTGATTTCGCCACGCCACAGCCGCTTCAGTCCTCCGTGCTAAGATCGCCCTACGCTTCGAAAATTCGATCATATATTCCCCGACCCGGCGCCTCATCCGCGTCCTCTAGCGATAGTGGTTCAGAGCTTGAACGGCGAGTTGACCGATATTTAAACCCAGGTCGGCTCGTTGTGACGAACGCGCAGATTGTCCCAAGTTCGTCAGAAAGCACGGAAAGCGACGATGATGTTCTGCGATCCCAACAATCGTGGATTGCAGGTAGGCAGGATCGTCCGACGCCCCCGTCTGGAATCCCAGTTCGAGGCACGCAGCGAGAGCTAGCTGAACCTCAATCTCAACGATCGATCCGGTTCTCAGGACATGATTCAGGAAAGAGACCTATAGGTCTTGGATTTGAGCTCGAAACCGCATTAGACAGGGGGCAACAGCATATTATTGGGGATGCTGATGAAGAGCGGGACACACATGATGATTTTTATACTGGCGCCTCTATGTCGCGGGTTCAGGCGCATATGAAACAACAGGAAGAGGACGAGGGAAGCATGTACGAAGAGGAGACCACTCCTGACAGCCTCACCCGCTCTCGTTTATTGGATGCAGTGACTAGCTATAGCCCTGCCGCGAGAGAGGACGACGCTCAAAAACGAGAGGAAGCGCTCATGGATATTGTCGATGGACTCCAGGCCGACTATGGTACTTATTCGCCGTCTGGCAGGCGGAGCGTCCTTAGTCAGAGTGAGAGCGACGCTTACTACGAGCAGGGCTTGGCTATCACCGCGTCGAGCGATCTTCCAGATGTGAGCACGAGAAACACGTCTCTGGGTGATACTCGTGGGTCGTTCTCGCATTTGACTCGGCGATCATGGGAAGAGAGCGTGTACGATGAAGAGCAGTCCAATTATTCGGAAGAAGATCGCGGAGACGACCTTTTCGAAGATGAGGATTCACATCGTGATGTCCAGTGGAGACAATCGCAGCAGGTCGCGCGGGGGTTCGAACATGCGTCTCCATCCAAGCAAGGACGTGCTGACGAGATACAACAAAGTCGAGCTCCCACTTGGATGAAGCGTCACTCAGGGTTTATGCCTCAGCCCGCGTCTCCGCGCGAGCCAACGGTTTTGTCCTCTCCACATTCAGAAAGCGGCAGACGGAGACAATCTGCATCACGCAGAACTAGCCAAGTGGGTGATCGTCCATTGCTGTCCACTTCTCAAAAACGACGCTCGGTTTATGATAGTGAAGACACACTGACGCCTCGAATGTCGTACAAGGAACAAGGGACCCCTTTTGATTCTTCCGGCAAGGAGAGCGCGGACATATCTGACGCGCGCAATGACATGGGTGATCGCGAGAGAGAAGCGTTTGGGATACCGCGCTCTCTGTCTTACGGGGCCAGTGATTCTCCCGGCGACGCTGTACCGGATAGAGGCGGAGTGGTTCATAGACAGAGCACTTTGTTGCGAAGCGAAAGTGACGATTCCATCATAGGAGGCCCGCAGGTTGCTAGCAGGATGTCTTCGACTGAAGGTAAAGGCATCCTAAGCCGGGGCGCGCATGCGCTGTTCGAGGTGTTGGCAGAAGGGGAGCGCTCGTCGTCGAGCCACGGTTCGGAGGGACGACCATGGTCACGGCAAGGATACGACTCGGCATCAGGGCGACGAAGTCCGCTGGAACGCAATTCCGTACAGCATCTCGAAGAAGCTGTGACTCCTGTGCGAAATTCACGATCAATGTATGAAGAATACCAGCCTGAACTGCGACCTGTGAGCCCCCTCCTCTTACCTCAGAGCACTTGGCGGTCATCCCTCCAGCCTGCTGTATACAATTCACTTCTATCTCGCTATGGCCAAATCGAGATGCAACGCCAAGAGCTGATCTACGAACTGCTCAAGACGGAGCGGATGATCGTCAAGCGGCTGCGAGTTGCTGTAAAGTCATTCATTCTACCTCTTCGTTGCCAGAACAGCAAATCTTGGCTTCCCGGCGTTCCTCAAGAAGCGTCCAGGGTATTCGACTGGCTTGAAGATATAATGAACCTTCACGTTGATATCACCAATGTCTTGAAAGCAATCTCGCGCGACTGGAAAGTTGGTTCCATCGTCGACATGATCGGAGAACCGCTTTTGTCGATAGTGCAGAGGCTCGAGGTGTATCAGCCGTATCTCATCAGGGTTGATGAAGTCAAGGAGCTGGTAGTCGGATGCGTGGACGATCCTCAGAGCGAGTTTGGAGAGTATATCAGGATGAGGGAACAGGAGGGTATGCCAGAAGGCTGGACACTTGAGAAGTTTCTTGATGAGCCCATCGGCAGGCTGCATGCATATGCAGATATTTTCGAGGTGGGCTTCCTCTTTTGCCAGAATCCGTCATCTCATCTTTGCTTTTGCTTCCGAAGAAACTCCTAAGCATGACACCCAAGCGACATCCTGATCATCTTCCTACATACTCTCTGCTATGCACGACGAAGACGATCATTAGTGTCATGCAGGAAGTGTGCGTTCGCGAGGAGGAGTACGACTTCGTCAGAGATGTTGCGTCACACATCAGTGGCTTGCCTTCCTCCGCGTCTATTGCTAAGCGAGAACGTCGATTGTTACATCATGGCCTCCTACAGTTACTTCGTCCAAGGAGGCTTGCGCCGGAGGGCGCTGTCCAACCAACGGTCCGGGTCAATGGAAAACCGCTCCAGGACGAATGGACACTAAAGGATGCATCGCAACGTGCATCACGACTTGCTTCTGCCATTCATAAGTGGCACGTCCGGCGCGCACGAACGGACTCAATAAGCTCGATATCCTCATCGTCCTTGTCTTTCCAGTCCTGCGATAGCGTTTCATCCTCAAGTATGGCATCTACTGTTGCTGCGTGCTGCCGGCAAAGATTGGATGTGGATGTAACTCCACTACATGCTTTCGTGTTTTCGGACGTGATCGTCCTTGTGACCGCTGCTTCGGTCAAACAGGATTCCAGCGGAGCAGAGTATCAAGACGGATGGCACCTGCTCCAGGATATTGGATTGTCTAGGATCCTCTGCGTTACTGCCGGAAACTCTGCTTCAGGTGCGGAACATTATCTCGGTAACAATATTGGCAAACGATACTGATTGTGATTCACGGACAGCGGATGGCGCGATCACTCTCGATTTACTCCCCGTCGATATCCATCAGCTGGAGTCCAGTCTGCGCTCAAAGGCCGGTTTAGTGGTTGATATCTCCGTGGTGCTTCCAGACACTCCTGAAGATTCCAGAAGAGACTGGTTAGCTGCATTGCAACAGTGTCAGCAGAATACCGTGCACTCTCTTGTATTTCCCACTCATATTGTGGACAGCGAATCGCTGCATGGGGCCGATCTTGACCTCAAAAACGATAGCTATCGTGCTGTGAAGTCCATTGTCGCCTCAGGGCTTCCGTTTCCGAAGAGTCCTTCCATGCAACTTGAAGACCAATCTTCGTCTCGAAGTGGGGATTCTGTCGAGCAAGAGCGAGAGGAGCGTGGATGGTGGTCTCTTCGCTTTCAGCAGGTGTTGCGAGAGTTCCAGAGACAGGGGCGAACAGCATAACCGTACGGCATGTTGATGTGATTTCTGACGTCTTGACCACGGACCGTCTAACTTATTGCTAACAATTATCTCAGTGTATCCATAGTTGTCATGATATGTATTTCTGTATATACTTGGTAGGCCAGCAGACATGGTGTCCCGAGCCGTCATCGTCGACGTTAGTAGTGTAGCCATATATATTCGAAGATGGGCTTGAGAAATTCAATAGACTTCTAGCACTGAAGAGCTGAGGACAGATGTATATCAGGTATCAGATGTATATCAGGTATCAGAGGTATACATGACTAGCGCGGGCAAGATCGATTCATTCGAGGTCCGGCTGGCGGCTGGCATTCATAGTTCTGATGTGTTGGTCAACTGACTGCGTAAGATGAAATATAACATTATGCGAACCTAGACATACCTTACAGGAGCATTTATTGAAATGCATTTCGTCCCAGCGTTTGGGTACATTCAACCTGAACGAAATTTGTCCACTAATGACTGGAGAGTTTGAAGCATCTTCGGTGGAAATTTTCTCTCGTCCATACACCAAAACAACTCGGCGAGGCGATGGTTCTGCGTCGCACGATATTGGAGCGCAGTTATAATGACAGCCCCTTCTTCCGCACTGACATCGTCACAATCGATAAGAACAAATTTGAGACATGGGCAATATAGAGAAGAGCCATCAGAGGGGGCGGAACCAAGAACGCGCCACAAAGGCCGAATGTCACCGTGCGGTGCAATTGTTATGTTCTCCAACAAGGGCAGATTACTTAGAGTGCGCCGCCAATCCGCGTCGGCCATGTAGTCTTGGTCACAAGTTTGAGGGCTCTTATTGGGGAAGATTTTAGTAGATCGGCGACGTCGCATAGAACGGACGAGAACAGGCTGTTCGGATAAACGGGGTCATCAACATCCAAGATGACCCGCAATTGCGCCCGAGTGTAATGATAGTCAGCACTTGTGCCCGCAATGATGTCGAACTCCATCAAGGCGGGGCCACCTAGAATCAGATAAACATGCGTGATATTGCAGAGGTTAGGAAGCCTCGGTTCAGTACGCGGAAGCGCAACAGATACTGGTTGGGGTATTTCTCCGTCAAGATCCGGACCACCATGTATAATCATATGTATCTGCACGTCTGCGGGTAGGATGAGATGAGAGAGCAAGTACGCAAGGTCCATCCATTCGTTTGACAGAGCCAATGCTCGCAGCTTTGGAAGTGATAGCTAGCGAGCGGGTCGTGGAGACATGATCGTTCCTGCTGGATGAGCAGGTCCGCATCGATGCAACAACAATGATTCAATAAGAGGAGATGCCTCCAGAATCTCCAAGAACGTCTCCATTGAGAGGTCAGGCAGTATCGTCGTTCCGTAATTCAGATTCAGCTCTGTCAAGCCTCTGAGCATCGATGAATCCCAAGGAATGCACACCTTGTTGAGCATGAGACACTTGAGCTTGGGGAATTGTTCTGCAACAGGACAGAAATAGCAGCACGTGTAAGTCCGATTCCATTCTTCCACAAGATCCAATGCGAGGGATTGCAAGTTCGGCATGGTATAGCTGAAGCTCGCCAGAAGAGCCTCCATATGTATATCTGATACAGCTGCAAGATCCAGAACACGGATGCGATGGGCGTGAGGGATCAAGATCCTGGCTAAGTCGGCTCCACTGTCCCCAATGTCGCCACGAACCGTAATCATTGCATTGTGGGACCGATCCAGACATCTTCGCACGAAACGCAGTCCCTTTGAAACGTCGATGTCGACACATAACAACGGCGTAGCTAGAGCGACCGCACGCCAATGACGACAGACTTCCATGCATCTCCGCCATGGCAACATTGGCCTAGTAAACCTACTATGCTCGCTTAAGCAGAGAAAAATCTTGACAATCAATTCATTTGGGAGGTAATTTATTGACACGGGCGCAAGTAGAGTGGCTTCATTGAGTGGTGGCTGATTCTGGCTGGCAGAATCTGCGATAGAAGCCGATAGTTCTTTTGAAAGTGAAACCGAAGTTTTCTTGTCCATGTGTAAAGATGCGAAATCTAGACAATGAATAAAGCCTTCGCTCCCAATAACTAGCAGGCCAAAATTCTAACATGCAAGTGCAAAATATCAATATACATTGCAAGATGAATTAGAGACGAGGCATACGTTATTGCGCAAAACAGGTGTGCATCGACACGCACTATTGCCGCGAATGGTCAAAGAGTATATAGTGCTCCGATCCTACGTTGCAGGACAATCGAGTCCGAGTCAACGTCGCAGGTGGTATCTACAGGAATCTTGAATGAGATACGTAGTATGTGCCAGTGGAGGCGCGGCTGAGTGGCCTAATAGCGCAGGTAGTTATTTTCCCAAAGAATACAACACTTTCTCGTGGGATGAGAGCAAATGATCAAGCGGTTGATGAGGGTGATTTTTGAAGACTGTGGACATAAAAGACGAGTCCCAAGCTCACGATATCCGCAGCCTGCATCATTTACTGTCGTAGTCTTTCGAACTCCGCTGTGGCTGATGTGCATCCCAACTCCGAAATCTTTCGGATCTGAATCCCCAAACGTGCACCTTTGAGAATCGAGACGTGTCTTCCAATTTTTGCAATTTGATTAGCAGAATAAGATGCGACGGCAGCTTAATCGATAGCTTTATAACGAAGACAACTCAGCCAAAGTAAATGTATTGAGTCTAGTAATCATCGATACTGTGAATGTACATTGATTTGTTTGAGACTGGGCTGGCATCTACTACGACCGCTCCATCATGATAGCTTCAGTATTTTCTCCAGCGGCCCTGAAAATGCATAGCCCAGTGTCCCTCGTGCTCACTCAAGTGCTGCGTGATAGTACTTACGCATATTTACAATGTCCCAAGGAGCAGCAATAATGGCCTACACCTAATGTAGTACTTGTCAATCAAAGTCACGACTCGACTCGACTCAGTATCGAGTTGTTAAAAAAGAAGGGTATTACGGGATCCCCAAATTCCATAAGACGGAAAACTTGGATGTGTGAAGCTAGATGTCTCTGACAGCCTAGTGCAGTTAGTGGGACTGTGCTCTCAAGCCTGAGTTGCGTCACTACAATTGAGAGAAGCATGGCCGATACCTCACCTTCAAACACACCAATGGATAGATACTGATTAACGAGGAAAGGCCACTCATGAATGCCGTATAAGAACCAACTCACAAAATTTCAACTGCAATGGCAGAATAAGAATATTCTTCGCCAGAGATGTGAATACAGGTGACGGTTGAATATTAACCAGTTGTATGCTACAAGAGAGGTAATGACACATGTACTGTGCTCCAAGCGGGACGAACAAAAGCTGGCAGACAACACAGACAGAGGGAGTTGAACGGGAGTGCATTTCACATATTCTATGGGGGGAAAGTGCACTGTCCGCTCTACTGGTAAATAAAGTTGTATCTAAAAAGCACGCATATCAGCGTGATGCATGAGGAATCACATATGCAGCTTACCGAGAAAGAAGATGAGGAATTGCAGAGAGCTGAGGACCGTATCTATCACACGAGTCAGACCAGTCAGAGTACATGAAGGATCACGCCTACCTTGCAGCGTTATCGTATAGTTCAAACAAGGGAATGGCCAGAAGCTTCATGTTTTTGGGAACAGCAAGGACTTCTGCATTTTGCAAGTGATGTTAATTCGTTACATAAATATTGCACAAAGTCCGCGTCAGCGAAGAAGCCACGTACTTCGTTCCGGCATTTGGACCAAAAACAGCTTCTTGCACTCTTTTGGTTTAGTTATATGGGCAGGAATAAACGGATACTAGATTCCACATGCCGAGATATGTACACAGTGAAGAGATTTCCAACCGTAACGTAAAAACGACGCACCATAAAGGTCTCAAAGTTAGGGCGCCACCATTGCGCCAAACAGTCACCAATCTCCCATTCATTGTCTACACCATGTGAGGAGTTGAATTGACGCGAGTCGGTGGGCGGTGCCAGACGGTCATCCAAACGACGCTTGAGACCCTCAATCTCGTCTTCTCCTGGCTTGAGATAATCGCCCGGCCTGAAACGCGTCTAAAGACGAGATTGGGCGGTGTTTCAATAGACGTACAGCTTAAAGAACGCATTGGCGATCTGTAACATGAGAATGTGGGGATGACCATGGTCATGAACGACCAAGATCCCTTCTACGGTTCGTCGCATGCCGAAGTCCTCATAATTATTTTGCAGGCGCTGAAGGCGCGCGGACACGGACGGGTCCTCCTCGGGTTGGGCTTCTTTGGTGCTAGCTCAGCTTGTCAGGATTTGGTAAGGTTATTAGGCGTGAACTTGGTCTCACCTGAATGTGAAGTTGGAAAGAGGATAACTGACGAAAACTTGTGAAAATGGTATCGATAGAACACACACGTACATACAGGGCAATTGTGTTCGACATAGTCGGCACTAGAGACTTTGAGTGTAGTGGCGAGGACGATGTCGACGTCGAGGCGGTGGCGGGTGAACTGGCCCTGCGCTACACGTGTCACAGTGCACGTGCTACGTGACATCCGTGTGCGCTTCAAGCGCGCACTGAGCTCGAGTTTGCCCCTGAACTTCGCCTGAACTTATGCCAAATTGCTAGGCGACAATTATATTAGCTGTGAACTAGTTTTTCAACGAGTCTGACTTGAGTTTATAAGAGGCAATGAGGACGCCTTGTAATTCTTACTCAACATTCTCATGGATTTAATCCTATCCTATGCATGTGGGTGATCGCATTGATCTGCCAGAGGCTGATAACACTCACTGGCGCTTCAGAGATATTCTGCTTCTCGATCAGATCCTAGACTCGAGCATACTGGCCCGGAAATAGATATGTGGTAGTTAGAATCATAGCCCGAAAAGAAAATTTTCCGAGTAGAAAACGTGAGTCTCGACAACTATCAGCTGCTCAATATTTGTCAGTCTAAGTTGGTAAATTACAATCATGTGTATCTGACGTCCTTGTCGATACTCACCAGCGCAAGGTGTTGAGCAGGCTGCAGGCACCGTGAGCGCCACACACAGCGTTAGAGCAAGCTCATGAATCATCATCAAACCTCGCAATTTCTCTGCATACTCTCGTACCCTTGGTATTTATGCAACATTGAATTCACCGACTTTGCCAGTCTTGAGCCTCGTATATTATTGGTGCTCCTATATAGGTAGGTTTTTTTGAAGTTTGGAAAAGAAATTCTTTGATCATATTTCAGCTCACACACGCATTTATATGATGTAGGGATGTTTTGAATGCGGTTCGCTCTTTCAGTGCCATTTTGTTCTTCATGGCGTATTGAGCCAGATTGTGCCCTGATGGCTACAGGATACTGACGATGCCCTGGCGTTAGTGCCACAAGTCATGGGTATGGGTCTCAAAAAATCAATACATGGGACTCGATCATGTATATTCATCGAGTGACATCGGTCAAATACCCGATATCAATTATGGCGAGGTTTGTCGTTGTCAGCCTTAGAGCCGCATCCAAACGTCTTCACACGTCCTTGCTGTTCATATCTTCACTGTCCTAAGCGTTTTCGACGAATACCTCGCTGAGTGGAATCTTCTCAGTCGCAAGGAGGCTGGCACTTGACATTCACTGCCTACTCCAACTCTATCGCTGCCGTTGTGCTACTAGAACTAATGATGTCTTCCTTCCTTCTCTTTGTACTCCTTCATATCCCGCTTGCGCTCGCGCACGGCTACGTGAGCCGCGTGACCGTCGACGGGACTGAGTATGTGGGCAATCCGCCGGGGCATAATACCAGTAAGTTCCATAATTTACCTTCACTTTCGCCAATATAATCTGTTGGTCCGTCGCGCGCATCCGTAGGCTCGAGCCCCATCCGTATGGTGTCCAGCAACGGCCCTGTACAGAACTTGTCCAGCCCCTTCCTCGCCTGCGGGCCCGACGCGCAGCCCGCACAGCTGGAGGCGATTGCCGCGCCTGGGAGTGTCATCAACATCACCTGGGTATCAGGCGGAGGAGGCAACGTAAGTTTACCCCTCACAATTGTATCCTCCGGCTCACACGGCACTGGCATGCCAGTGGCCCCACGAGGTCGGCCCTGTGTTGACCTACATGGCGGAGTGCACAAACACAACGACGTGTAAGGATTTTGACACAACCGGCGCGCGGTGGTTTAAGATCGACGAAGCCGGGAAGCAGAGCGACAACGTCTCGTGGGTGCAGCTGTATATCGGTGCGTGATTCAAGTTTGCGCTCTCAAGCTGTATTGTGACTGGACTGAATCATATGCAACGACAGAGGAGGGTCGAAATTTCAACATGACGCTCCCAGAGAACCTTGCCCCAGGGCCATATCTACTCCGAAACGAGGTCAGATCCCGGGGGCTTCGTGTTTTCCATTCTCCCACAGCTGATCGCCATGTAGATCATCGGGCTGCAGAACGCCATGGCGCGTGGCGGCGCCGAGCCTTTCCCATCGTGCACGCAGCTCATTGTCACAGGCAACGGGACGGGCGTGCCTGCCGCGAATGAAACGGTGTCTTTCCCCGGGGCGTACAACTCGACCGATCCTGGTATATGGTTCAACGTGGGTGCTCCACTGTTTTGTGTTCTGTCCCGCCGTCCCACTTTATCTGCTGCAGGCGTACGACAATACCCACACACCCTATGTGTTCCCTGGGCCGCCTGTCGCCGTGTTGATCAACGCAACCGCCGCCCAGACAAACGATACGGAAACAAACAACACGACTGCCCCCGCTCTTGACGCTCCCAGTCCCGAAAAATATAAACTACCTCCGTCCGGCACTCCCGAACTCGACGCACCCAGCCATGATGGATGCACGGAGATGGACGCGACACCAGTGCTGACGGTCATGGCTGCCCGCGGGCGTATTGCTCTGGTCGAATTGTGAGTCGCTCTGCACATTTCAACATCAATATGCGTGTGTATACAAGAATGCTATCGTTTGCTATCGATTATATCAATGGGTACTGCAATGGGCCAGGGATGTGCTACAGAGTATTAGCTTTTGCAAACGTATATCGCCCAAAATAATTCTACATGACCTAGTAAATCTCATACATGATCTCCAACGCGAACCAATACCCGTTGAGACAAAGCTCGCTTAACCAACGTTATGACTAAGATTATTCGCCGAGGATGCTAGTTTCGCGGAGCAGTTGGTCAGCGTATGGCACAATTGCGATCAGTTGACACGGCTCACCCTACGGCACCCATAGTAGCGACACCAAACAACAAGCTGACCAGCGCCAACACCTGTCGACGGATGCTGCTCCGCCACAGATGGGGATCCATCACAAAGTCCCCGGCGAGCATCTCGACGCACGCCGCGTAGATCAGCATCCCGGCGGATAGTGCAGACATGAGCCCGCGCATGAGAGTCACTTTCGCTGTGAAGATGACAGTATGTCAAAAAGAAGACGGGCGAAAATGCGCTGACACTTACCGCCTTCGCTCCGACCGGGCTCGAATATCCCCAGACCGACGGCGATACCAACAGGTGTTGTGACTGCGAACATAAGGGCGAGCGCAGGCTTGAGCATGCTTAAGTTACCTGGGGGATCGTGAGAATGCGTATCAGCGCTTTTCGTTCCCATGCACAGTAGGATTTGCATACTTTTCTTCGCAACTGCGGCGGGTAGTGTCGCTATCCGAATTCCGAGCGATAGTCCTTCAAAGAGCTGATGGAATACAATCGCGGTAACAAGGGACGCTGGGAGGAACCTATGTTCATTGAAAGTCTTGATCGCACAAAAATTACGCTCACTATACTCAGAGCCGGACGTGATCGAGAGTGTGATCCCAATCACTAGCGAGTGGAGCATGATGCCAATCTCCAGCATCTGTAGAAGGTCCCAGAGAACAGGTAAACATCAGCTCATGCTTAAGAATACATTACAGTAGTAGATGCAAACGTACCAGGATCCCAACCACCTGCCTCTTCCGGCCAATTTCCATCTCTACTTCGTCGGCGCCCTCGTCGTGTCCGTTTTCAACATCCCACGAATCCATGCTCAGATGTGAATGCCCATGCCCATGCCCATGTCTATGCCCATGTCCACTATGCCCATGTCTGTGCCTATGCCCAGGCTTGTGTGCGTGCACATGCACATGGACGCCCCCACTACCGCTTCGATCTCTCTTCACCTTCGCCACATCGTCGTCCACGCCCTCTCCGTCCCCTCCAAGGCTCACAAGCGAGTTCCACCCGAGACCCATCCGGAGCTCGTGGTGTCCTGCATGCGAGGAGCGCGATTCGTGGCGATGGTGCCCGCCCGCAAAGATCTCCTCACTCGCGTCCGTCGTCTGTATCTCTTCTCCGCTCGGCGGGAGATGTGGAGTGCGGGAGGATCGCGGGAACGTATGCGCGAACTGTGCGTGGCGCGGGCGCCCATGGATGTGCGAGCGTAGTCCCGACCCTGTCGCGCCGTACCCTGAAAGGTGTGTCGAGTGCGCACCATGCGTGGAAGGCGGGAGCAGTGGCGCAGTGAGGCTGCGCACCTCATCTGCTTCCTCGTCGACATCCTCATTGACAACAGCTACAGGCTGGGGCAAGGCGAGGGGAAACGGGACATCTTCAGGGCATCCAGGGCCATTCGCACGAGAACAATCCCGTGCAGGATCACGATGATGATGATCAACAGGTAGTAGAGACGGCGAGGGTGCAGGCGAGGGTAGCTGCTTAGGGATTGCGGAGGGAGAACAGGCGGGAGAGTTAGATGCTTCAGATACGGGAGTAGAAGAGGGAGAAGGAGGACGAGAGGAATATGACTGAAGGCGGTCTACGAAGGAAGTCGAGATATCTGCGAAATAAATTAGTCAGAGACAGTAAACGAGAGGGATGTAAATTTAAGGCATACATTCGACGAAGAAGATGAGGAGAAGAGAGCCGAGCCTGCAAGGACGCGTGATCAGTTTCCCGTATGGAAGATGATGATATAGTGAAACTTTCTGCATCGGGAATGACTAGCACAAGAGACGCACAGCACAGCAGCATGGGAAAAACGAAGAGAAAATAGTTGGAAAAAGCCTCCCAATTGGCTGCTTAACATGAGCGATGACAGCCACGTCCAGCCCCTCCCCTACGACAGGCAGGAGTGCAGCGGTGCGCGCTGCCAATTGAGCGACAGATCAAATTTATGCACCGAATACATAAAACAGGGACTGAAAGCAGCGTGTGTGATGCTAAATCAGTGCTCTGCTCCAGTAGCTCCCATAGCACACAACTGAGCTATGACAGGATGCTGGCTGCACGTGAGGGTTGTCGGTGGCAGGAGCTTCTCGATTGAGGAATGCAGATACGCCACCGCCCCACTCGCATCCGTTATGCACCACATGTATGCGGTGATTGTGAGAGAAGAAATGCTGAAAGTAACAATTTGCTGGCTACCGTCGATTATAGCGATAGAACGGTAGTAAAGTGAACTGCGCGGTCGGCGTGGAGGATCGAGGGCGCCTACATTCAAACACTGGCCAAAATGGTACTCACACAATCATGCCCACCCAATTCGATATCGCCCATCTCTCTCGCACTACTGGGTTCAGCAAAGCCTCGAATGAGTCCTGCAAAAGGTGCACAAACGCCGTCGAGAGGATCACGCCGGTCCCGAAGTGTTTTCCGATGAAAAAGACGACACCGGGTATCCGGAGACCAGGAATTCGTCGTGAAAGCGTCGGAAAAGAGGATGCTGAGTGACTTGTGAGTGGCGACACAGAATATCAATGGGAAATGGCACGCACCAAAGAGAGAGACGCAGAAGATCATCAGCATGATTCTCAGTCGCGACGATACCCAGGTTGTCGGGTCGGTATCGTCATCGACATTGTAGATTCGCCATGTTCTATGTGTGTCCAGAGAGGAAAAGTTGTCAGACGTGGCGGGCGACATTGAGGTGTCGGAAGAATGCTGAGATACGACGACGACGACGACGACGTAGTCTAGAGATGAGCGTCGAGAGGAGAGGTAAAGGCTATAGATCAAGCTATTTGTACAGGAATGCCTAGACAGAACCTAAGTTGAGTGAGGACAGCACCAGTTGAGAGCGGTAGTGTACACTCTAAGTACTTATTCTGGGGATCCGAGCCGCAATGCGTAAGGTGAGGACCATAGCAGTCGGCGCTTCATGGTGGCGCTGCCCGTTCTCACGCCAGGCCCATCCTCACTGGCTGGCCGATACAGCACAGTATCTCCTTCCTTCCTATCTATATTCAAATATTTAGCCTATAAGCGTCATGTTCTATTTTATCCCACAAATATATGTGCGAAAGTCGACTTGCGCTGCGTCATAATTCATTGAATTGAGCAGTAAACACAATCACGTGTCACATACCCGGTGCCGGGACGCGACAACTCGAGAAGGAGTACCACATGCCCCACACCACGAAAAAGAAACTAGGACTTTATTGGAGGATGTATATACAATCTTCTGAAGATGATTCAGAGACAATATCCTAGCACAGTATTGCACGACAAAAGTGCAAAGGGGTATCACTAGCAGCAGCCACTCTGGCAAAGCTGGCTCAGCCCAACGCAGGGGGCTGAAACACGACCACAGGAAAAACAAAAAGGATATATACACTAACCCAAGAGAAACGAGCGCGCGCGAAGGACAGCCCTTTATCGACCATTTTTCTTCGACTTTTTCACCTTCTTCATCTTCTTTGCCGGTTTCTCGTCCACGAGCTCGGGCTCAGGCTCCTCGGGCGCATCGCTGCTCCGTCTGCGCTTCTTGCTGCTAACGGACGGCGCAGTCTCCTCGGGTGCGTCACCGCCGCGTCTGCGCTTCTTGCTGCTCGCGGAAGGCGCAGCCTCCGCAGGAGGGCTCGGCACCAGTGTCGACGCGGAAGACGACGCGCTCGCGCCCGCGCCGGACGCAGCGGGCGCGCAGGTCATCGTGATGTTGAACGCAAGCTCTGCGCAGCCGAACGTGTGGAAGAACACGAGCTCCTCACCTCGCCGCACGCGCGGGCGGTATCGCGCGCGCTCCTCGTCCTCCGCCGCCGCGTCCTCGTCCTCTTCCTCGTCTCGCGCGCGCTTCTTCCCCTTCCCCTTACTCTCTCCCGCGCCCGGCCCCTCCTCTATGTGCGGCGGCGGGCTG